CACGACAAAATCAAAAGAGACCTGTTCCTGTTTTCTCCCTTCATTCATGGCTAGGATCCAAGAATACATTCTCTTTTACGCTGAGCTCATCATCTCCACCGCTATATGTTCTACTATGGCGGCGACAATTGCAGTCCTTATTCTCATGTATCTGATCCACAAGAGAAAACCCAAAGTTTATTTATTGGACTTCAGCTGCTACCGGCCACCAAACTCTTGTAGGCTGCCCATGTCAATGTTCCTGGAGAATGTCCTTCTGGATGGCACAGACCCTGACAGCATAGCTTTTCAAGTCAAGATCCTGGAGAAATCTGGGTTCAGTGAGGAGACTTGTATTCCTCCATCTCTCACTTGCTTACCTATAAGAAAGTCACTCTCATTTGCTTTGGAAGAGGTCACAACAGTAATGTTTTCTGCAGTTTCGGATTTGTTTGAGAAACACAACATCAACCCGAGAGCGGTCGATGTACTGATTTCTAACAGCAGCTTGTTTTGTCCCACACCATCTCTCAGCACTCTGATAATTAACAAGTTCAGAATGAGGAGCAACATAAAGAATTTCAACTTATCTGGTATGGGATGCAGTGCTGGACTTATAGCAGTTAGTCTAGCTAAGGACTTACTGAGAGTTCACAGCAACTCATTGGCTTTAATTGTCAGCACAGAGGCCTTGGTTTTAAATTGGTACAAAGGAAAAGTACCATCCATGTTGCTGACCAATTGTTTGTTCCGAATGGGAGGAGCGGCTGTGTTAATGTCAAGTCGAAAACAAGACAAGGGCAGGGCAAAGTATGAGCTGCAACACCTTGTTAGAACAAACAAAGCACAAGATGATCAGTCTCATGCCTGTGTGTTTCAAGATATGGACCCTGAGAACAAACAGGGGATTTCAATATCCAAAGACATACTACATGTTGCTGGAGATGCATTGAAGGCAAACATTGGTGCTCTGGGGCCGATGGTTTTGCCAATTTCAGAGCAGATTCGATATGGGATTTCGATACTCATCCGAAAGATATGGAGCCAAAGGAGGAGGAAGACTCGCATACCGAATTTCAAGAAAGCTTTTGAGCATTTCTGCATACATGCTGGAGGGAGGGCAGTAATACAAGGAATTGAGAGAAACCTGGAGTTAAGAAAAGAAGATGTTGAGGCCTCAAAGATGACTCTGTACAGATTCGGAAATACGTCTTCCTCTTCGTTATGGTACGAGCTGAGTTATATAGAAGCAAAAGGAAAGATGAAGAAGGGAGATAGGGTCTGGCAAATTGCATTTGGGAGCGGCTTCAAGTGTAACAGTGCGGTTTGGAAGTGTGTTGCCAATGTGGGTGCTGAGAAAGAAAATGTGTGGAGAGACATAATCCATTCATATCCTGTAGAGATTCCAAACTAGAGAGACTATTTGATGTAACTTGTTATGGCATGATTTAGATTTAATACTTTTATGCAGCAGAGTTGATGTTTGTCAACGAGAGTATTTCTGAATCTGAGATATTTATGTGTTATATTCGTATTTGTATTGGTCGTATTGTTGATCAGTTGGGATTGGAATTGTGGTCCAATTGCATTTTGCAGTTTACAAATGTTGATTAGGTGGGGAAGTATTAAAATTAGGATAAATGTTGTTTTCAATCACTTTGGATTTGAATCTTGTTTCTTGATAAATTAAGGGCCCGTCTAGTAACGTTTTTAGAGAATGTTTTCAGAAAATTAAATTTTGTTGAGCATCTATCTTGCATATCTATATTGAAGCCAGCTCCATGGATAAACTGTCTGGTTACCATACTCAACTGATTATAAACTCCTGAAAACTCTATATTTTTGTGAGTGAGAAACCTTTGAACTTTGTTGGTTATATCAAGGGAAAATATGTATTTTTTGGTCAATTGAACTTTGTTGGTTGTATTAAGGGAAAACTGTCCTAGCTAATCCTTGTGATTTGTCCTGTCTTAGCCAATCCCCTGTAACAAACAAGGCCCTAAGGTCCAAATCAAACTCAAACTTCATAGAATTAAGAACGCAATATTTTCTGGAATAGATAACATAACCATTTATCGTTATCTCATCTGTTGGGATGAGTCGGATCCAAAACTCGAAGAATAAGAATGCAGATGAAAGTATGATTTTATAAAAAAACCAAAGAAACAAAACAGAATGGATAATTATCCCAACAATGTTATCTCCTCCATCTGACAAAAATGGTTCCCAATAATTGTCAGCCTTCCCACATCGTCCCTACTCTTTAGCTATCTCAGTGGTTTTCTTGCTTTCTGTCTTACTAATTTGTGGAGTGGACTCAGATTGGGCAGGGTGGGATATCAAGGGTAGTTCCTGTTAAAGTTGGCTCACCATAGATGCAAAAGGAGGAAGAAGAAACGGCAGAAAAAAGTGTTGAGTTCATAACTTGAGTATCCATGGACATGAGTAGGACTGTTTAGGGTGGATTCCGAAAACCCTAGTGGTTGTCAAATATTAATTTCACACTTTGATAATCACGTTGATCACGTTGTCTAAACTTATTAAATTAGCATTTGGTTACATTTAAGCTTTAGAATTAGGTCACTTTACTTGAATCAAAACCCCACGTTTTGTGTGTGTGTGTTGTTTGAAATATTGAATGTTCTTCCCACTGAATTCTTCTCACTTTTCTATCTGTTTTTACATTTGGTTTCAGTTGGGTTCTTCATTTTTCCATGCTGAATCCAACCATATAAAGAACGTAAAATTTGGATTAACAGTTTGAAAGTTAAAAGTTAAAAACGGAACAAAGGTCGAAGCTGGAAAACAGAGAAAATTTGTTTATCTCTTCTGTGCCAAAAAGCGATTGATCGTTTAGTTTGTTATGTTCCTTTATGTCCAAAAGCAATTGATTGCTGCTACAGTACCCGGGTGATAAAGAAGCGATAAAATGGTTATAAAGCAGTGATAAAGTGGTGATACAAGTATGATACAATGCTAATTGTGTTTACCTTTGGTTTCTTGTTTTGTTTAATTTCTTTTACTTTTTTTTTACTCATTTCTAGTATCCGATTTGTATTTTACCTTTGTATTGTTTTAAATAAATGTTATTTATGTACTTAATATCAAGAAAATCCTGGCATGCTATGTACATTCATAACGCATATAAGTTTCATTTTATTCCCTCTCAAAAAAAATAAAAAATAAAAAAGGGTTTCATTTTAATAAAATAAATAAATAAATAAATGAAACCCCTCCCTTTTAGTTTAGATTGCTTGTATTATTATTATTATTTTAAAAGTCCTTACCTTTGAGTGTGTATTGGTAGCCACAAAACAACATCGAACCTGACTTTTGAGTGGTCTAGGATTGAATCGGTTTCTCCTTAACATTGCGGCCGAACCAATTACAGTATAACGGTTTAATTCGGTTTAATTAGTTTGGGCCTAAGTCCAATTTTATTTCCTTTCAAGTTTTTCAACATTGTTAGCCCAATTACAACTAAAAAATTCACAACTTGCTACGTACTTTTTTCAAATTGTAATGTAACAAACCATACTAAAACTCAACATGTCATAAAACTTCAAATTTTAGTAACTAATAAAGCTATAATTCAAATATATATAACTTCAATGGTCCATCAAATTTCAAATTCAACATCCATATATTTTTATTATCTAATTAGAGAACTACACGTGTAAAATAAAATATAAATAAATAAATAGGCCAGTTTATAAAAATCTCAAAATCGAACCTAACCAAACTAAACTATAGACGGTCCAATTTGGTTTTTAAACTATTTAACTTTTTTTTATAATCAAAATCAAACCACACCGATAATTACAGTTTGAATCAGCCAGATTAATGCCCACCCATGAGTGGAAACACATGCTTGCCTGATTTTCTTATGTCCACGCAGAAAAAAAAATTAAAGAAGGAAAAACTGCAAGCAGCATCAAATGCAAGATGGAATAATCACCTGAACACCAGATATTGCTTTTACAATTGACTTTCCATGAGCCACACGACCTATGGTACCTGAGAGGTAAATAATTGCAAAATTAGACATGCACAAACTAACCAACAAGAAATTTTACCTACTATTTTCTTTCTCTACAGAACGTCTCCTCTTTTCCTACTATTTTACTCTTCATTTTTTCCAACTGCTTTTGCTACCATCTACTTCAATTCTCATCTTTAATTTGTAAATATAAATTTGACTATTTTGATTGTATCATAAATATTATTATATTTGTTTATAGATTGAGAATGAATAATTCAATTGATGCAACGATTATTGGTGAAGATGATTTAGATTATAACCCAAGACTTTGTATGGAAACAAACATCTAACAAAAGCCAGACTCCGGTGGACAAAGTGCATATTTTTGGATCATTCTGCTAGATGTTTGATCCAGAACATGAATGGTTGCAGAGATGTTTCAAAGAAGGGAAGAGACTATTTGATGTAATTTGTTAAGGCATGCTTTAGATTTAATATTTTTATTCAGTAGCGATTTCTGTCTAGAGACCATTTGATGTAACTTCACCGGATCGAGTCCAGTTTCATGTTTGTCAACGAGAATATTTCTGAATCTGAGATTAAAAGAGCTAAAACTTTCTAGGCAGACGCCTAATGTTGAACGGCATTCAAATCAAATCAACCAGCATGAACAGTACTGCCTAATTACCCTCCCATAGATGCTGGCGATCACTAATTTCTAATAAGGTCCAAATCAAACTCAAAACTTCATCGAATTAAGAACACAATATTTTCTGGAAGAGACAACATAACCATCAATCATTCCCTCACCTGTTGGAATGAGTCGGGTCCAAAACTTGAAGAATACGAATGCAGATGAAAGTATGATTTTATCAAAAGTCAAAGAAACAAAACAGAAAACACAATTATCCAAACAATGTTTTCTCCTCCATCTGACAAAAATGGTTCCCAGTAATTGCCTGCCTTCCCACATCTTCCCTACTCTTTAGCTGTCTTAGTGGTTTTCTTGCTTTCTGTCTTACCAATTTGTGGGGTCTAATCAAATTGGGGAGGGTGGGACATCAAGGGTTGTTCCAGCTTGAATCGTGCCCCACCCAATAAGACGCCAATGCTTCTCAACTCGCCGACTGAGTGCAATTTTCTCTCCTCTGCTGGTGCACACTGGAGAGGTGAGTTGCAGCTTTGCCAAATCATTCCTTACAGCAATAACCTTAGCCCCTGTAGACATGGATCCTATATTCAACATCAGGATCTCACCCTTGGCCAGCTTTGAGACCTTTCCTTGCTTCTCCGATCCCTTTGTCCTGACCCCTAGAAGCCTTCTCAACAGGAAGAAGTTCACCTGCAAAATCATAGAGCACAATATTCAGAACCAACAACTTCGGCAGCTCATGAAGTTGAAAGTATACCAAATATTTGTTAACATCCATTTCTGATCAACAAGACTTGCCTAGTTTGGGATGCCGAAACATAAAAGAAAAAAGATTCAAAATAATAAATACAATACAAAAACGAAATATTATTTCAAAAGAAGACAACAGTGCCACATCCTGAAAACTAAACCAAAAAGCAGTCAATGAGCTCATGACTGAGGATGCATATAAACACACATTTGCTCAATTTGCTTAGAAACATCATCTACTTAAGTTTCATCAGCTTTCAGAAACTAAGAAATAAAGAGATCATGACTGAGGATGCATATAAACACACATTTGCTCAATTTTCTTAGAAACATCATCCACTGAAGTTTCATCAGCTTTAAGAAACTACGAAAATAAAGAGCCTTGCAGCTGCAGTCATTTACCTCAAGCTCAACAAATACTTCAGGGAGAGATCCAACTTCACCAAGAACTTGACCCACTAGCCTATCAGCACGTGTCAAAGTAGGATCCATGGTCGTTCCAACGCCAATGAGACCTCCTGGAACCGCAAATTGCAACTCATTTTGCTCAGCATACAATGAAACTATTCTAGAATATATTGGCGTGCATTTTATGTTTCCACTCTCGTCCTTAACAACAATCCCAGGACGAACCTCAATATACTGGTTCACTTTCAAGACACCCTGCAAAGACACAATGTCAATTATGGTATTCGAGAACTATAGCATTTATGGACTATGAATCTTTCGAAAAACCCCAAATTATGAGGTCCAAATCAAGAGCAGGTGTGCACATTTCACAACCCAAAACTCCACCAAGAAAGTAGAATGGTATTGGGCAAGCAAAGCAGGTTTCAAAACAAAAACATAAAACAAAGACTCAAATACTGGAACATGATATAGTTTAAGCATTGTTGACACTTTTGAAAAAACTCAACAATAAAAACATACCCTGAGGATGCTTCCACCAGCCACTCCACCTCTTATCTCATCGACCTCAAACCCAGGTTTATTGACATCAAAAGAACGGATAACAATCATATTGGGAGGTGAGATAAAGTTCCTTTCTGGAATGGGGATCTTTTTGACGATGTACTCGCAAACAACATCAATATTATACTTCAACTGAGCAGAAATTGGGACCACTGGTGCATTATCAGCTACAGTTCCCTGGTACACAAAATGTTGAATGATATAATTAGCAGACTGAAACTAAAATCCCGAGAAAAAAGGATTCATGGAAACTTACCTGAATAAACTTCCGGATTGCCTCATGCTGATTGATGGCCACATTCTCCTGAATCAGGTCAACTTTATTTTGAAGGATAATAATATGTTGCAGACGCATAATTTCAACAGCAGCCAGATGCTCAGAAGTTTGTGGTTGGGGACAGCTTTCGTTAGCAGCTATGAGAAGTAAGGCTCCATCCATAATGGCGGCACCATTAAGCATAGTAGCCATAAGAATATCGTGACCCTATGAAACATAACAAAATCAAATCTAGATAAACAACCAAAAACCAATTCCGTCACTTGTATGCAACCATCACATTGACAGTCATCCTAACCAATTTTTTCAGACCAATAGACACAAAACATGAAATTACCACCAAATATGCTTTGTCTACCCCCTCCCCAAAGGAATTCAGATAATTTGGACAGTAGAATCAGAAGCTTGACAATGGTTAATACAGAACATCCCATGCAGCTAATTAAATGTTGCAAGAACTCATGGGAAGATTTGATGCACTGCTAACTATAATGTCAAACACGGACAACGGGTACAACAAAAAAAAAATGATAAGCTAAGACAATGTATAAATTATCTTGACCAAGATTCAATGTATCAGGCTCAGAACCTCCTGTGACGCAAGTATGACCAGGGATACAAGAACAGTCCTAGTGCAGTTATAAAGATATGTATCTTACCGGGCAATCTACAAAAGATACGTGTCTCAACAGTTTCATCCTGCAGTTCTCAAATCCAGGAACATCACAGAGAGGAGTGTCTTCCTTTCCACTTCCATATGCCCTAATTAGAAAATGAATACATGTTAATAAAATGGCAAAACATAATCTAGGACAATTACATTAAATGTGTACCCACTTGTAGCTCATAGGTCGAGGGCACCGCTCATCTTCACACATGTATATTTTTGCATTGGCATATCCAAGCTTGATAGTAATGTTGCGCTCCAGCTCATTTTTAAAACGAACAGTCTGCATAACATCAGGATTGTTTGCAATTTAAACAAGACAATACTTAATATCAAGAAAATCCTGGCAAGCTATAGTCATAACGCATATAACTTCATTTTATTGTAATTAGCATGTGAAATGTTGGATTCAATCTGGTTCACTATATTGGGCCCATATCCAATCAGCTTATGCTTTTAGGATATAAAGTAACTTAAGAACAGTGAAATGAAAGAATTTTGAAGCACAATGTGCACTCTAAAGGGAAGTAGAACAGAATCAGGCTAAAACACCCAAGGTTATTAAAGGAACTCCAGCAAAACATACTAAAGCATATCATATCTCCAGAATTTAAAATAACCAGATACACTATGCACTTTGTATTAATAGCAGCCAAAATGTAAAACCTATATGGTCAAGATTACAATTATCCCCTTCTTTTGGGTTACAAAATATCAATCCTAAAGAACACTCCATAATACAAGATGGAAACTACTAATCACCTGAACACCAGATATTGCTTTTACAACTGTTGACTTTCCATGAGCCACATGACCTATAGTACCTGAGAGGTAACTCGGATAACCCAAATAATTGCAAAATTAGGCATGTACAAAATAGCCAACAAGAACATTTACTCAAAATAATTGATGGTTAAATCAATATAATAATGACCTAAATAATCTTTAACGATTTTGAGCATTGGATTTGAGATTACCAATATTGATAGTAGCCTGGCGAGATATAACTTCAGGCGACAGTGGATGTAACTTTGTTACATCCAGTTTACTCAGGTCTTGCTCCATCAAACCCTTCCTCGACATTTTGACAGCTTTTACTGGATCCTCCGGCTCAAATAAGTAATCAGCTAACAACCGGATGGTATCAAGAGTGACAAACTGCACAAATTAATCAGACTGTTAATAAACAGAGCGGCACTTAGTTGAAAACAGACACTATACTGCCAAATGGACTAACGAACAATTCTTCCTAAAACTGCAAATCAAGAAACACATAATAGTATTTGCTACAAAAACCTAAAAGCATTTATAGTGCAAAACCACATCAAACTTACGGTGAACAAGAATATGAATCAAATCCAATCAATGGAAACAAAGAAAAATAGATGTCAACAGCCAAAAAATACGATAAACATTTTTGTCCGAAGAAATAAGAATGCCATGCCAAAAGCTAAAATATATGAAATAAGAATTTAGGCTATTTTTGGAAATAGCATTTCCAAAAAAATTGACAAATAAAATAACAAAGAGGAAGAGGAAAACCCTAAAGTCCACCAAGATCCATTAACGATAGAAAACTGTGAAAACCACAGTACAGACCGAGATGCAAAAACCCTAAAAGCTCTAAAAGAAATCTGTTAAATGCTCATTTTTACAACTAAAAGAGCAACTAATTGAGGTCAACATCATCGGAAAAAATTAATTTCTTCAAAATTTGAACAATAACACACTCGAATCAAACAGACAGAAAATCTAAACAAAAAATTTCAGAAAAAAGAAAAAGAAAAAAGTGAAATATCACTAGCAGTAGGCGAGAGAGAGAGAGATGGAGAAGTAGGGACCTGGGCAAGATGATGAGAGTGAGCGAGGGTTTTGTCGAGCGATAGAGAGAACGCAGCCGCACAGGTTTAAGAGAAATTCGCTGGTTGATAGTTCTGTCTGTCTAGGCAAAAGGATGAGAGCGCTTTTCCTTAATTTCTTACTCAATCGGGTCACGGGTCCTTTCTTTGGGTGGATCAGGCCCAATATTATATAGGTTATCCAAGCCCGATGAGAAGTAGACTCCAAGTAAAATTTAAAACTTCACTTCTTTTTTACCTTCTTTTACCTTGCAGAAAAACGAAAAAAAAAACAGTTCCTTGCAAGCAAAGCAACTTGATTGGCAAGGAAAAAAAAAATCAGAAAATTAGGTTGCTTGCGAACAAAGAAAAAGGAGTGACTTGCAAGAAAAAGAAAACCTTAGCTCATTCTCATTGAGTGCCTATAAAAAAGAGCATATGTGACAAGAGAAACCACCAAGAATCGGAGGAGAATTTAGGGAGAGAAAAATTTCAAGGCAAAGGAGAGAACTCGCAGCATTGAAACAAATTTCAAGTCACACACTCAAAAACCTAGGTGGTACAAAATCACTAAAAAAACCTAAGTGGTACAAAAGCATCACCCAATCAAAGGAACTAGGTCGCTTTGATCCTACCCAAGCATAATCTATGGTTTACCCTAACCAAATTCGCCCCCAAATACTTTTTCATATCAAAATGATCCTCAAACACCACATTCCATATCGAAATCTCCACCACCAAAAGTACCAAATCAAATTCAATGAACTATGAGTTGGCTTGATTACCTCAAAAGGATGGGTAGGCAACTTGGTTTTCGTTCTAAGTGCAACTACAAAACCAAACAAACACATTTTTTCGCATTATGTTCCTTTGTAATTTTAACCAAAGGGTGTTCCCTTTTAATTCATTACAAGAGTTGTAGTTAAGAGATTATGGGTCGGACTTAAAATAATAAAACCCTATTATTTGAATACGGGTGAAATTGTGTGGGAGATTTTTTTTTACATTTTCCCTCAACACAAGGAATGTGCATACATGATGCTAGAAGCTTAATATTTTTTTCAATAACAAAAAATCTATAGTATATGGAAAATTTGAAGAAGTACAAAATAAATTATCACTGTACTATTCTGAGAATAATCTTCCATTGGCAAATCCCACATGCCAAATTTTATTCCTATAAGGAGTAACCAAGAAACATCACAGATATAAAGCTAACAATCAGAATTTCAATTTTTATTCTAACTTTATTTTTCACATCTATTTCTCTTTCTTCTTTTTTCCTACTTCTCCTCATCAACAGTACGTGAAAATCAAGCGAAGGTTGTAGAGCCTCCTCCGTTGTCTTTTGGGTCACCAAATATACGGTGTCTAAAGTCGGCGACCATAAGAGGAAGGCCCTTGCGGAGGGACACATTAGGCTCCCACCCGAGAAGCTCCTTAGCCTTTGAAATGTCTGGCTTCCTTTTATGTGGGTCGTCTTCTGTGTTGGGCCTGAACTCTATCTTTGCATTCGGATCTATAGTGTCTTGTACAACCTGCAGAAACCGGGGTCCAAATACATCACTGCACTTCCACTTGATACCTATTGTAATAATAAACGACTCGTCTTGTCGTGACTTTCTCTTGAATGTTCATAGTTACGTAGCTTCATTCATTTGTGCCTTTTGTGTTGTGAAATAGAAGCAAAAAATAGAGGAAAAGGCAAGAATTTGAACAGATATATGTACCATTTTGAGTATTGTTTGTTTGCAATTTGCACAGTAAATGAGTTTAGTTAATTTACCTGAGCAAGTTCTAGCATGGTGAATTCACCAGGGTTGCCAAGATTGAAGGGGCCCACATGATTTCCTTCCATCAGTCGCATTAGACCCTCAACCTACCACATATGCAATAATGCACAACACAAATTGTTTGTTCAAACTCTAAATTTCATGAAAATTGTTTGAACCAATACAAATGATACACTATTATAAGCATTTTGAATGGTTTTTGCCAAATATGCAGAAAGCATCTTCCTTTTTCAGAATGATTTACAATTTAATGCAGAAGAAACTGTTTCACCATAACTTTACTTTGACCATGATCAAGACAAAAAGAGGAGAAATGTACCAAGTCAGAAACGTATTGGAAACTTCTGGTTTGCTTGCCATCACCGTAAACTGTCAATGGCTCCTTCCTTAGTGCCTGTGTAGTTCATAGACGCATAAAAATTTGTAGGAAAATCAAAATGAATTCATGGTTTTTTTTTTTTTGTTTGACAAAAAGGCACACCTGAGCTACGAAATTGCTAACAACACGACCATCATCGATGCACATACGTGGTCCATAAGTATTGAAAATCCGAGCAATTCTCACCTGCAAGACGTTATGTACATTAGACCCATGAAACCAAGGCAATAAGACACAGAAAAATAAAAAAGTTACCTCAATGCCAAGGCCTCTATGGTAATCCATGGTGAGAGTCTCTGCTGTGCGTTTTCCCTCATCGTAACAGCTCCTTACTCCTGCCAAATGCCAACAGAACCATGTCAAAAGAGAATTGCAAATTTAAAATGATAGCCTAAAACACTTGTTTTGAAATAATCAAGTTTTGAACCATGTAGAGAGAACATATTTTTCACTAGGCCGCATTCCATTGCTGATTATATATAAGTCTCCTTTTCACGATGAGAAATGTGATAAAATATTACTCGTTTCAACGTTACGAGAGACACAAATTAACAATATAATTAGTAAATATGATGAAATTAATTCTAACTAGAACTGTTACTATAGAAAATTATCTAATTATATATATCATTTCGATATATTGTCGATAGTGTCTATACTTTTACACTATCTCAATTTGCTACTGTAATAGTGTTATTTGAGAACATTGCTACAATAAATAATGAGGAGAGAGAGATAGAGGTTTGGGGGTAACTCACCGATGGGGTTGACATTGCCCCAGTAGGACTCAACCTGAGGGTGCTGCAAGGGGTCACCATACACCTCACTGGTGCTTGTGAGCAAGAAGCGTGCACCCACTCTTTTTGCCAGTCCCAGCATGTTCAATGTGCCCACCACATTGGTCTTGTGAACCCCAAGCTCACACAACAAATCAAGGACCCCAACCCAAAACAAAAATATCACTTTAACCACAACACAACATATATATATCAAACACGAATTTAACTATTTTGTTTAAATTCTCTCTCTCTCTCTCTAACATCCTATCATTCAATATTCAACTGAAAATTTTGATAAATTAAGAATTTTCTTATTACATACTTTTGTATGAAATAAATCTTATCTTTACTTGGTAATGAAATTAAATATTTTTTGAATTTTAAACTGAACTTTTTCCTTGTATTTGCGCAAACTAATAAATTTATAATTTGAAGAGTTTCATGCTTGCACATAAAATAATGAGTTACTTTAATTTTGATCTCCATTAAGCCAAAAAAAAAAACGAAAATTATAAATACAAATAATTTACTAGAGAATAATAAAAAGGATATGATGGTCTTGACCGGATTGAACTTGTAATGAACAGGGGAGGCAGGGCAAGCGAGGTGGTAGATCTGGTCAACCTCCAACAGAATCGGCTCAACGACGTCGTGTCGAATGAGCTCGAACTTCGGGTTCCCAAAGTGGTGCACCAGGTTCTCTTTCCTCCCCGTGAAGAAATTATCCAGTACGATCACGCTGTCCCCTCTCGCCATCAGACGGTCCACGAGGTGGCTCCCCACGAACCCGGCCCCACCGGTCACCACAATCCTCTGGTTCTTCTTCTTCAGACCCAGCGGCACCTTCCCGCCCGCGCTCATCACAGACCCAAACCCAACACCTCGGGCCTCGTAGAGCACCCTCCTGGTCGGGTTGGCCGGGAGGTCGAGACCCGACTCTGATTCGAAACCCGGGTCGTGGGTCGTCGCCAGTTCCGGGTTTGATAAGGGGAAGCTGCTGAAGAAGAGGGTGGCTATGGCGATGCCAATGAGGACGAAGAGGAGGCGCTGCTCGCGAAGCAAATAGCGAATTGGGTTTGTATGGGGAGGCCTGCAATTGCTTTGAGGATCAAAATCAATGGTGGGTTGTGATGATTGGTCGGGTTGTTCATCTTGCTGATGAGATTGGGTTGTGTGGGTTCTGTGAACTAAAGACTGGTTATCGGAGCTTATCATAATTTCAAGTTGGGTTTTGTGAGTGGTTCAGATTTTGTTGGGAAAGTTTTGGTTTTGATCGAAATGGAGGTAAGCTTGGATTGAAACAGATGGAAAATGGAAAAAGGTGGGCAGCATGGGATGGGAGAGAGAGAGAGAGAGAGAGAGGGAGAGATGGAGGTTGGGTGTGTGTTGAGTGATATGTGGGTGGGGATATCAGTTTTTTGGGTCGAAGTGGTCGGTACATGGGGACTTTCATGCATGAAATTTTGCCATATAATCGTTCTAAGGCGCGTGCATCTCTCTGGGTTTTGGGTTGCTTTTTAGGCAATATGCCAATGTGAGAGAGAGAGAGAGAGAGGGAGTTACTTGCTTACTTTTGGCACCAGACTTAAGATGATTACAGTTTTATGGCAAGGTAACTAAAACGTAAATATTGTTTGGTAAGCACTTAAATTTAATTTGACTGGTTTTTTTGGTTTCCTCCCAAATCCCTATGCTATAGCATTCATGCTCCTACAGACAGACAGCTGTCTTGATTTCTTTTAACTTGGTCAAAATTCACGCAAAATATATAGATGCATCATCATTCATCAAACGACATTCACAGAGCACCACGCGGCAGATGAATGAAGTGGCAACTGTGGCCCTCGGGACTAAATAGTGCGTGTGTATGTCTAAGCTCAAATCAAGGAAAGAATGTAGCGTTGCCACATGATGCAGGGGTGTTTTTTTTTGGTTTTTTGGTTTTAAAATTTTTTATAATAAATTATTATTTTATTATTTTAATTATATATTTTTTTAATAATGATATTTTCTATTAAGATGAACAATAATATATTAAACTCACACATGCTAAACGGATGTTAGAACTCGAACTCAAGGCCTTACTTGATGAGTTCCTTGCGTCTATTTAAAGGAAGGAAAGAATGTAAAAGACGAATGTGAAATTGAAACAAGAGCAAAAATGGTGGAAGTTGAGGTTTTAGGGTTTGTGTGGAAAGAAAAAGAACAGATTTGCAAATGAGCTTCTTAAGGCAGATGCCATTTGCTGATTGAACTCTTCCCCGAGATTTATGTAATACAGAGTGCATTGGCTATGGAAACAGAGTTAAACAACACTGCATCCCAAGCAAAGGCAAATCCTGTGTTGGCTGTCGCTTAACACGCGGGCAGTCTACAAATTAAAGATTTAATCCCCTCCCTGTTAGTCAAAAAAGCTGAGGACGGACACAAAGGGGATATTGAATCTTTTTCCCTTGAAAAAAAAAGAAATTTTACTATAAAAAAAACAAAATTTTCTAGTGCTTGACAAAAATTCTTTACGAATCTAATTCAGGCACATGTTCGAAATATATTTAACTAGGAGTAGTAAATAATACATCAAAATTTGTACAGTTCCTATCTCATAGCAACAAGCAGCACGACAACAGTAGAAAGCCTTCACCAAAACAGTAGATAGTGAATCACTTGTGAAATAATATTACACATTTTGATATTACACGTCACAAGAGAGCAACAGCAAAGGAGGACTGACACTAGAACCGTCGAATATCTTTAGGCGGCCTGAAGTTGAGGGGATGAGTTTCTGGAGTGGCATTTTCGTCTTGTTTCCACATTTTGATCGTCTTATCAGCTTCACAACTAACCAGCCTTGTACCAGTGACATCGTAGGAAAGAGCATATATAGCAGCTTCACTATCCAGTGAGCCTGTAATAAAGCATCTCTAGGTGTTAGCCCCCCTCCATGCTTCAGTAAACCGTAAAAGTAGGGAAGAAAACATAAAATGGTAAAAAGGCACAACACAGTGGACATACCAGGCTGTACAATTGTTTGGGATTGCTGAAAATTATGACCGCTCTTCCAATCCCAAAACCAGACACTCCCATTGTCACCTTCAATAAAACAAATGGGGGAAAGGTTTGAGTTACCAAGTTTTATGAAACAAAAAAAAGGAATCAAAAATTGTCCTAGCTGATATGTTAAAAATCCATACCTCCAGTGGCCATAACTCCATCCTCATTGACAGCCATTGCGTTAATTATGGTTTTCTGCTGAGAGCTGCTCAAAGACAACAAATAATTTAGGAACATTGTTATTAACGATACTCACTAGAGAACTAATATAATTTATATGAAAAAACAATACTCAACCTAAATACTGTTGATTTATCAGAAAATTGAAATTTTTAATTTTATTAAAATACTCACAGCATGTTGTGTAAAAATTCGCCTTTTGGAAGGTTGAACTTCTTAATGTTGTCAGCTGACGCAGATGCAAAACAATTTCTGGACAACCAAACACAATTAGAAACGACATCAAATCATACAATTTAAGGGTGTGTAATAATCTACACTAGCAAGATAATTCACTGCACATGGAGTAACAAGTACATGTACTGGTACATACTCTTTAGGATGTTGTGCCATTGCACGCACAGATTTCTTATGGTGTGTGAGGGTTGACATTGTTTTCCCTGCAAGGAATGTAAATTGATACTTAAAAAATACTTTTAAAGAGGGATTACCGAAACTGAGTTGCAATTAGTTAAAGAACATAAATTACCATATCGTAGGTCCCAGAACTTGATGGTTGAGTCATGAGAACCAGTAATAACTTGCGGGTCCTGGAAATATGAGGCAACAAAATATAAGAACTATTGCCTATTTTAACCATATAAAGAGCACTGGATGAAAATAAAATGAAAAACATAAAGATAGCATCCAAAAATAGATATCTAACTTTTGAAAGAAAAAAAAACAACAAAAGATAAATAAAAATTCATAGTTGTACTTGTAGTTTTAGCATAAAAGTATAAATTCAAAGTACCAGTAAATTCAATTCTCTGCAACTTGTTTATTAGCTGTGCTTTTGGGAGGAAATGAGAGCCAAGGATTACAGGATTCAAAACTTTTATAAAGAATGATGTAAAAGTGAAGGCTACCTAACACAACATAATACAATTCTCAGGGCATGGCAAGAAATTGTTAACACATGCATTTGAGGACAAATGAGGAGAGCAAAAATTCAGCCCAACATTAAATAAGAAAAAAATCTGAATCCCAATCATCTATAGATAACAGCAGCAAAAATATAAGTTACTATTACGATGATGACACCAGCAAGAATAAAGTAATTATTCTTAACTGTATGAATTTATGTATGCATGGATACTCTGCAATACAATCAGAAAACCACAAGGAAAATTGAACGAGTAAGGGTTTTTCATACTGTTGGTCGAGTAAAAACTGAGCAAACTGTGTTATCATGTCCCGACAATGCATGAACTTGCATCTTGCTTCGAATATCCCAAACCTGAAATTTTATTGCACCATAACATAGGTATCATTACCACAATGCCACTCTGATACAAATTACACTAATGACTTTGCTCAATCCCTAAAAGCACTTCATCCGTTAAAATATGCAGGAAATGAACTTTACTAATAAGACAAAGTACATACCCTGCATACAGAATCACGTCCCCCAGTAAGTAAAACATCAAGAGTGGGATGAAGAGCCAAGCAGTAAACACCACTTAGATGACCATGATATGAACGGATAACCTACACAAAAAATTATGTTGTAACAATCAGTATTCCTTAGAGAACAGCTAGAATGAAGCTCTGAGAAAAAAAAAAACAGTTGATTTAATAGAAGTTCCAACCTTGTTTTGTTCAAGGTCCCAGCATTTAACTAGTTTGTCATCACCAGCAGAGAACATATAGGTATGCCTGCTGCTAACAGCAAGTCCTGCAAAAAACCACTTATTGTTACCAACACAGTCATTAACCACAGCATGGATAACCAAAAGCAAGCAATCCCACCAGCAATAATTCAAGAGAAACAAACCTCGTATTTGTTCAATATGTCCAGTCAGTGAAAGCTGTAATGTTCCAGTTCCTACATCCCATATCTGACCAACCAAAATCAGAACAAACACAACCCAACATAAATTTACAATAAAACACAAAAAATGCTCCTTCAGAAATTTTCGTTTAAGTATCAGAAAAAGAAGACCTAAAAAAAAAACAAATGGCAATTGATTTTAACTTATAGAGAGGAGAAAACATTGCAGGAAAGGGGGAATAGAAAAACTTGAGTTTCTCTGACAGCATAACAATAACACATGAACCAACTCAGATAGGCCAACTTGGACAAATGAAGCATAAAGTTCAATACCTTGATTGTACGATCTGCTGAGCCAGTGCAAAACCATTTATTACTTGGATCAAAGGCAATAGATCGTACCCATCCCAAGTGGCCACTAATGACCTACATAATCAAATGGAACAATGGCTGATAAGCAACAGTATGCATAATCTTTTTCTTTCTTCTCATATGCAACATTAGCATAATAGTACGTGAAAACAACTCAAAGAGATGCAAGCCAATCTTATCAACTCGTTAGACACGAAAATGCAGAACCAAGGGCAACAAAAATATAAACTAGCACTCATATAACATGAAGTACTGCATTCCTAATAACATTCATTTAATAAGAATCTCCAAGTTACTCAGACAATAAAAGCCTTAGCACTTTTCTTGCTGCACCTAACTGTGTAAGATTAAGAACACATTGTTCGTACCCTGTAGATCTTCCAAGGAGCATGCCAAACAGGACGTGGCCATCTGCTAGGAATTCTTTCCATTAAAGCCGATGTTGAATACCTAGAGAAGAGAAAAGTGACAGTTAAAGAAAAAATGGGCTGCATTTTCCATAACAGTATTATCAAGATTAGAGAAAATGAAATGAAAGATGGTATAGAGCATCAGCCAGCTTGTAAGTTTAGGATCTTCAGTTTTCATAAAATATCCCATTAAAAAAATAAAAAATAAAAACCTAATAAAAACTTCAATCTAAAACACTTTGAAAGCACATAATATGATGCCAACTAATACAATCCCAACCCTGCATAATGCATGCAGATGCTGAAAAATGGCCATGACATGCCTAAATTTCAGGTAGTAGAATAAAAGTAAACTGATGAAAAAAGTATTCAACTGTATCAAAGGGATTCAAACCAATGTGATGCAGATCTACGTTGAAACATCAAAATTACCATAATCATATCTAACTCTTTGAACATTTTGACTGGTATTCTATATTGCCAAGAACATCCCTAGGGTGATTTTTATCTAACGTTGCAAATATTTTTCCCTTCACCAACCCCAAGCAGCCCAAGAATTTCATAATACACTGCTTAGGCCAAGTACTGAGTTATTAAACATGTACTGCAGTCTGGAATGAAAACAAAAACTGATGGAAAATCGCTTGTTTAAGTCAGGCGTTCTAAGTGCATAAAACAACTCAGAGAAGAACAAAGCTCAAACCTTTCAGATGACCCTGGAGCAGAAACAGCTAGAGTGCCTCTACCCGAAATGCCAACATCATTCCTGGAAATAAACAAGGACATGATTATCACAGTTCACTCCACAATCAAAAGTGTCCTCATTAGAATAAATCATCTAAACCTATTTACATTCCAGCAACATTAGAAACATAGAAACTTTCAAATTCCACAAATCACTCATATAATTCTCATATATGATTTAGATATTTAGCCCAATCACTTTGAACAAGAGAAGTGGAAAAGTACAGTACATGAATATGCAAATATCTTGTGAAGGGGGACAAGTCAAAATATCTGAAACATTGAGAGATTAAATAAAGGCATAAGAAACCATTAATACACCAACAAGACTACTTACGGTGCCCTTGGTGCAGATGGACGGACAACCAACGCATTTTGAGCTCCTTCCGTACTTGAGTCCCTAGAATCTTCACGACACACATGATATCAAGCAACTATTTTAGCAAGTTACAATGTCAATATAGAATACCCAAATAAATGCAATTTCCCCCAAACAATAAGCTGAATAATCCCTACTTGTAGTTACAACTTACAAGCACCTGCTTACAAATAACATTTTGAAATTTTAATCAGAACAAAGAATACCTGGAAGGGCAAGAGCACTGGAAGGCCCTTGAGGACCGCGACCTGGTGCACTGGACTCAGCCCGGCGGGGCGGTTTTTGACTAGCCGTGGGTTCAATTCCTCCATACTCCACGCTTATCTAATAATTCAACCAAAATTTTTGTTCTAATGCAATATTCTTCAACTCAATAATTTCACAGCTTCTAAATCAGAAACGAATTAACAAAATTAAGACACTAACCTTGTGGCTCGTACGAATTCTTTTACTGAAAAAAATAATAAAAAAAGTATGCAAGAATTAACATTACAAATTTGTCAAGAGGCAAATAAGAAGAGATAGAAATCAAAGCAAATGGCGGTACCTTTCGGGGTCAGGAGGAGCGAGTTCACCATGGGCAGGAGAGAAGAGATCGCGAGCTCGCTTGAGGGATTTGAGACTGAGCTTTTTCAGCGACTGTGGCTCCACTGGCTCCATCTCTAAGGTCGGCCCAGGCATTGTCTTCTATATTCAGGCAATGCGTTCTAGGGTTTAAGGCCAGTCGCTTCTCACTCCAAGCCCTAGTTGGAGGAGGGGGAAGCAAGTTAGAGAGAGGAGAAAGTCCTAGTCGAGAGGCTGCCTATTTTAGGAGACGGCGCGTTTTGTATATTTGGTCATCCGGCCGGGCTGCCCCGCGAAAGACAAGCCGATGTGAGTCGGTTCAATATGCTAACTTTAGTAGGAATTTTCGATAATTGTTTTTTGTTGAAAATAAATTAACATGTAATTTATATATAAAGCGTAAAAAGCGGAGAATAGTGAAATATTTACATTGCATGACTTACCTAGGCAAATAGACGAAGGTAAAAATATAACGAGTTTCAAAAAGGCGAACATGCCATTTTTCTTCTTTTCCGTGGACAATTCTAGAAACCAAAATCTCTGAAAGGCAGATCACAATAAAATGTACTAGTCTTGAAAACACAAAAAATATGAACATATAGATTATACTAGTTTTATATACCCTGAAATATTGCATGATATGTTGCGATAAATAAAAATAGTTCATGCTTGTTGAATATGTAGGAGTTCAACAGAACTTTGAATGCTACTTTTTATTTATTTATTTATTTGGTGATAGGTTCTTGATTTACATATTTGGAACTTACAGGATTGTAAGTCAAGTGGCTAAGAGCATTTATCCATCCATCTGATATCATAAGTTTGATTCTCCTCCCTCAATGTTACTTATTAAAAAAATAGAATCAAAGATATTGGTAATTTAGGTGAGATAATGGAGTGAACTAAATATGTTTTATGTGTGGAACAATCAAGTGTAATAACTATTTATGGAGGCAGTTTTGTTATGGAATACTTTAGAGGAATTTTTTACCAACCGACACATCTAGTGCTAACTTGAGAAGGTAAAATGTCACTTTTTTTCTTCAAAACAGAAACCAAAAGTTAAGTGGGATTTTAATTGATTGTTTTGAAGCTTAAAAGTCAACTAGTATTCAATTAGGATTTTTAAGTAATCAATCCAAGTTAAGTGGTATTCAATTAGGATTTTTAAGTAATCAATACAAGTCCAGTGGTATTCAATTAAAATTTTTAAAAGATAAGAAAAAGTACAGTGATATTAAAAAACTTACCAATTTTGAGGTATTTCATTAAATGACGTATTGTATGGGACTTTTAAGTGGGTGATATAAATACCAAACCCCATAAAAAATCTTCACCCTAATGTGCATGATTCTAACGTTTGTTCTATTTCTCTTTTGTGAGAAGATGAAAATCACGGCTCTTCTTCTTCATAAGGGGATTGATTGTTGGGTGTGGCAGTTGTCTAGGCTTATGTGTGTTCTTGTTCAAGATATGACAGAGGAAGAAGAGAGAATAGCAGCACACCTGTTTGAAATGATGGACAAAGTATGTGCTGAGAAAAAAGCCCCAAAACCAAAAGAGTGGGAATTTACAAGGGCATGCAAAGAAATTATGGACGATGTGGAGGTGCACTGCAGGATGAGTCAATTGATCTCATGTCCAATATCTATAATTAGGTTATTTCGTTTCTTTTCTATCCTTTGTATCCAAACAAACAAAACCAGTATTATATTCGGGATATAGGATAACTATGTGCAATTGCATAGCAAAACAAAATATAATTGCACAAAAGAGAGTCAAACAGTCTATCCTATATAAACATCGGAGGCAGACTGGTTACTAATTTGGGTCATTTTGAGCATTGTGTTTATACTGATTTATACATTTTATCAATGCTTGTGTTTCATAGTAGCCTAGCTGGTGATTCATTCTTATAGAACCCATGTTTACATGATTTTGTTTCATATGAAATCCTATAGCAAATCTTTTGATTCTTTTAGAGAATACAAAAAAGTCTTAATGATTAAAATCCTGCTGAAATCCAATACATTAAAATCATGTAATTACAATCCATACATCTTTGTCAAGAATTAATTTCTTATACTCTCCATCCAATTCGATCATGAATTTTCCACAGAACTCACATGTTTATATTTCAACAATCCAATAGAATCATGTTTGAGTACTAGCAGTCAAATTTTTTTTTCTTTTCAAGGAGAATGTTGTGGTTGTGGTTGTTCGGTGTTATAAATGAGTGTCAACCCAAATTTCAATTGTCAAAGTTTCATTGAAATTGATAGCCCAAATCAATCCTTTTCATGTTCAAATTTCACAAAACCTACTTCCGTCCTAGGTTACAACTCAGCACCAGCACTGGAACAACTCCAACAATGGCAAGTTCATTTATCAAGCCTAGAACTCACATCACTCAGTTAGATGTTAAAAATCCGGGTTCATACTTTCAAATCCATAAGAAAAATATTATTTTTGTTGACAAAATACAAAGCCTTATATAGGTTTAATAATTGCAGTCTTGTTTTTGGCTTGAAATACCAACAGTTTGATTTGATTCAAGGTAATAGAGATGATGAGTTATCTTATTTATCAATATTTATGGGTAAATCAAGCAACATTTTTTATACACAGATTATGAATAGAAAATGCAGTGCACAAACAATCACATATTACATGCTCATAGCAACCAATGACACAACTTAGCTCTTTGCATGCTGTACTTGAAAAAAAAGCATAAACATGAAGCATCATCCTTCTTTGTTGTCACAGACGTGCCTGCTGGTCGATGAATTTCAAGCTATAGGGGGATCCAACCCTGTTTTAGTTTGAAATTATAGCATAATTAGTATGAAACCCCCTTTTAATCCCTATAAAAAAAACTTGTTCAATTCTTAATGTGCACACCTTGATCAGACCCATCTCGGTGCCACATAAGATAATGTCATTGGCCGTGAGGAGGCTGGTAATTCTGCTTCGTGCTGAAATTCTGCCCACTTTCTGCTGAGCCCGTGAAGAACTTTTGGAGAACTGATTTCAGCCAAGTGCATGATATTTGTGCAATGGTCAAATGCAGTTACTAAAACTTCAATAATCATCAGGGATGCTGTCAGAGGTGTTGGCAGAGATTCTGACCTACCCTTGTAAATGTTTGAATTGCACATGACCCCCGCCAATATTGGTAAAATTTCTAAACTCTTAATTTCTGCAGGAGATGGATTCGTCAAGTAAAACAGTATTGCTGCCTCATGCACATCTCTTTTTAGAGCACTTGCCAAATCAGACAGCTGTAGACCTTTCTTCTTGATGTCTTCTATAGCTGACTTATTTGCTGCAACAAGACTGGTTAGTATGGACACTGATGCCCTTAAAACCATTTCCTCCTTTGAAGTTGAAATACCTGCTAGCAGTTGATCCAATATCATGTCTTTCAAGATAGCACATTTTTCTCCGTTCTTCTTGCCTAATAGTTCATATATTGTTGTAACTTCTAAAGCACAATCTTCATCCCATTTTCCTAATCCTTCCAAGTACAATAGTTTTGAAATTGCCTTTTCAGTGATACCCAGTAGTTCACTTTTGGAATATTTTGCAGAATATAAACTAAATCCGATTTACAGCAGGAAAAGCTAATTGCTAGGAGGAGATTGTGAAGTTGACTTCCGTGTGTGCTAGGAAAGGAAAGCTGCGTTAACATAAACTCACTTCAAGAAAGCTTTTCGGGGTATGCAAATTCTGTTTTCTCCTTGTATTACTTCTTTGGTGATCCATTTGGTTGATCTTATAGTTCTTCTGAGATGCACACTCATTCTCTACGTAGCAACTCCGAAGGATGTTTGGCTTTTCATCTCTATGTTCTGAAATAGTTAAAGTTAAATTGATTGGGCATCTGCTGCCAAGTAACATAGAATGATTTACTTCAGGGGCTTCTTTAGGCACTAAATCCTGCAGCTTCCTGTACAGGGTGCTTGGAAATTAGGAAAACATATTAAGCTCTGACATTAAGTTTTCTATAACGAAGTTTGGGTCTCCAAAAGAGAAAACAGATAAATAAAGGTATAATTGTGAGTATCTATCCATCCATCCATCCGAGATCTTAAGTTTGATTCTCCTCCCTTAATATCACTTATTAAAAAAATGGAATCAAAGATATTGGTAATTTAGGTATTGAAGCGAACTAAATATGCTTTCTATGTGAAAGAAAAAAGTGTAATATTTATTTATGGACGCATTTTTGGTACGAATTTCTTTAGAGGAACACATGCATACTTTCAAATTCATAAAAAAATGAAATACATGCCTTGTATAGGTTTAATAATGGCAGTCTTGCCTTTGGCTTGAAATACCAACAGTTTGATTAAAACGGAACAAAAGCAAAACAAGCCAGGGTTAAGATAATATAACAAGGAAGACAGAAAGCCGAATTATGGCAAAAGTAAGACGATTACAAAAAGGTTGTTCAGAAATAATGACAACAATGTCAATGAAAAATGTCCCTCAAAATCTCCAAGCAGTTCTGGAATTTGAATTCAGCTTCTTTGAGCAACATGGCTGGTCTCCGAATGGCTAGTTTGAAAGTTAGTATCTTGCTTTCCAAACTCTTGACAACTTTGTCTTGAGTTTCAGCTCGACCCAGCTGTTCATTTATTTCTTGGGCCAACTGGGTCCTCCTTTTCTTAGCATGTTGGAGAGCAGTTTCCAACCCCTTGATCTCCGCATCGACCTTTTGAATCTCAGTGGCCTTGCTTTCTCCATCAGCAATTGCTTCATCTCTATCAGTGTAGCTTTGTTGGAACCTTGAGACCGTGTACTCTGCATTGGAAGCCAAGTCTAGACTGTCATGATACTGGCTCAAGGCATCTCTCAGTTGCTCTAGCTGGTCCATGGCAAAACACAAGATCTCATAGAGCTTGTGATCAGACTGAGCTAGCACATTGAGGGCCTGATGGACTTCTGACATAACTCCATAACTTTGGACATCATCAAAAGATCTGGTCATCCATTCCATCATGAATGTTTTCGCCTGGATTACACTAGATTGAGTATTCGAAGATGAGGACTCAATAGATTGCTTTAATTTCGACAGCCTGGTCAGATTGTTTTGAGCTTGTGAATCAGGATTGAGATCATCATAATCCTTGATCACGTAAGTGATAGGAGGGTTAGCTGGTCCATGAGTAGTGGCATTAATGGGAGGAACATCCAAGGCAGGAGCAGACTGCAGCAGTAGAGAAAGTTTGAAGTCACGTTATCAAAAGATTAAATAATAATAATAATAAATAAAAGAACAAGAAGAGGGGTGAAATGACTTACGGAAGCACTTCCACAGGTCTCCTGAATGGGAGCAGAGGCGACATAAGGCTCATTTTCTGTGGCTTGTTCATCAGAACCTTCAACATGACTTGGAGAGGGTTGAGTATCAATCGGACCAATCTGCCCAACGGTGCCTTCAGGGACCTTCAGGTTAAGATGAGAAGCATTAGCCATCCATACCATCTCGATGATGGGGTCAAAAGCTTTGGAAGGTTGGACGACAGAAAGTCTGGGTTTGATCAAGTGCTCCACTGCTTCCATCTCTATGTTCTCAGCTTGAAGGGGCAGATTTTCAACACTTGGGAGCTGCAAAGAAAAAAATCAGGCATATCACTTTCTGTTAAGGTAAAAACAGGAAAGTTATCAAGGTTAAGCTTTACCTCTTGCTCAGAGTGGCCCAACTCTTCTTCAGTTCTGACACTTGTCTTTTCTGATATGACTATTTGTTGGGTCATGGTGGAAGAAGAAACCTCCTCCTAGAAAGCAGAACAAGGAGTTAATATAAGTTTAGGGCTAACATAAGGGAATGAATTGAAAAAGGCTGATTGAGTTACCTCTTTGGGGGGGACAGAACCCGTGTCTTCAGTCTGACCAGCCATTTCTTCTTCCCTTACCCCCAATTCATCAACGTTGGTTTTCTGGGAGGGATGCATCAGTTGGTTTATATGTTTGAAAAAGATTAATTAGAGTGATTCTCCAATAAGTATTTTATGTTAAGAATTGGTCACATATTTCTAATCTCGACTGTTGGATTGCATATATGCATTTAAATCTACCAAAACATCTAATGAATGCAATCCAACGGCCGAGATTAGAATTATCTAACCAATCAGAAAGGCATTATATAGCAAGTTATGGTTAGCATGGAAATAAAACTACAAATACCTCTGAAGTAGAGGCAACTTGTGTCTCAAGAACCTCTGATTGAGGAGTTGTATCTATAACCGTATGAGACTGCAAGCAAGGGATGAGTTTTTAGAAACAAGAAAATGGCCAATCAATGGTTCAGCAAAAGAGCGAGTTTTGTTACCTCTTTGTCAATCGGACTGGTTGAAATAGTCTCATCGATCACTAGTTTTTGAGAGGAAGATTGGGGGGAGATTGCAACTTGATTTGATGCCTAAAATATGGTAATAAGATCAAGTCAGAAGAGAATCAAGAGACCATTCAGAGAAATGAAAGGTTGAGAGCCAATACCTCAGTGCCTTGAACAGAACTAGCACTTGCATCTGCCTTCTCTGCATTAGGATCTGGTACAGTCTCTTTGGGCTAGAAAATTACAGAAATGCAAGGATTATATATAATTAAGGAAGATGCCAAATAATGGTTTGACAATGAACAATTCCAACTACCTCTGGATTAGAGGGAATTTGAGTATCGGAAGCCTTTGGTTGAGAGGCTGAGCTTGAAATTGGTTGAGGCTGAAAAAGATAATCAAATGGATCAACCAACTAGTGAATTAGCAAGCAAAATAAAGATCTAAAATGACCAAAAGATAGTCATACCTTAGAAGTAGCAGTTGAAGGCATATCTGTGCAATGTTTCTCACCTATAGAGTGACTGGCCACGCCCCCAGCATCACTAGGCTTATCAGATGCATCACCAGTCTCTAGTGGTTCCACCACATCTGAGTTCGATGGCAGGATCTTAGAACTATTGGCTCCTGATTCAACAGATGTATCTTGGGAAGCTTGTAGTACATGTGGTTTAGGAAACAATTTCCTCAGTATGTCATCCCTGGAACGGTTGGCCTTCATGTCAACAAATATGGCATCTGAACATAAGAACCTTGAACAATCGGACCCGAAACTTGCAATTACCAAAGTATTACCGATCTTCTGAAAAGCTGCAGCAAGCACACTCACATTTATACTAAAAGATTTGTGTATCCTCCTCCTCTTAAGGGCGTCATAAAATTCCCATGGTAGCTGCTCAGTGATATAGTCCCTCCCCAGCAAATCATATAGTATATCTTGACCCGTACCAAAATTCACATAAACCAAGCATAACACAACAACAAATCTCAATATGAGCTGCGAATAATAGTTCTTCCAATTTTCATTGGTCTTTTTAATCCAATCAACCATATTCCTCTTATTAAAAACACACTCCCGAACTACATAAAGGATTGCAACCAAAGATGGTTGCACATCAGCAACTATGGAACTTACGTCGGCATCTTCTTCTTGGTATATCAGCCACTCAATAAAGCAAGAACTTGTAGTGATAGCATAACCCTTGAAGCAAGTTGCCCAAATCACAAGGCGCTCCACAAGGTACAAAAAGCAACCAGGTGATATGTAATCATTAACAACCCTCCAGTTCACATTATAAGTATCAACCAAAGCATCACAAAACTTCAACATTACAGACACCTCTCTCGGTTCTTGACTGCTGTTTCCAGGGCCAATATTCCCACAGAGATTCTCAATGAACTCCTCCCATGGCTGGTGGCAGTCCAGTTTTTCCACAAGCTTCTCGTATAGTTCACTATTCAGCTTACCGGACCCGAGAATAACCATTACAAGCCTTCCAATTTGCCCAAAAGACAGCTCCGTCTCGGAGCTAGTATACTCAACTATTACTTGTTCCAGCGCATTATTTAGAGCATCAGTTCTTCTGAGAGAAATCATATTCTCCTTCAATGAACTCCTCCAATCCATAGGAAATATGTTCGTAACAACACTCTCAGTTGAAAACTTTACACGTCTCTGCAATCTCTCGGTATCTTGATCCCTTAGCTTCAAACATTTTGATTGCAAAAGATATACTGAGACCTCACAAATATGGGTAAGGCACCTGCTTTGGCAAAACACTGGATCAGCATTCTCCTTTGGAAACTTGTAGTAAAGATTTTCAAGCTTGTCCAAAACTTTCATGCCAACAGAGAGCATTTCTGAACTCCAATATTTACGAGCAGCTGAGACAAGCTGGTGAACATCAACGGAGACCAACTTTCCATGTTTTTTAAAACATCTTTTGTCCAGACCTCGAATCCAATCAGCATCGGATATGAGTAAAACATATACTGGACTAAGATTATGATACAACCTCCACACTCCTAAGTAATCAAACAAAGATCCCCGTAGCTTTTGTATTCATTAACATCTTGGGTTTCAAGGCATCCTAGATATTCAATTATTAAAGCAATTTTATCCTTCCAAAAATTCCAGAAGTAAATCAGTGAATCTATAGATACCTGATTTTCAGAGCACTTCATCAGATCATCATCATCAACCAACTTCGTTTCCCACACATACTTATTGGAGCTTGAAGAAATATGAGCATCCAATATTTTTCGTGCCGATAATAATTCACCTCTAATACTCTTATGCCTCTGACAAACACTCATATGATTTTTTATCAAAGCCAAGTCACTCTGCTCATTTAACAAAATGTCAACCTCAGTGCAAACAAGTTCATAAAAGCTTTCTGTTTTATTCTTAGCAAATGACTTGGCTTTTGATAAAAGCTCCTCCTTTTGTGAAATATGTTGTATGGGCCAGCCCTTTCTGCCATTTGACCAAAGAGAGTTGGCAAGCACATAGAATAGAATATGTAATGACGCTTCTCTGGACTTGCCTGCCTTTTCAAGAAAATCAGCTTCGAGTAGAATATCGCCTTTTAGCTTTGCGATTTCGGCAGCTTCAAGATAGTTTCCATGTTCTTCTTCCAACAAAAGAAGCTCATCAAGGATATCTAACTTCTTCAAAAAGTTCCGCATCAAAATTATAGAATCAAAAGCATTAACAAATTTCATCATGGATCTGTTATCTTTCAACTCATAATAGTGAAGTGCGCAGCTCTCCAGAAATTCTTGTTCAATTTTATCTATTCCTTCATCTCGTCTAGCCACAACACAGTCCTCTGTTGCATGCTGTTTCCAATAATTGATGTATTGCAAACCCATTTCAAACAGTTTTCCTTTGGCACAAACAGTGAGACACTCAGAGAAAAAATTGCCCTTAGCATACGCATCTGCAGCATCTTTGTAGCATCCTGCTAGAGAAAAACATTCTGCAGCTCTTTCCAGATCAGACATGCCACCTTTATCCAATAAATCCGAGCTGCACCAATACAAGTTATAAAATGAGAAGAAATTTATTACAACCAAAATTTTGCAGGCTTCGTAGCATTATGGAAGATTTTATATGATGGTGAAATAAAATCTTGTACTTGAGACAAGCAATATAACTGCATTTTATATGTTTTGAACCTATTTAGGCTAAAGATAATAGATGTTAAATAGTTATACCTGCTCTTTCATAATCGCCCAAATCAGAGAAACATCTGGCGGCAGAATCTGCCTTGCCTAAAGCATCAAATATTTCAGCAGCTTCCCTAAGAATGGAATTGGCCTTGTCAGGATTTGAAGTTCGCATACGGTCAGCCATAGCTTTAAGATTGGCAGCTTTGGAACTTCTTTCCCAATACGTATCACCAGCTCTTTGAAAGCATATTATGGCCATTTCATAGTTATGTTCATGATAAAGCTGCGAGGAACAATATGATGCTTGTAATACAAGGAATAAAATGATCATGACAATAAGAATAATATAAATTAACTAATAATACTACAACAAATGCTTTACAAGGAGAAAATTATGCAAACCTTTATGCCCTGTGATTTCCACTCCTCTGGACTGCTTGCAACTTGCATTGCCTGTGCAAGTGAATCATCCAGTTGCCTAACCTGTACAAGACATTTCTTCTTCCAATAGTCAAACATAGGTTTGGAGAGCTCTTCTACATTCTCACAAATCCACAATCTCTGTCTCGTACGAGTAACAGCTACATATAATTGCTTCAGTTCAGAGCATAAGATGTTGTGCTTGGCTTCATTGAAACTTGGAAACCGCTGAGGTAATGCTGGGTCAAGCAAATCTTCTTCCTTCATGTAATCATATATTACCCTCCATTGATTTTTCAATGGTGATGAGCCAAAAAAGTTATACAAGAGTACGTCCTATAGAAGGCACATGGATGTCATGAATGAACAAAAATAAAAACTTAAAAATAAAAACCTAAAAAACATAGTAAAGATCTAAAGGACTGAATGCATCACAATTCAATAAACATAATCACCATGAACTCGAGGCCCTTGCACTCCACAATGGTCAGGACAAGAGCATGCATCCCAACAAACATGGAAACTTCTTTCCTAGCAGCATCATCTCGCACCAAAATAACCTGCTCTGCACCGAAGCCAACTATATTTCCACTACCAGTTTCACTATTTCCAAATAATTTTATGATTGCATTTTCATTTTCTCCATATTCAAGCAAAACTGGAGCTTCCCCATATATATGACTGGTTTCAGGTTTTAAAACATCAATATAGTGGGGGAAAAAACGATAAATTACTTCAACAATGCTCTGTGATAACTTCAGTACACCAGTATGGGTTCGGAAATTTTGAGTCAAATGGAACATTTTTGAAATTTGTCCTTTTTCTTTTCTTTCTTCAAGCTTATTGCTTCTTGATTCCAACACAAACTTGTTGTGGAACAGATGTCGTATGTCTTGGAACCTAAAATCAATACCCCTTGCAATTGTCTGTGCTGTATCACCAGAAAAAATGAAACCCTCTTCAACATTGCTGCACATATGTTTGAAAAGAGCAATTTGACTGATTGTAAGATCTTGAACCTCGTCTATATAAACAAAGTCCATTTGATCACCCCCATACTTTTCATGCCTCAGACGGCGGTGAAGATCAATTACAAAATCAGCCAGATCAAAATCACCATTTTCCATCTTCATTTTTTCATAAGCCTGAAATATATCATATATTTCTTCTCTCTTTTGTTTGCTTAAATTGGACGTTCGGCCCTCTGACAATTGAACATAGTCCTCGCGTTTGAGTTTACCATCACCTGCTTCTATGGATCCCAAACCACCTTTGATATGAGATATTATCTCTGTAAAGACTCTTGAAGCATCCAGCTTCTTTGTTAACTGGATATTAAAATGGGGCCAGTAAGATGAACTGAATCTCTCATACGTAACCTCCTTTGTCCTTATAAAGGTCTCCAATGCAACTGATCTTGAACTTTGCAATTGACCGTGAGTAAGTTTTGTAGCATCAAGGAATCTTTCGAAGTATGAGTTTGTTTCCCTCATTTCGGCACTCGGTGTTCCATCAAGCATCATCAAGAACTTATGGAATGTTATGACAAGAGGATAAGAGTTGGGAGGAATATCATGAAAGGAATCCTTGATATCCTTGAATTGGGCTTCATCCTCATCAAAATCAGCCATATCAATCAAACTCCTTTCGGTTGAATCACTGCCACCACCACATGCAAAACTGTCAACGTACAAAAGTTAGCAACTTAAATTATGCTCTTCAGGTGGCTGATGCGATGTTGATATTTATTTATACAACAATTCAAGTCAAGACCAAGAAAGAAAATTTTGCTTGAGCAACAGAAATCAACGTTCCTAATAATAAAATTATGGTACATACGTGCCCTTAAAAGAATAATATTATTGTATCACGATTCACAATATAATAACTTACAATCAAACAAAATAAAATAAAATGCAGTATCTTTTTGTTGAATGATCCACGCACCTTTTTAAGTGTAAAACATGTTTCTTGATGGCAAAACACAGTTTTGGACTCACGGTCACAAAAAGCTGGCGTAGTAGAGTTCTCTCCATGGTAGCTGAAGAACTCTCGTTAATGCTATTTTGACTACTATGGCATCCTTGCACTGCCAATTGGTGACATTGTTCATTCTGAAATAATTTCGTTGTTAAAACTGTGGTCTTTCCTGTTCCTGACCGTCCAACTATAAAGCTACTTCTATGATAAAGTATAATCTCCATTTCCTGGTCTGTAACTTCAAATGGCAAATCCAACTCTCTACCCTGACGGTCGGACAGCAAGTGGTTTACTACACCAGATGACAAGGAGTAAAATTTCATGAGCAACAAACTCTCGCTGACCTGTGAATTCTCAACATAATTTCTACCATCAGAATCGTCGTCACCAACTAAATCACTCTGGTTTTCAGTGATGCTAAGATCCTTGAACCGGGGAACATCCAAAGAGAGTGGCCAGCTCTTAGGAACTTCCAAATCACTGGTCTCAAATGACAAAGAGAAACAAAAAATTACTTTAGAATTTCAAAATATGACCAAGTATTTGTATCTTTTTATGATTCCAAAACGGAAGCATTCATTATTATATATCCAAATATGTTCAAAAGAAAAAGCTAGAATGCAAAACAACATACCCCTCAAGGCATTTCTCGTTGCACCGATTGATAAAATCATCTGTATATCTTTTCAAAATACTCTCTAGACGATTTACCAATTTTGGAATATCCTGTAGAGGCAATATGTCCCAGATCTTTAATATTTGAACGTATTTCACATCCTTTTCAATGTCAGTTGTGCAAACAATATATAGACCTTCAAATTTATATTGTCTCAAGATTGGTGGAGAGCTTCCACAAATTATCCCGACATTTCGGTTCTTGGGTCTCCAACCACTGGAAAGCTTCAGTAGAAGATTTAATACAGACTTCTTCAGACGGATTGACTTTAGCATTTTGAATGACTTCAGAAAATTATCACTGAAAAGTACCTAGAGATAATGGATTGGGGGAAGAAAAAAAACTGAGTATGGATGTACTAGATATTCCAATTTCAGAACAAATATTGAGAAGTTGTATACAATCATAAATTACTACCTACATCTTACCTTCCATCTAGAACTTCTAAAAAGTATGCTGTCAGCATTAAGCAGATCATCAAATTGGTCAAACTCTTTCTTCACCCCTAATATGGCCTTGGCCAAATTCTTGTCTTCATCAGCATTAAAGAAGCATTGACGACTTTTGGCATCAAGGACCAAGGCCTTCCAAACAGATTCGCTATCGAGTAGAGTTCTTTCATGTCCTAGAATCCAAAGACAATGCCTGAATTCATGAGGCAAGAAGACTAGTTATTTATTTTTAACAAAAAAACATTAATAATGATGCAAAACATACAAGTTTACATAAAAACATACCTAGCCCTTGTAAGAGCGACATTAACTCTTTGTGGTTGTGATATAAAATCAAGGGATTGAAGACTATTAGATCGGACAGTGGACATTATAATTACATCCTCTTCCCCACCCTGGAACCCTTCAACCGTCCTCACCTTCACTGTAAAGCCATAAATCTTTTCATACTTCTGTCGAAGTTTGTCCTGAACTGCAACTACTTGAGCAGCATAGGGTGATACCACCCCAATACTGAGTTTCTTTTTTGAAACCATCCATTCTGTATTCAAAGAGAAATGTTCAGTGTTATCCAAACCAAAAATATTGAATTGAGAACATGACCATGACTCCCCAGCTAGACATACCTTTGTACAGATTCTGCAGTAGTTCAAGAATAATAGAAACCTCCACCAAATTTTTTGGACTATGTCCATCCTCATTCTTCTCTTCCATTCCACCAATTACATTTATAAAAGAAAAAGGACCAAACATTGACCCTGGAAGATAGTGTTTCTCATGGCTTCTTTTTTTAACGACTGGAGCGTCTAGGATCTGGTTATTATAGAAATTTGAATTTGGGAAGAAACTTATGGAGGGATGCATTCTGTATTGCATATTCAGAAGGTGTTTTGAGTGACCCATTGAGCTCAACCTCTCAAACAAGCTTCTAGAAAACCCAGCCTCATTAGAAACCTATGGAAGAAAAGAAGTTAGATATAAACACAAATGAATAAAAAGTTATATATAAACACAAATGAATTAGAAGTGGAATGAAAAATTGCAATAAGAGAAACAAAGGATATATATATATATATATATATATATATATGTATGTATGTATGACCAAGTAGCATTGACGTACATTGCTTTTCACCGTAGCTGGTAACTGACATTCATCACCAACAAGAACAGCATGCTTCACGCCTGGAAGTTGCAGGGTTATTGTTGATTCACATTCTTTCAATTGTGCAGCATCATCAATAACAGCAATTGTCAGTGGCTCCATTTCCACTCTATGCAGCTTATAGGAACTTGACACGGTGCAAAATATTAAGGAAGCTCTTTGAAAACAGAATTCCATTAGAGATTCTTCATTCCTAACATTTGGAAGGTGAAGTCCACTAAGAGAATCCTGTAGAGTACGTAACACTGAAAGGCATTTTCTTATCTTGATGCCCAGAAGAAATGTGTTATCTACAAATGATGACTCAGCCACATTTTCAAATTTTGAACGAGAGCAAAGGAGTTCCAATTCTTCAGAAACAACATTATCTTGGACCAATAAAAGTTCAATGGCTTCCACTAAGCATATGAGTGAAATCATGTTTTGGAAATTATGTTCCGAAATGTAATTTTTGGCTAAATGGGTGCATAAGGTAGAAATGCAATATCTTAGTGGTAATGCAGTAGAAACAAATCTATCTCTGAAAAATTCAAGAAATGATTTGCACTTCCCCTTGATAAGTTCAGTGTCACTTCTGCATTCTTTCTCTTCGGTTAACTCATTTTTCAGGAAAACGTGGTAATGAGAAACACAATCTTCAAGAAAATCTATCATGGAAGCAAAGCAACTCCTCCAACCAGTCACTGGCCCCAAGCACTCACCAAGCTTTTTGACACGGTAGTTCAAATATATATCTTCAATGTGTGCACCAACTTTAAGTCGCTCCTTATTCCCAAATAGAAGAACTTCTCCCAAAGAACAGAACAAGGACTTGGACTCTGCTTTAGTTACTATCTCTAGAAAACGAGAAGCAACTTCAGTTATTGCAACATTCGTTGGGGCACAAATAACAGTCCTACAGTTCATCTGTAACAGAGTAAAAAGCAAAGTAGCGGTGGTTTTAGTTTTTCCTGTCCCTGGTGGACCCCATATAAGTTGCACAGTAGACTTGGAATCACAATGCAGCATTTCAAGACATGCCAAAACAGCCCCAGTTTGGGACTCATTCAATCCCGATGATGAACTCTCAACTAACCACTTATCCAGGCTGTCATCAATTGGTTCGGAACAGAGATAATTGTTTTTCTGAGCCTGTTTACCAAACATAAGATTTTCAGTCAATTGCAGCAACAAACGCCATTTTTATTGTCACACTTTAAAGAGGATGATAATGTGTCAAAATTACTAGAGTAGTATTATATTTAGTTATGAAAAAAGTAACACTGATAATTTAGTATGCTGTGTGGTGGTGAGTATTACTATTACATTACATCTTGGATCATGTACATTTTGGTGAAGTTGGTGAAGGCAATCTTGAAGGTCTTACCATGGAATTGGTGCACAAAACTTCTTTGATAATCTTCTGGTTTCCAGACATGCGCAACGCTTTCCATATTCTGCCATTAGGGATTAAATTTACCAGGAAAACCAAAAATAGTGATGTATGGGTGCTATCCTTGACTTCAAACTCTCTGGATGCCTTGACTTTAAAATAAAGAGAAGTAGTATCATCCTCGTTCTCATTTTCTGAGACATTAGTGACTGAAACAAAAGCCCAGGACCTCCCTACCCTTTGTAAATCAGAAACAGTTTTGGGTTTGGCATCTGCTAAGACAAAAAGATCCCCAGGCAAAGTTTTGTATGGTTCCTTGCCGCGATCACTGAGCCTGTTTCTCCAGCAATCAACCTTGATATCATATACATTTTTCCTGTAAGCCCCAACCCCATGAGGATTGCATTCTTCAAAACCAACCACTTTAGCAAATGGTGCTCTGTCAATAGTTTCCATACTTGAATGCACCTGTGCTCGAGTTTCTTCCAATAAAGGATGTATATAAGACCCAAAATATTGCCAAACCGAATGAAATGATTCAGGAATCTTTTCCACCTGAGACAGTAATAAAAAAAAGGTTCAGAATAAGATGACAAACGATTCAGGAAATGTTACGTGAACGAAGTGCAAGAAAATACCTGGTTCTTGTAAAGATTTTCATTGAAAATGTCTTCAAGCGACCAAGAAAACACGATATCACTGAAACGTTCTGTTTTAGCTTCCTCCATCTCCTCTCACTCACTCAGTCACTCTCTCTCTCTCCCACACTTGGCTTTTTCTTTTCTTATATGCATTCAGTGTAAGTAAAGCATATGATTTTCAACCCAGTTCACAAAAACCCACTTCAATAGAGAGATAAAAGGATATATTGGATCTTTTCTTAGTCACAAAGCTAAGCAGAGAGAGAAAAGATGTGCACATGATCAGTGTCAATCAAAAGAGAAAAAGAGAAGTCTAGGAATCTTTGTAATAGTACGAGGAGCACTGTCATGCATTACAAGGAAGATACATACATACATATTAGCATTTAGCAACCCTTTCACCCAAAAGAGAAGGCAGCTTCCATTCATCAATAAAAGAAACGCCGAAAGAGAAGTGGTACTACTCGGGGTTTCTACTTAGCGGGGAAGTTCTTTTGAACAATTGGTTGGTCTGTACACCCTCTTAACCATTTGATCTTAAAGGTTTCTCTTTACTTCGACCCAAAAAAAGGTCCTCTCTTTACACTTCGACGATTAAAAAAAATGCAAAAGTATTCGGACAGTCTTCTGCTTTTCGAAGAAAATTATGAGGGTGCTTGCTCTTCTTAGAGCATCTCCTAAGAGCATCTCCAACCGATGTGTCAAAAGTGCCACATAGACCTTTAACAGCTAGAAATAACATCTCACATCACTCCAACCGATGTGTCAAAGCTGATGTGGAATGAAGGCTGGAGGTTGAGATGTTATTTTTGATATCCCAAAAGCAAGATGTCAAATGAATATTTTATTATTTTTTCTTTTCTTTTCTTATTAATTAAAAATGAATCAACACTAAAATGTAATAAATTAATAATTTAATTTGACATATCGGGTGGAGTGTAAAGCTGTGTAAGATGTCAAATTGCCACATCAGCCATCAAATTTAAATTTGATGTTTGGTATTTGACATCTCCCTTGGAGATGCTCTAAGGAGAAATGCAAAATGTTAAATTTGAATTTGATGGCTTATGTGTCAATGTGGCTTATATTTTTAAAATCAAATGGGGTCATATAATGCATAAAGTTTTAAAAGATATTAAATGATAGTAGGGTCCATAACTGAAAAATATTAAATGACATCAAGCTTTTTGATATGTTATTTTGACATATCTTCTCTGTTTGAGTAACTTTAACATTTAATTTTTGTCATTTTATGTCCACGTAGCAATTTGACATATTAGTTGGAGATGCTCTCAAATGCAAAATATTAAATTTGAATTTGATGGCTTATGTGGCAATTTGACACTTTGAAAAAAAAAATTTAACTCCACCTGAAATGCCAAATATTATATTATTTTATTATATTTTTAAAATAGGATCCATGCCTAAAAAAATATTTTAAAAAATTTGACATCACTTTTTGATATGTTATTTTTGACATATCTCTTCGAGCCTTTAAATCTATGTATGATTTCACTACTCAGTTGTAGCAACTTTAACTTTCAATTTTTGCCATTTCATGTCCACGTGGCAATTTGAAATATCGGTTGGAGACACTCTTAGCCTCTTTCTACTATATTATTTACAAAATTTTCATCCAAAGTATACTATCGTGTATTTTGATGCGGCTTTACCATATAAGAGCATCTCCAAGGGAGATGTCAAATACCAAACATCAAATTTAAATTTGATGGCTGATGTGGCAATTTGACATTTACACACTTTTACACTCCACTCGATATGTCAAATAAATACTTATTGTAACAGTCAAATCATTTAAGATAAAGAAGAAAAAAAATATAAAAAGGAAAATAATAAATGAAAATAACAGCCAACTATCTTTTTAAAAATAATAAAATATTCATTTGACATCTTGCTTTTGGGATGTCAAAAATAACATTTCAACCTCCAGCCTTCATTCCACATCAACTTTGACACATCGGTTGGAGTAATGTGAGATGTTATTTCTAGCCGTTAAATGTCTATGTGGTACTTTTGACACATCGGTTGAAGATGCTCTAAGAACAAGTCGGTCCATATATTATGACATCTCATTCTCCAACAGTGACATTGACCATGGGTGCATGTCTTTTGTTACAATGATTGATCTCTAATGGAGTTTTTTTATTCAAACATAAAATAAAATGAAGCCATGAAACATGGAAAGCCTGCCCAAGAGTGACATCCACAGGGACTTTAAAATCATTTCCTCTTTTTGTTTTTGTTTTTTTTTAAAAGTGGTTTCCTAAACATTAAATAAATAATAATAATAATACAATAAGGAAGCTCTACCTTCGATAAAGAATGAGAATGTTTCAAGATGTGATTCAGTAAATCTTCGGCAAAAGTATTTGAGCTTGCTTTAGAATATTGTTTTTAATCATGTCCTTAAAATCACATATGGTTATAAATCATATTAAGGTTTGACATAGTCAATTTGTACCATAATAATATGGTTTGCAATCAGTGGCGGATTCAGGAATTTTTCAAGGAATGTGCAATATTTAAAAGGCTAAAAATTCGCAAAGGACTCAAGCAAGGTCCAAGGTTCAAGTCTAATATTCATGTAGTGTGTAAAAAAAAAAAAAATTTAAACAAAAATGCCATTAGAATTTAAACAATACTAATGTCATTCATAATTAAACAAATAAGAATTTTACATGTATTACTAATTGATTATAGTCTGTATGGAATATCAATTAATATAAACAAAATCCATGTCAGTGACACAATTAGTTTACCAAAATTCATATCAAATATGAATAAAATCCATGTCAATTACATAATTAATATAACAAAAGTCAATACCAATTAATCTAACCAAAATTAATACCAATTAATTTAACCAAAAGCACGCGTGATTTGGAGGTCACAAGATAAAAGTACACATGCTTTGTTGACGTGAGTCTCCTAATTAATCAAGGAGATTTATTTCCTTGATTAATTAAGGGATTTACTTTCCTATTTTTATAAAGTTGATAAATCATTATTTAATTAAGAGATACTTTCCTAATTCTTTACTGTATTTAATTCCTTGTATAGCACCCTGTAAACTCTTATATATACCTCCTTATGGAGAAGAATAAAACTCAACATAATACATTCAAACTATATTCATATTTTAGCATGGTATCAGAGCCAGGTTCCAATCATGTGACCTGTGCTTGCGTTCTTCTTGAAATTTAAGTGCTCTCCTCCCCTCCTCTTCAAGGGGGGGAGGGGGAGTGAAAATGATATGTTTATTGACGTATCCTCATTACCTTGATGTATTCTCATGAAGATACTGCATATCTCTTTACTCTGACGACCCCTTCTCTTCAGGGGAAGAGGGGGAGTGAAGAGAAGTTGTTTTGTCTCTAAACCCTTATCTCAAATTTATCATATTTGTCCCTAAATCCAAATCCCTCAAATCTAAAGTCCTCAAATCCTCTTATCCAAATCCCTAAACACATACCCTCAAATCTTATACACATACCTCTTAAATCCAATTCCTACATCAAATTCCTTATATTTTTCCCCAAATCCAAATCCCTCAAATCTAAAGTCCTCAAATCCTCGCTTATCCAAATCCATAAACACATACCCTCAAATCTTATACACATACCTCTTAACTCCAATTCCTACATCAAATTTCTCACATCACCTTCCTCACCTTCTCATATCACATCTTATTTCAGCTGCAATGTCAGGAACTCTACATCCTCATATCACATTTCTTCACACCCAAACCCTAAATCAAATTCCTCATATTTACAGCTTTAGATTCAGATCGTCATACCCGAATCCTCATATCCTCTTATCACGAAACCGTAAACACAAATTTTTTCTCTTATCACAAAACCCTAAACACATCCTTTTCCTCTTATTTTAAATCCTTCTGCTGCCATGAATATCATCTCATCTTTCCAAACCACTGCCTCCACTTCCCCATCCTCCAAAAAAACTACAAACAGCTTTGGTTAAGATATCTGCCAATTGATCTTTTGATTCACAATAATTCACAAACTCCGTGAGCCATTCCTCGATACTCTGCTTCTGCACTAGACCGAGAAACCGCATTTTGCTTTTTACTTCCCTAAGTGACTAGGTTACCTCCCACGAATATGAAGTAACCTAAAGTAGAGCGTCTATCTATAATATAACCAACCCAATCAGCATCTGTGTATCCAACAACTTCAATATCTCCATTTTTTTAGAATGTTAATCTTTTCCCAGGGGCTGACTTTAAGTATTTTAAGATACGATCAACTGCATTCCTATGAGAAACACTGGATGAATGTATAAACTGACTAACCACACTCACATCATATGCAATATCTGGCCTTGGAGCACGTATGAAAAGTAGAACCTTTAGTGGTGGTGATAAAAGCAGGAGTCCGGGTAGCCGGGTAAGCAGGAGTGACCGCATGCTTCTGTGAGTCTGCAATAAGATGGAGAATCATATATGCACCAACTTGAGAAAGAGTGTTGACTCTTATATATACCTCCTTATGGAGAAGAATAAAACTCAACCTAATACATTCAAACCATATTCATATTTTAGCATGCTTAAAAGTTTGGGGTAATTTTCGGTGAATTTTTTGACACACATATAAGTTTTTAATGAATTTTTTAAGTTAGGTCAATTAGAAATGGACATGTGTCAGCTTTCTGTAGACCATTTAAAAAAGAATCAAAAGTGAGAAGCGCGTGGAGTCTTTCTTCTTCCTCGAAGAGCCTCTGCAACTCAACTTTAATTCTAGAAAAAATTCGAAAATTCATAACTTTGGTTGTGGAGCTCTGATTGATGAACCGTTTTCTCCTACATGCTCGTGAGATCGAGCCCAACAATCTCAGGTAAATATTCAGGGTCTCACATAGCATCAAATAAAACAACGTCTTTGATGCATTTAATCGAACAATTGGTGGGCACTAGCAAAGGGGCAAATTCCGACATCCCCAAGGAAGTTTCCAGCAAGGAGAGGTGCAGCTGCACCTCTTTGCGCCTTTGTGGATCCCCCAATGTTTGCAATATTGTACAAGAGAATGGCCGTATTGTATTGCAAATACAAGTGAATAGATTCTTCATCTATTCTTTTAAGCTTGGGTTACCTTGATATATTGCTAGATGTCACTCTTGGTTCGTGGAAGTCCTATGATTGATAGTGATCAATCCATATAAAGGAAGAATAAAAAAGGGGTTTTAATTTCATTTTATTAGAAATAGTTATAAAGTTTTCTCATTGCCTTGCTAATTAGAACCTAATGGACCGTACACTTTAAATGGTTAACTTTGAGTAATACAAATGAGAATAAAGAAATCAATTTTGATTGAAATTGATGTGATTGATTTACTATGCGTAAAAAGTAGACTGTTAAGGTGTCAAACAGGTCGTGTTGGGTTGACCCAACTCATTTATAGTCAAGTCATTTAATAAACAGACCGAATCGGTTCGTGCTCATGTCGAGCCACTAAATGGACTGAAATGGGCGCATGCCAAATTTGATTTATGTATTGCATTTTTTTAAAAAATTATTTTTACAACTTCATTTAAATATTTTTTGCAATTATGTATATACAAACAAGATTTATTATTTGTTGAAAAAAGAGGTCAATGACTTTATTTAAAGTACATTTAAATAGAAAAATGACTAGATTATTGTTTGAATTTTAAAATTGAACTTGAAAAACAAATCATTATTATATATATATATATTTAATATATATTATTAGAGAAAAGAAATAGACTTGAATTTAATATATAAATATAATAATATTATGTATTATTTTTCTCTAAAATAAATATAATTTAAACGGGCTTGCCCTTTGAGTTTCAGGCCTATACAGCCCACCGAAAGATACATGACGTGCCGAGCCACACTAGGGCCGGCTTGATCTGTTTGACACCTCTACTTATAAGGTGGCTATTGTTTTCTTTTTCTTTTTTTTTGCTTGTGGTAAGTGCTTTGCTAATGTGCATCAGTGCATGGCATGTGTCGGAAGGAGTCTCGGCGGCAAGCCTCGAAAGCTGTTGACACATGTGGGAAGATGTTGTTGGTAGACGTCGACGATTGCTGTTGGTAGATTGCATAAGTTGTCGACGGTTGCTGTCGGCAGATTGCAGAAGCTATCGCGACAGTGGGGTCATGGCTGGTGATAAGGAGCATCTTTTGTGGGGTATTGAGTAGATGCTAAAAATGTGAAAATTTGCTAATTTCAATTGACCATATCCAAAATTTCTGTATATATATAATTCTTTAACTAATTTTAACTTAATTTTACCTTTTAGAGAATTTAATGTTGTTAATTTAATTTTATCATTTAGATAATTTAACTATTGTTCGTTTTTTTATAGAGAAAAGTGATGATTATATTCATAAATTAGGCACAAAGATCATCAGCCACAAAGGCAAATACAAATGCCCACAAAGTGGTAATACAAATATAGAAGCATAGAAATCATCACATAGGGTTAATTCAGATACAGGCTAAAAGGCCATAGAAATTTAAGCATAAAAGCTGCATGTCTGAACAAACCAAACATGAATCACAGCGCCCAAATCTACCAATACAGCTACTACAACTTTTAACTCTCACAAGTACAAAATATAAGTAGAGACTAGAAAACAATCAAACACCCAACTCACAAGGAGTTGATGCGATTATTACAACAACAACAACAATAACAACAAAAACTGCAAACAAACAACCAAAAACCAACATAGCCACTACCGCCGTTACCTCCTTGGAGACAGAGAACACCACCGAGATTGCAGCCAGTCACCTTACAACTAAATCACCAACCAACAAAACCACAAATCCAAAGCGGATCTAGACACAATTAGACCCCCCACAATTAAAACACCAAATCCAGTACATGGGGAAGGGGAAAATAAAGGGGGGGGTGGGTTATGGAAGAGAGAGAGAACACAGGAAAAGAGATTTGAGAAAGAGAAGGGAGGCTAGGGTTTTTTGCTTTCTCTTTCGATGGGTTTTACATTCTTAGCACATCAAATTTGATGACTATTGTTCATCTTATTTATCACTATTTATGAGTACATCAACCTCCATTTTCGGTACACATGTTGAATACAAAATACGATGCACAAACAATGATATCGCATATTACATACTTAGCAACCAATGGCGCAACATAGCTCTTTACATGCAACTGTATTTGAAAATAAGGCATAAATATGAAGCATAATCCTTCTTTGCTGTCACAGACGTGCTGGCTGATGTATTTCATGCTATAGGGGGATCCAACCCTGTTTTAGTTTGAAATTATAGCAGAATTAGTGTGAAACCCCTTGTAACCCCTATAATTATATAAAAAAATTTATAAAAAAAAACTGTTCAATCCGTAATGTGTAAGTATGATTAATGCAGAAACTTTAGGTCATAGATGGGTATGATTAATGCAGAAACTTTAGGTCATAGATGGGTTTAATGTACACACCTTGATCAGACCCGTCTCGGTACCACATAGGATAATGTCATTGGCAGTGAGGAGGCTGGTAATTCTGCTTCCTGCTGAAATTCTGCCCACTTTCTGCTGAGTCCCTCTTAACCATATCTGTTTTCACAAAGTGTGTATGCTGAAAATCGCATTTAAAAGAAGATGTTATTGTTGTGTGCCCCGACAGTGTCATTTACCTGAATGATGTTTGTTGCTGAGCTGCAGTTGAGGTATATGAAGTCTTCAACTATTCCCATTGCCATTATACATTCTCTTTTGCCAGTTTTTAGCGACATTTGGGGTTTGCTGTGTCTTCTCCATTCCTGCATATATACCCTTTTTAATCAGTGGAAGGCTCTCTCTCTCTCTCTCACAATGTGAGCTTCTAATTGTGATCCATACCTTCAAATTTGAACCTTCCACAACTGAACTTGCACTGTAAAGCCAATCTTTATATGTGACAATTGCATTAATGGGCTTCTTTTGCAGCTTCCAAAATTTTGTCGCTGCTTTGATCTCTTGGGCCCGGTTGTTCGTAATTGAAAACTCCTAAAAACAGTGAGATGTCACCTAGTGTTGTTGCAATCAAAGCATTATTTCTTTAAACAATACGTTTAAACCAACCTGTATGCTTGAATCCTTGCACCCTGCATAAATCTTCCCCTGAACCACTGCCAGACACTTCACCTTTTTATTCTTGCAATTATCCTTGACCTTTCTTGATGCATCAAACACCTGGAAAAAAGATTAGTCATTTCTAGCTAGACACTTTAGTACTAGGTTGCCATGGATTTTATAGTCATTACCTTAATCCCATGGCCATTAGTAGTTGCAAATATTGTTTGGCCGTATGTATTTAGGTGCTGAATTGGTTCCTTTGTTGCAATAACTTCAATGCACTCCAATTTCCTGTGAACCACTTGCCATACCTGTAGAAGGAAGTTGCATGTTGCAGTTTAGTTTAGTGTCTGTTAATGTATTACTATTGCAGATCTTCATGATGAAAAGAAAGCGTTTCTTCGGTAAAATTTGACCATACCCTGATGGTTTTGTCCAGTGATCCACTTATAAGGCTGTCTCCTGGTTCGAAAAGTGAAAAGCATGTAACCGCCTTTTTGTGCTCCTTCATGTCCCATACAAGGGTGGCTGATTGCCCCTTGATGTTCCAGACCTATTGAATGCACACACATACATTGATTTAGACTCTTGAGCCACTCAAAACTAAGCATTTTGGTTGTGCAACAGTTTGTGGCAGAGGTCTCAGAAGATCCTATTAAGTGACCTCACCTCACCCTAATATATGCTTGGCTATAGAATGTTTTATCCAAGTAGATTCTTTACCAAGAAACAAGAATATGCATACATTATTGAAGTGAAATAACCAAATATGGTTACTCTGTGTAGGAATCAGCTGATAGTTAATTCCTCACCTTGATAGAACCATCTGAGTGTCCACTGTAAAGAAATCCCTTGTAATAGATGAGGGCACACACAGCTCCACTGCAAGTGATAAAAACCTCAAGGATTTGTGTGTGAACACACGAGATACGCTGCTTTACCATTATAATGATTCCAACAAAACATTACATAAATCTGTTACTGATGGTAGATATTAAACACATGAATAGACTGATGGCATAATCTACAAGCTCTTGAGTAAATTCTTCAAAGTGAATGTTGAGTACTCACTGATAAGGTTGGTAGAACATAGTCAGCTACTTTATGTAACTCCTCTGCCATCCATGTTACATTTGACAATCGTCTTAGTGATTCTCGCACTCCTTCCGAGAAATGAATTAATTTTTTCATCCCTACATAATGAAACCATTTACATTTGCATGGAATAAATTGAGTCTTTACTGTTGTTTATCAGTCTGAAATTCTGACATAAGTTGCTGAATTTTTCCCTGACTATCTCATGGCTTTTTATAAGCAGTTTGCTATGCTAATGTAGATATTCTAAAAGCTAACTGATGTTCTAAATTTTATTTTATTTTTCCAATTTTTTGTTACAACAAGGGAACTACCTTTGCCAGAAGCATAGTTATATATGCAGAGACATGCGAGAACTCTTTCTTCTAGCTCCATTCCAGGATGCAAAAATTGCTCGACTCCACTAAGTAAGATCTCACAGGCAGAAAATTTAATGCTTTCTGGACTCTTTGCCATTTCAAATCCAAGCCATGCAATGGCTGTTAGACAGTCCCTAGAAACCCTTCTTACCTTGCTCTTTAGACCCTTCTCTAAAGAATGGAAGACAGGATTCCCAATATTAATGAGGCTTCTGGCAATTTTGCTGCACCATGATTCTGTTCCAGCATCCTGCAAATTCATGCAATATTCTCTATTGGTACATTTTCTACTGATAGATTGTAGTTTATATTTCACCACATTTTGATTGAAAGCTCACCTCTAAGCAATCATCCAACCAATAAATGTTTTTGATCATATTACGTTGATATGAGGAAGTCAAACATGCTTTTTTAACCAACCATGCTATTGTGTATGGCTCCCCTGTCCAAGAATATGTTCCACCAAGATTCGATATAATGAATGCAGATAAAAGGTGTGTATCAGAACCTTCTTCAGATGCCACTGACTTGAGGATAACCTGCATTGCTTCGTCTCTGAATACACTCTTACAAGTGGCGTTATCCTGCAGATATTCATTTGATGTCAATCAGAGTGTGTGGTGAGTTGAGTTAGATTCATATGTAATGATTAGATTTGATGGAATCTCCCCTACAAAGAAATATGCATTGCTTGATGATATTCGTTCTATTGCCTAGGCCTCAGAAATTGGGACGTGTATGTAATTACTAGCACATTTGCTGCCAAAAGTTGGCATTGAGGTTGCACATTTGCTTGATGATATTCATTCTACTTACCAGTGTATCTAAATGGAGCAGCAAATTTGCTGCCAAAAGTTGGTATTGAGGTTGCATTTGTTGGACACACAGCATGAGTGAGTTCATAATGTTGGTGCTTCCTTCTTGGTGTAGCCTCTTCAAAAAGATAATAGCCGATGACCTGACAAAAATGAGAATATGATGTTTGAGAGCCTCATAGGACTAGAATTACTGTGTAAGAAAACTAGGTTACTTAACTGTACCATCTAATATTCTCAAACATAAAATAGATGCACCTTAACTTTCTGAAAAAAGAGAACGCAAGATTGTTGCTCAGTCATTAATAAGCTTATAGTTACATGCATCGGTTTGAACGGTTAAACTATGTGTATGTTATACTCGTCTTGTGATATATTTTATTGTCAATGAAACCTGTGAGGTTTAAAATTCTCAAGAAAGTATTCAAAATATTATATGAAAATGATACATTTCTTAACTCTCATTTCAACATTTTAAATTACTTGAATTGTTGTAATAAAAACTATTCAAAATATTGGAATTTGAAGCATTTTTCATACCTTGGCATGCAAAGAACCTCATGGAAAAATTCCAGTGCTATGAACTTGGCATGCTTCTTGTTACTCTCTAGGAGATGGACAAATGGAGCGACAGGAGCTAGTTTTGAAATATATCTTCTGCAATGTCCATCATATTGTATGCATTTTACAAGAACAGTAGCCCAAGAGATCGATTCTTCAATGTTACTAACTCTTGCAACATCTATGAGCCCGTGAAGAACTTTTGGAGAACTGATTTCAGCCAAGTGCATGTTATTTGTGCAACGGTCAAATGCAGTTACTAGAACTTCAATAATCATCAGGGATGCTGTCAGAGGTGTTGGCAGAGATTCTGACCTACCCTTGTAACTGTTTGAATTGCACATGACCCCCGTCAATATCGGTAAAATTTCTAAACTCTTAATTTCTGCAGGAGATGGATTCATCAAGTAAAACAGTATTGCTGCCTCATGCACATCTCTTTTTAGAGCACTTGCCAAATCAGACAGCTGTAGACCTTTCTTCTTGATGTCTTCTATAGCTGACTTATTTGCTGCAACAATACTGGTTAGTATGGACACTGATGCCCTTATAACCATTTCCTCCTTTGAAGTTGAAATACCTGCTAGCAGTTGATCCAATATCATGTCTTTCAAGATAGCACATTTTTCTCCATTATTTTTGCCTAATAGTTCATATATTGTTGTAACTTCTAAAGCACAATCTTCATCCCATTTTCCCAATCCTTCCAAGTACAATAGTTTTGAAATTGCCTTTTCAGTGATACCTATTAGTTCACTTTTGGTATCTTTTGCAGAATATAAACTTACTTCAAGAAAGCTTTTTGGGGTATGCAAATTCTGTTTTCTCCTTGAATTACTTCTTTGGTGATCCATCTGGTTGATCTTATAGTTCTTCTGAGATGCACACTCATTCTCTACATAGCAACTCCGAAGGATGTTTGGCTTTTCATCTCTATGTTCTGAAATAGTTAAAGTTAAATTGATTGGGCATCTGCTGCCAAGTAACATAGAATGATTTACTTCAGGGGCCTCTTTAGGCACTGAATCCTGCAGCTTCCTGTAGAGGGTGCTTGGAAATTAGGAAAACATATTAAGCTCTGACATTAAGTTTTCTATAATGAGGTTTGGGTCTCCAAAAGAGAAAACAGATAAATAAAGGTATAATTGTGAGTATGAACCAACCAATCACAAATTTCTGACTTGGGGAGATCTGCACTTATTCTTGTGGTTGCCATTGAACATTCCCCATCATCCATAACCTGATTTACAAAGACATTTGTGAAAATAATGCAACTATAGTTCTTAAAACAATAATTAACTGGTTTTGTTAGAAGATATAATTTTATTCATCAATCAAGTCTGTTTCTACTGAATTACAAAGGATGCATTTATATTTTCAACAGCTAAATCTTTGTTAAAGATAGTATTGTCTTTTGAAAAAAAAACCTCTGACTCAACGTCATATGCAGAAATTTCAGAGCACGAATCCACTGAAGTTCGCATATCCGATTGGGAGTCATCCAGCATATCTTGGAGTCTTTTGATACTTGAACTGCTTAGGAAATTGTTAACATCAAAATGTGTTGCTTGATCCAAATCTTTTGTGGTTTTCTCATATTCTTCAAATTCTGGGATGTAGATGGAAGTCTTGAGTTCTTCTTCCATGCCACCACCAGTATCTTGTTGAGGATCAAAAGGGTGCACCTTTTGATGCTGCATTGAGTATCATACCAAAAAAATTAAAAGAAATATATGGAAAAGGATTTTGTTCAAACTATTTATTATACCAGTGGATGTAGGAAGACGAGTGATTTTGAAACTTATACAGAAGTGCATGGGAGAAAATCTTCTTTCAAACTTATATCACATACTGAAATTGCACACTGATATTGGAGGATATGCATATATAGGCCAAGGCTTACATTCCAGTGAGGGTGCAAGCTATATTGATGCTCCGTTGTATTCGAAGAGCCTGAGCTGCTGGATTTCCCATGCCTGTGCACAAAGAGTGAGATTTTCTGATATTAAATTCAAATCACTCTGCTTCAAAAACTAAATTTTATCTGTGGTTTGTCAGTGTAGTGATTAAAGAGTACAGTGTGATTGAATAACATGTCTTCAGAGAAACACTACCTTGTGAATATTATGATAGGCAGAACCTGAGAAAAACTTACATAGAATATTGTGACTCATTATCAGGGGAAAACATTTCTCTGTATCCACAGTGCAACTGAGTTGTCTCTCCATATAACATGACCTGAAAATACATCAGCCAATCCCTATACACCCTTGCCATCTGCCTTATTGCTTCATCTTTGTCAACCTCTATGTAAGCTGCCGAAAAAAATTGATCCCAAGCTTCTACTTTCTGTTATTTCTTGTTTTCCAGAGTTGGTGGTGCATGACGCAAAAAGCCTTTCGCAAAGTTCAGGTGCAAATTCTGTTTGTACAAGCCTTGGGAACACCAGAACTGCCTGCAGGAAATGCAGTGCAACCTGCCACTCATCCTCTTGGAGCTTCCTAACCACTGAGAGGTAAAAGTATGAGCAGCACACCAAACAGCAGTTCTTAAATCCTGCTGTGACTCCATGCTCATCGAGCAGCGCGGGAACCTGCAGCATTTGCTCTGCCTTCTTGAGCAGAGAGGCTTTTTGTTCTGGACATTTTGCTCGAATCGCAGCTTCAATGCTGTCAATCCCCCAGTAAAGATTTGATATGACAGATTGCTCCGAAAATTCGAAGAATTCCCCTTTTTGAGCACTAAACTTGAAGGTGCATCTGAGACGTATAGAATTTCTAGCTTTGGCATTTGATATGAGTTTGTGAATGCAACTATTGACTGAAATGACAACTGCCCAAATGGATTTCAAGTCCAGTCTCTCTTGTTCATGGAATGAGGAAGCCATTGGAGCAGAAGAGGAGGTAGCTTCCATTTCCACCATGACTGGTTATTGATGTTCATATAAGAAGAAAAAGAACTATCTTCAGAGGAGATAAGTATTAATAGTAGTGTCAGGAGAGTCTTTTGGAGGGGGTTTGGATCAAATCCCGTGACTTTCTGCACCAGCCAATTTCCAGGCTTCAATGGACCCCTCTATGTGTTTGTTGCTGCTACAGACAAAAAATTGACCGTTGCCACCATTGAGGGAGGGAAAGATGAGAAAGAAAACAACATCCCCAAGTGGTCACCTTCACATGTCCTAATATTATAACACTTGGGTTCTTTCTTACGTTAAGAAATTTCTTACCCTTAACTCGTTCCTTTCCTTCGTCCAGGGCTCCAGCATATATACCATCATCCTGCACAATAAACATACAGTTTGGTTGTAAATAAATTGGTAACGTTCTTTTGTCAGACCGTAAATTTGAGCCACACGTTAATTCAAAGAAAAAATTCAATATTTATATAATCTAAATTTGCATTTTAACAATATAAACATTTGTTAGACAATAATTTGTCGTTCTAATACAGTATTATTAATAACACTTGTTAATAGTTTTTGGGAGATGCAATGTATTTAGTGCTGGTAAATTCTAGTTATTCGTACTTAGGATGACTTGATAATCGCGCAAGCAAACCTGCACTACAGATAGCATGTTGACGTGTCAGAGCAGGCCACGTCTTATGAGCTGGACCCCCATTCTGATTAACAACTTCATCTTTCATTCTTCTTTACCCTAATATCATTTACCAGCACTGTAGAATTATTATTTTACATACTTAGCTTATATTATAAGATTCTTTCAGGCCCTATCTGGAAATTATAGAGCTAAAGAAAGGCCAGAGAAGAATGGAAGACCCACAGAACTTTGTTGAGATGTTGGATTAACGTGCAGCTGCGTGGTAATCATATTCCAATGTCGCCTGATATCTGGGTGATCAATTTCATCTTCTTTTGTTTGGTGTGATGAAGGCCAGAGATGCTTCGCATTCGCAACGCTGTCACGAAAGGGACATTACTCTAAGCAACTGCAGAAACCCCATTCTATTATTGAGGGAATGTTACATGTATCATATTATAATAACGCATTTTCCACAAAGTTGAAAACATTGCTCGGTTCGGTCTATTCTATGTGAATCTTACAAAGATCTTACGTCTCATACTCGAGATATAATCAACAATATGATAAACAAATTCTTCTGTAGAATGCATATTAAGCCCGTGAATTTTTCTGTAGATAATTTATAAGCCTGATTAATATTTAAATTGCTATCAAGGAGAGGTCCCTATAGTACAGATTGGATTGGACTATTGTCTGTCACGGGCACAAAATTTGAGCTTCTAAAAAAGTGTGGTGTTTTCAACGTTGAATTTACATCCATTCACATGACTGATAATTTATTTACGGGCTTGGGAAGGAAGGAAAGGAAGGAAAAGAAGGATTGATGTGATTATTGTTAGTTTTCTTTTCTTTTCTTTCTTTCTCTTTTAGTAATATTTGCTCAAATACACCACACACTTCTTCCATCTCTTCATTTAACTTCTGAGAAAAAAACATGAATAATTGACCCAGAAAAAGTACAAAAGGAGAGAACTTTTGCCAAATTTGTGATAATATAGGCTGGAATGGGCTCTGCCTTCCACTGGACTAAAATGGTATCAGAAACTTTGATTGTTTAGCCTGGCCCACATGAAAAAGTTGGGTTGGGGCCACTGCCACCCTTATTCTCTTTTTTTTTCCTTCTCTTTTTCTCTGTTTCACGAAAGTTAGTAAGGGGGTTTGAACCTGAGAGGACACTAGTATATAAGTCAAGACATTTTTTCACTAGGCTATTAAATCTCGTTGTTTTTGCTGACAAAATGATATTCTAAGCTACTCTTAATATACAGGAAGAGAAACCAAACTTAAATACAAGAAGGTAGGCAAACGACTTCAGCTAATTAACCTAACTCTCGTATGCTTTCACACCCCTAAGGATTCTATTTTCACCTTTTCAATCCCAAATGAAAAGCTACGAGCAAAGGAGCTAAACCAAGGTCATATCAATGGGTCCCGATTGAAAGGGAAACGAATGGGATCTCTCGCTTGAATCCCACTTTCTATAATTACATTATCTTATTTTTGCTCAATAATGGGTCATAATTAATCAATTTCAGCTAAGAACCGAAATTCATAATGGTTTTTTAATCCAATTTGCTTATGTAATGTAACATGGGCGCATTTGATTTTCCTTCCATTAATGATAATCTTGTCACCAAAATGTGCTTGGGTCGTGAAAAAGAATCCATGTAAGGCGTGGTAGCACATGATGCTCTTCTTAACAGTGCTTTTGTTAATTGTGCAATTAAGGGTTCCATGCACTAAATGATAGGAAGCACTGTGGGGCATGTGATCAGAGAGGGCAAGTGATTGTGGGCTTGTCAAGTGTGTACATTCAAAATTATTGGGTGTTTCATTTTTAAAAGTTCCCTGCAAAAAATATTGTTTATCCTAAATCTCTCTAGTTTGAGAAATAGACCCAAAAATTAAATACGCGGGCGTCCCACTATTAGCCTCAGAAAATATTTTTTTTTACCAAATCTCCCTCTGAATTTCTGATGTTAGAGCATTTTTATCCATGGGAAAAATCTCTCCACTAATATATTCTAGCCCCGGTAGGACGTGGGCTCCATTAAGATTGGACAGGTCTGAAGGCAAGATCAACCCGAGCTGCTGCCTAAGAGCGTTCAAGTCAGTGAAGAACAAAAAAATTAAAAAAATTCTGAAAAACTACCAAAAAATTCAGAACTTTTTTTTTATAATTTTTATAAATGCCTAGCAATTTTTATTTATTAATCTCATACATATAAATAAAATTAATCTCATGTGAATAGTAATTGTCCTAGGGTTACCATGAAAATGAATGGAAAAAGCACAAAAAATTTGCTAGGACAAATACTATTCATGTGAATATCAACTATTCATGTAAGGGCCCAATTTTGTGTTTGACAATAGCCATTTCTGGTTTGTTCTCGGGCTTTTTCTTATCTGGGCCTGAAGATCTAGACCTTAAAAAATTCAAAGTCACACACAGAAACTAGAAAGATTGACTGGCGAAAAAAACGAAAACAAGAAGAAAATTGCAATATACTCAAAGTTTTGATGCTTTTCCCACCCATCCACAGCTGCTTCGTCTCAATGTGACTCTCCAAAGAGAAAGTCGTGTGTAAAATGAAACTTCAATTTCCATGCCTCAAAGTCATGGCCCTGACAATAAAGCATCAACTTCGTGTATTAGGTGTGTCTGCATGAGCCAGCCTTCTGGGTAAGTTCACCATTTCCACACACGGACAGGGTGCCTTTAGCCATACAAAAAACCGCATTTTCAAAATCTCTCTCTCTTATGCTCACTATACGCGTAATAAGTTAACTGGACCCAAAGTCCTCCCCACCATACAGAAAATAGAAGAACATCCAAGAAAAGCTATCATTACTTTAATATCAACTCTCTCTCTCTCTCTCTCTCTCTCTCTCTCTCTCTTCAAATAAATGACAAAAAGAAAGTCTCATTCATTATCCCACCAACACAAATATAAAACCCTTTTCTTTTGAATCCTTGAGTCACCCAAGTAGCAAACATTATAATATAAACACCATCCACATCAACTTTTGCCTTCTCCAATCACACACCTAGAAAAAAACACTTCATCCAACCAAACGCGTCCAAAGCAAAACCCTATATATTTTCACCCCACACTATGTCTCTCCAACTCTCCATCCACTTTTTCCCATTAATAAAAAAAACAAAAAGTCATTCAAAAAAAAAAAAAAAAAAAAAAAAAAAAAAAAAACAGAACACAAAAAATGATAAATCAAGAGAGACAAGCTGGAACTGCGCCCCATGGGATTCTACTGGCAGTTGTGGTTGTGGCAGTGATCGTGGTGCCGTTTTTTCTTGGTGACCAAGGCGAGGCCATAACCGAAGGCATTTCTGAGCTCTTGAGCCCTGTGGGTCTTCTTCTCTTGCCCATTATTCTCCTCCTCACCATCCAGTTTCTGTCTTCGGATCGCGGCTCCTTCGTCTCCTCCATGTTCTCAAACGGGGAGCCTGACACCATTCACAGGGTCAGCGGCTCCCCTGTTGGCGTTGCATTGTTTCTCGTGCTCATCCTCTTCCTTCTTTACAACCGGATATCGATCTTCGGCGGCGGCGGCGACGATGAAGAGTGATGATTAGCAACATGTCAACATGGTAATTAGCATGGATCTGGCTTTGGGGGATTTTATACCGTCTAGAAAGGGATACGAGTATTGGGGTACGTACTTGAGCTTTTTTTTCATATATGAAATGAACATGGGCGGGGATGGTTTGTAATTAGAGCGAATACCAAGCTGAGGAGTGGAATTTCACGGTGATAGTTTGAGGGTATTTTGGTCATTCTGAATAGTTGACGAGGGCTTTTGAAATGTCGGTGCGCGGAGGCGCGGTGTTTTGCCCTCTTCGGCTCCCTCTTTGACTACTTTGCTTTTTGTCGTTTTGTGAGCTTCGTTCCCTTTGCCACTTGCCTGCCTGCCTTCTACACGCTTGCACGTGGACGCTCCTTTTTATTTCATCTCTTTTACTTTTTAATGCATTCTATTTCGTTTACCAAAATTGATGATGTTATTTTATTTATAATGCACATAATTAACAATTTTCATTAGACTTTAATTATATATATATTTTTAAATACAAGCAATTGGAGGAGAGGATTTTACACAAATATTTATTGGGTGTCTAGGTATTTCAAATCTCTGTCTACACGGATGGAGGTAGAACTCAACTAACTGAGATATATTTATTGACTAATTATATTTAATTTAAGTACTGATGAAATGGGTAATGCAAATCTTGTGAATCTCAGATTCTGAAGAAAGTGAACTGCAACGTAACGTTTTGCTTTTTCTTCCTTTTGAAAAAAAGAAACAACTTTTGGAGACAAGGTTGGTTTGTTGCACTGAAATCTGGAATATAGTTTTTCTTTTGGGTAAATACTGAATAGGAAAAGGCGAATATGCATCTAATATATTGGCAGTGGCAGATGCAGTGGACCGACATAACATGTGGAGTAGGGTCTGCTGAAGGGTGATATTTTTGTAATTCTCCATTTTATAAGCACCACTCGTGAACGTGGGTGGGTTCAGAAATCTAAATCTGCTATTGTGAATATATTGGGGATTGTGGTGATGTGAGGAGCTTATAAAAATAAGGATGCAATTTCATACCAACAAAGAAGATTCATAAACAGATATGAGTGAGATGCATAAATCTGTGAATTTTTTTGAGACAAACAATGTTTATCTTCAGATTGTATGAAGTCTAGTTTTGATCAATCAAGTAAAAGTGCTTTCAAGGAAAGTAGGCTGCCCAGGCTCAAAAAACTCACGTAGGGAGGTAACTTAAAGATCTGATCAAGTTCAATGAATATGAACAATCCATGTAACTTCAGAACTCTAAATCAGTGCAGACAAGAGATTCGATATTTTCTTACTCATCACATGACAGTAGTGCCCATTTGCGTTGATGCTGTGAATGCGTCCATGGCGAGCATACGCTTGCAATATACATGTCACATGTATCCTTGGAGGACTCATCTCTCCCGACAACCGGCGTTGCTGCACGGTGAGGATTAAACTGCTCTCTAACAAGTTGCTTGAAAATCAAGATAGCACATAAATGACCAATAATGCCAACCAAGAAAAACAAAGTCTTTCCTCAGATGCTAACAACGTGCATGATTGCTCAGAGATTGGTCAAGGGCAAAGAAATACACTAAACAGTAATTAAGAAACAAAATAACAACTAATGATATGGGCTTGATGTTTAAGTTGCACATAAATATGCTTACTTTCTGAAATAAATACAACCAAATGGTAAACAGAAACTGCATGGTCTGATAAAAAGAATATAAAGAAATTTTAGTGTTTCTTCAGTGAAAAAACTCATTATCACAAACCTATTGCTCAAGTTTCATAATATTTCGTAACTAGTATTGACCTCCCAGGTAATTGCAGAAGCTGTGTACACTATTATTTCTAACCAAATAAATGCCATTAGGGTGTTGAAAACCCTCGCTACCAGCATCCTGGACAACATCTGCACACAGCTGTATGGCCAACAAGTCATGTTGAGGAAAGGCAATCCTTGGTCACTTCCAAAGAACTCGTCCCCAGCATTTGCAATATTAACCAGCTGTACTCTCAAGTCCATGCTCAACATCATAGTGGAACTAAAGCTACATCAACATCAGCCGTATAGCCTCTGCTTGATTAAAACAAAAAAAACAAAAATAAAATACACAACATCTTCAAAATGATTAACAGAAAGACATGCAAGATCAACCAACAAAGAAACGGGCCACATGAATTCAAAACATTTTTTCTTTTTACACACTAAAACAAGAGCTCTCAAAGAGTATACCCAAACACAGAAAATAAATGGTTTAGAGGATGCATAACACATGCCAAGTAAGGATTGGCAAAGGGTCTTCACCTTTTCTTTGTAATATATGACAGTTAGCAACATCAAGATGGGTAATGGTATCAGTTTTCCAGTTAAAGTAGAATCTTAATTGACTAAACTAGATAAATTCAAGATTTGAACAGAGAGATGCTTAGGAATAAATGTGTTTGAACGGTGGCTTGAATTGATACAGAAATGGAGACAAGTAGGAGACAAAAATAACTTCCCACACTATCTTATTTGGTACACTATGGTTAAAAGGAAAACTGATTTAGGGTTTGGAACTGCGATTTAGGCCTACTTGATGAATTATGTTTCAAAGGGCTTAAATTTAGTCGCTGAAAAACATGTAGGGTGCAGTAATTTCTGGACAGCAACTCAGCTTAGGAACCGGGGATTGAATGAAGATGAAGGTGCACCCAAAAAAAAAGATGTTAAAACTCCTGTAGAGGATCATGTGATTCACACAAGAGGTCCACATGGTAAAGGTGCTATAAATAAGACAATCTGTGTAAGTTGATAATTCAACAAGGAGAGCGACTTATTAATTTCTTTTTTTCCTTTTTTGGGTAAAAGCCAAGATTAGGACAGTGGAAGATGATTTATAATCAAGCACACAACGAGCAGGTAAAAACCATAGATTTCTTTCTTTTCGTAACATGAAATATCATATCTTACCTTCACGCTATTCCAAGGTTATTCAACTTATCACAGTGAGGAGTAGGCAGATTCTTACTCCAGTGACGCCTTTGAAGTTCAACCCGACAGTAGTGTAGAAGCACATTCTTGTAATCCTTGATAACATGGTTCTCTATGTTAGATCGAGCAACACTTCCAAGGGGATAATTTTCATCAAATGTTTCTGATTTAACATAAAATTCCACTCCATGTTTCTCTGTTGTCTTGGGAATCTGGTAGTTGTAAGTCTTCTGCAAAGAGTAGTTAGGCTCTGAAAAGGGAAGATATGCCAGCAATACAATTACCAAGAACGGTAATAGTTGAATAAGAACCATGATATTAGGTCCCCCTCCCTGAACCTCCTCCCTCTGATGGCCAGCAGTTCTACTAGTCCTATAAACATGACTTGTCCGAAACATGTCTGATTGACCAAAGAACGCCCTAAATATCTCATCAGGGTCGAAATCATCATCAAACAAATCATGCCCAGCTCTCCTCCTCCTCCTCCTCACATTGTGTTGCTGGTTGTACTCAAATTCATCAACCAAACCAGTCTGATCATACTGCCTCCTTGAATCTCCATCACTCAAACACTTGAAAGCCTTGCTTACTATCTTAAATGCCTCTTCCGAACCGGGAGCCTTGTTCTTATCAGGATGAACTTTCAATGACAATTTCCTATAAGCCTTCCTAATGTCCTCAACTGAGCAAGTCTTTTCCACGCCAAGAATGGCATAATAGTCTTTGTTTCTCTTAATCTTCCTAATCAACTGAACATGCTCTTCGGTATAACTAACTTCCCCATTCAAACCTTGGCCCAATTTCTCCAAACCAGGCTCATTCTTAATCACAGTAGCACCCTTTTCACCAATGGAAGATGCAGGAGACCCCGAATCAATCTTCTCACACGCAGCCAAAAGTTCATTAACTTGCAAACTCTGATTAAGGCGTTGCGCTATTTTGATAAATTTGAGCGCACGCCCTTTGTTACCGGACGCAATTGCTTCTTCAGCAATGCGAACGCATCTCAAAGCTTCATCCTTGTTACCATCCATAATCAAAGACCTACCTAATAATTCAAACCCAATTCTCAAATTTCGATTACGACAAGAAATGCTAGCATGGACAAACCAATGTTCAAATTGGGCAAGTACCAAACTCAATTCCAAGCTCCAAATGGAGGTTTCAGATTTCAATTATCCCATCCGTGAATTCAATATATGCCCTAATTCAAAGGAAATGCCGATTAGATTTTGATGAATCAGTTCATGTTCATGCATGTATACATATTGTGGAAACAATCACAGAGAAGCATACCTTTTGAAATCGATCGAAGCCTCGAAACAACGCTCGCATGTATATGTGAGAAGAGAGAGAGAGAGAGAGAGAGAGAGAGAGAAGGGTTTGGAAATTGGACTCGGACAGAAAGCACCGGACCAACAGCAGAGGAGTGTGGTGCGTCAAAGGACTCAAAGCACCCAGCCTAATTTTGATCACCACCATGAATGGTCATCTTCCCAATTAGATCATGCCACGTCGTTCATGGAGCAAAGACAAAAAATGGGTCTTTTTTATTTTATTTTTTAATTTCCAATTTGTTTTAGTTTTTATTTTATCTTTTTGGATCCATGACAAAAAATACCCGGACCAAACTGCCCATGACATTGGTTGTGAACAAAGAACATAGGAAAGTAACAATGAAGTGGAAGCAATTTACAAGAGGGATCAGAGAATGTTTGTTTTCATTAATTTACAATGATTAAGCGTTAAATTACTGATTAGTTGATCTACTCTTTTTTTTATATTTACATCAAAGTACAAAGGAAAGACCAAACAAGTATACAAAACCAAACTTGCAGGCTTTCATTTCTTGGGTTGGTGTCTTTACGTCTCTTCATCAAAGTCAAAGTTCTGTCTTTTCCTCACAGATTCTAAGACATCAAAGGGAAGATCACTGCGACCGCTGCGTCTCCTTGGCTTGTCTTGAGTTTAGGCATGCTCAGAGCGCTAAGAGGCGGTGACTGTAACCCTTTGTTCACTTCCTTGAGCACTGACCTTGCTGTGGCTTCAGCAGCTGCATCAGCCATTGCTGAGGCCAATTGTGTGTCACCTTGGAGTTTGCTACCAAACTTGTTTTGGGCATGTCTTACACTCTCAATCTTAGATACAACGGGCGAGTTGAAGCTAATTGTTTTCTTGCTGTTGGCAACAGCCTCAGCAGCTGTTGATTTGGCCTTTGCTGCTTCATACTTCTGCATGTCATATATGAGCTCTTTCTGGAGCTGCTTATCGGCAACCAATATGTCTTCAATCTCATTCTTGTAATCCTTGAGGATGATACGGAGGCATTCCATGAGGGAGCCAATGAGGGGGCTGTTTTTGCTTTCCAATAGCCTTTTCAGCTCTATAAAGATGGGTACTGTGTTTTGGATGAGGCCCTTTTTTACTGCTTGAGTTATCCTTCCCTTAGCAGATGCTCCACCATTATCACCACCTTCTTCATCAATGTCTCCAGTGTCAGCTGATGATCCTCGGTTGGATGGAATTCGGATCTCTTTGCAGGCGAGAATTTGGAAAGCATCCTGGTCCAGAAATTAAGAAAGCATATTTCAAATAAAACAGGCAGGTATCAAATACAAACACATTAATATTAGTCAGGATTAAAAGGAAACTAAATTAGAAAATCTAGAAATATATCTGCTCTTCAACTCATTAAAAGGACTGAACTGGAAGGCACACATATGTTAAAATAAGTTCTGTTGGGTATGTAAACATGTCAATACATTGAATTCCAATTATGCATATTCCACAGAAATCAGCTACCATATGCAGTAACATGCAACAAGTTTTTGAACACCATGAGGCAAATACCTTGAGAACAGACTGCCCAGTAATGTCATCTATATTGAGCATACCATCAGATGCTGCAGCAAGAATCTCTGCACATAACTTTGCAAAGGTAGCCAATAAGTGCTCTGGAGCCATTTGTTTTAGCAAAGTAACATAGATCTGCATTCTTTTAGACCTTGAATTTTCATCATTGCCCCTGAGAACAACAAAATAAACTATATATAAAATCTAATCCCATCTGTAAAGCTGCTTTCCTTTCAGTTCATTATAGACACACCTACCTGATGGAAAAAAGCCGGCTCTCTGCGCGTGATCCCTGAGCATTACTGTGTCCATTGTGGACATGGCAGTCATTCAGAACAAAAATTGCTTCTACAAAACTGTTATATCCTAGAAGTGGTTGCCTGAAAAAAAAAAAAAAAACGATAAAAAAATAAAATCAAACATATACATTAATTTCACAACTGCAAAACAAGAGAAAACCTTGAACCTTTCAGAATATTGTTAAAGAGAAAATTAGCAAGCTGCCTTATCTTCTCTGACTCATCAACAAGGGACAAAAGAAATCTAAGGAACATAACTCCTCTCCACTTCACATAGTCCCTCTGAATTTGACAATATAGTATGAAACATAGAATTAGTAATCTAACCAAATCATCAAAATGGAAATGTTAAGCCATAGGACTAACATATACCTGCAACAATCTCGAGAGAAGTATAAATGTCTGCCTTCTTACAAGTTCGCATGGATCACGGAGACATTTTGTGATCTTTGGTATATAACTGTTGACTTCAAGAAAAACTATTGAGAAACTTATAAAGCAAAACAATAATTCACCTTTAATTCTTCATAGGTAGTTTAAATGCAAAGATATTAGTCGACTCTAGTTCATTTAAGTTACAGTTTTACAGGCTTACCTATCAACTAAAGCAGTGTAGCGAACACAAAAATCTGCCATCATCACTACCAAATTGTTGCGAAGTGCTGCACTATCACTCTTTTCAAGTTCCTACAGAATCTTGTGAGATTTGAAACTCAATTACGTCTTTGGACAAAAGAAAAGGATTTAGTTAAAAGACACAGATAGTTTTGAAACTGCTGACGCACACACGCATATGATAAATATATAATTATCTAATTATATATACGTCACAATCAGTTGATAAGGGTGTAAACCTGACAGGCTACAGAAGAACAAGATTGTTAGCAAAACATTTTCTAGGTTATAGGTTCCATAGAAATCTGGAGCATCTTTGTCAAGGACACAAGTCAATAAGCTGTTTACAAAAAGCATTTAAAGCTGTATAACATAAATGATGCAAAGTCAATGACCAAACCTTCACAAACAGAGGGATATATCTCTTTGCAATTTTTCCATCTGCAAGGCAAATCTTCCCCAAAGTCAGCCATGCTTGGATGTACAAAGAAGGGGCTGTCTGATTTACAGAGCTTTTGGGCCTTGTTAATTTATCAGCTTTTGGATCAGAATTCCCAGAAGTGATGATGGTGTATAGTAGTGGAATGGCGGTGGTCATATCAGCAGATGGACAGATGATAACCAAAGACCCAATGGTGTAAGCTGCTGTGACTGCTTCTGACAATGACCTCGACATGGCCATAGCTCTCTTGCCTTTTCTAGTCCCACTTCTAGGTGGTGTAAAGAAGTCTCCTTTTCTTTTTGCATCTGAATCATCCAAAATAAACTTCTCTAAAATCTGAGAAGCTTTTGAGATAAGCTGGTGTGCCCATTTCATAACAAGGGTATCAGCCTCCTCTGAGTTTGAAGCCTTCCGCTTGCACAATGTTCTGAGTGCTTTTACATGAGCATTAACCTGTCATCAAATAAAGCAAAGCAACTAATTTAAAAAGCACATGTTAAATAATAGAGAAAATGTGGAAATAAAAACCATATGTATTAGCAAGTTGGTGCTGACTATGCATAGGTCCTATTTTTATTGTCATATCCTCACGGCTAATTGCACATCTCCCCACACTCGTACCAAGTAAGCTCATAAAAGCAGCACTCAGTCTAAGCATAGGAAAATTCAATTATCTCAATTATTTGTTCAACATTTCCACCATATTCTTTCACTAGTGACTCCTCTGATACAAATGTAAACATAAGTAGTAGTTTACAATTCAAAAAGTGAAATGAAACTCTTATTAGAGATTATCTAATGGAAGCAATCTACTTGTTATTCACTCTTCAGATTAGTCATGCAAACAGGATGAACAGAACCAACTTTGCCTAGAGTGAAAAACGTTATTTCTAGCTTCATAAAGAATTCAGTTCATTTAGCCGGAAATCATTCAAAAATATATATGAAACATCATGAGCATGTTCAATCTCTCTATCCAGATAAGTTGAGCTTAACACTGAGTGAGTGCTTGTGTACTTCAACCCGCAAGGCAAGCAGGCAAACTAATGTACTAACCAACGAAGTATTGAACAAATATACTGATACCAACAGATGAGTACCTCTGTTGAATGCATGTTGAAATCTTCAATTCTTTTAAGCATATTATGAGCTAAATCTGCTGCAAGTTCAGGAGGCAGCTCAACAGAAACATTAGAGATTGTCTGTAAGAGAAAAACACGATCCCCAGCCCAAGCAACAGAAGTGGAATCTATACCATCTTCCTCTTCACATGTATATCCTTGTGCAAATGGGCTTTGAATCTCCCCTCCCATGCCATACTTGTCAAAGAGCTCCCAATGATGATGGAGAAACTCCCAGTCAACTGCTTTTGCAAGGTATGCTGACACCTCTGATAGAAGAAACCAAGAGCCAGGTGGGGCTGTCCATTTCTCTATTGGCATGGATTTACTGAGCCACAGAGACTCAGATGTCCTTATGATATTCTGAAGAGAAATAGCAAATTTGTGCTTCATCAATTTCTTCTTTCCCAGGTTTGTGCAAATTTTCTTCACCCAAGGTGTCACCTCTCCATTGCATATCTCTTTCAAAAGACTCAAAACACCTTCAGGAAACACCGAGTCAACATCCATTTCCAAACCTTTTGCTTTATTTGAATTACGAAACCTGGATTCATCATGAAGAGAACTAACAGACCCTGTAGATACCCGTTCCAATACCAGTTCTAGAAACAAGTTCTCACATTCTTCTTGAATGCTAGACTCGTTATCAGCAATTAAGCGTGGAACAGAGTGTAGCCACTCAGTAGCCACCCTTTCATCCAGGAATGTTCTGAAGGCCTACAAAGTCAATGCAGAGTTCCAACATATAAGATCAGGAGAATACATACTTACTTTGACGCAGGCATTAAAATAAAGTAATTTCCACTAAGAGAAGCTTAATGAAGTGTATTTCTGATTATGTATCTCGTTAATTCTCTTTTTCATTCAGAAATTATGTATCTTGTCGAAACCATTAAAATCCCAAAGTTTAACCTACCCACTAAGAATATTACAACACTTTGATCCAAATTGTCAGCAAATGCAGATGTGCCTCTACAAAGTGTGGTTGACAGAAACGTAATTGAGAATTTTCAATGAAACATAATCAGATTTCTGAAAGTGTCTCATACAAAACAACCATAGTGAGCTAGATTTTGTGTTCCAGGTGGCCGGAAAGAAGTTAACAGGGCAACCCTTTTAGGATCAAAACCAAGATAAGTGCCCAAAAGTATACGTTGTTCAAAAATATAAATGGAATACGTGGAACTTTGGAGGCTATACAAAGTATACGACCAATTAGATGCCAATGCCATACTTCCTAACATTAACTACACAAAGTACACAAACCAATCAGAAACAAAAATTATTATCTTTAACTAAAACATCAGCTCAATGAAGAAAGGTTAGATGAAGCACAACATAAAATTTACCGCTGAAAGAGCTGAAATTGCCGTTTTACGTATGCTAACAAGTGGATCAGAACAAGCCATGCCCATTGTCTTGAGCAAGCCTCCATCAAAGTCACTACCTAGAATGGCTATCAACTTGGTAATTAAAAGAAGTGCAGCCTTCCTTACACCTGCCTTCTCATCCATGCACCTTTTCATTAAAATTTCATTCATCCAACCCTTCGGCCTTTGGTCACTTGCATTGCCAAGCCCCATAACTTCTTCCAGCACAGCCTGACCCCTATCATCACCTGACAATAAGCCCACCAGCTGTGACAAGTTTGACAAAGCACGGCCTCGAACTCCAGCAACTACATCTGAACAACGTTGAATCAAAGCCTCTAAGCATTTCAGACCCAATGAATCGTTCACTTCACTTTCTGAATTCAACCCCAATGTATCTCTCAACGATGTCACTAGCACCAGAATAAGGTCAACAGCCAAGAGCCTCAAGCTAGCTTTCCCTTGAGTCATCTTCACTACATAACCCACAAACCCCATTTGGTCCTCAAATTCCAAAAATCTAACAATCTCCATGATAGACTCTACAGCCAAAGCCCGAGGCTCAGACTTCTCCGGTGCCTTTTGAACCAAGTACCTCGGAAAATTCACCACTGCTTTCCTGACACCATCAAGCGTCTTGGCCGCACTCATCATTCGATTCGTCACGAACCCCAATGCAAATGCCCGCACTTGAGATTTATGCTGAAGAATCATCGGAGACAATGACTTCAACACCTCGGCTGCAATGTTAGCTTGGTCCTCATGCTCAGGTATGAATACTTTAAGCAAAATCTGCGAGCACAGATCTGTTAGTCTGCTATAACTGCCTGAATTACCGCATACTTCAAGCGCCATCACTGGAATTTCAGCCACAGTTTGAACCAAAGACTTCAAACTATCCGGAAAGCGGTCCAAATGAATCAACCCCATTACAAGTTCCAACCTTTCAAGAACGGTAAGCAAGACCCTCACATCAAAGTCACTCTCTTCCCCATCACAATCTTCATCGTGAGAACTCTGGGCACAATTCTTCAAACCCCGATTTCTGATGCGGCCCTTTCTCTTCTTATTAGCGGCAACGTGGGACCCATGGCTGGATTCACCTGAAGGACGATGCTTGAGGGACCGGCGAATGGACTGGAGGAGAGAGAGAAAGTCCATGGGGTTGAAGAGAGTGCAGACAGGGGAATTGGGTGAGAGGAGAAGAGAGAGGTAGACTTTGGAGGCTGAAAGGGCGAGATGGGTACGGCCCAAATCCATGGCGGAGGCGATCGGACGGACGAGATTGGACAAAGAGAGGGACTTGCAGGAGAGCTCGTCGTGGAGGTGGTCCATGAGTTCAGGGTCATCGTCGGCGAGGGCGTTGTCTAAGAGGGTTTGAAGGTCTGAGAGGGTGGAATCGGAGATGGGTAGGGTTTGGCGGTCTGATGGGTTTTCAGAGTGGCGGAGTTCTTCGAGCTCTATGACTATTCGGGTTATGGCTTCCTCCATGGCTATTTGGTTTGAGGTCACTCCCACTGGGAAAATGGATGGCTGCAGGAGGCCCCTTCTCTCTCTGGTTGCCCCTGATTTTCAAAATTGGGGTTTCCCGCTTCTTTTTCTTCTTCTTTTTTGTGTGGAAGAAAATGCCGAGTTTTCAGACGAAAAAAAAATTAAACAAAAATAAAAGTAACGCTACTGTTAATTAGTTATCACCTCATCCTTATACGGAGATAAATATTATGTATTTTAATTTCTGATTTATTTGTCAATTAATTACCAAAACTTGAATTATTAATAAAGTTGAGTAGAAAATGAGATGACTTGTAAATAAGTATAGCCGAGTTAAGTGCGAAGGAGATGACGAATATGGTGGCAGGGATCCCAATCCTTAGCATATAGTTTCTGTGCATTTATCCGTATTTTGGTAAATCTAAACCGCTCAACCAATCTAACGACTTAACACACGATATATCATCATTAAACTTTTAAAACATTTTTTTTTATTTCCAAAAGTGATGTTAACCCTACCTTAACAGCGTTAACGTTAGACTAAACCTTTCTTCTTCTTTTTTCCTCTCAATCGCGAGCGTCCTTGTTCCTTGATTTTTTTCTCTCTCGCAAGCAAGCATATATTTTTTTCTTCTTCAACTTCTGTCTTCATGGGTTGGGAGTTTTGTACATCTGATGAAGATAGGGTTAACATAAAGACAGAAGTTGAAGAAGAAAAAAATATATATGCTTGCTTGCGAGAGAGAAGAAAACCAGGAACAAGGACGCTTCCCGCTCCTAATTCCGAAGGGGAAAAGAAAAGAAAAAACACTCATGTTAGTTTAGTCTAACCTTAACGCTGTTAAGGTAGGGTTAACAAGTTTAATGACATATTGTATGTTAAGTCGTTAGATTGGTTGAGATGTTTAAATTTACCGAAATGCAAGTAAATGCAAAGGCTCAGGATCCGGTTGGCACTATGTCTCGTAAGAAAAATGTAATTGAAGCTTTGGGGTTCAAGATTTTGAAAGATGTAATGTCTAAAACACACACTATTTGGAACTCAAAAATTGAGTTAAAATAGTTTATGGTGGAGGATGCTCCTAATAAAGTAGCCATATTGAGTTGCATTTGAAAAGTTGTTACTGATTTAAGATTTAGATCCCTTTATCCATGTGGTTTTAATCCTGACAACTTAACCCATGTAGTTTGATATCATTGCAATTTGCAATTCAATGACACGTTCTAATTTCATTCGAAGCTTTATCCGGTTCTACCCCCAGACTGATTCTGTTGAGTCAACATGCTCGGTATCCTTGAGTGAGTTGGGTAAAGCAAACTCCCCTGCTTGGATGAGCACCAGGGAACGGGAGAATTCCCACTACCGCTAGCAGTCCAGAATCCAGTCCAGATGCTGATTGACCTAGCCGTGCATTTCCAAGTGTCATTGAATTGCAAGACATTTAAAACTACATAGACGAAATTCAAACTAACGGGACCAAGTGGTAAACAAACTACATAGACCAAAAATGACTTTACACCTGAAAACAAAACTTAAAAACCCCAGATTCAAGAACACATATTAGTTATTGGATTTTCAATGACTTACCCATCTAATCAGCTCCAATGCCAACACCGAATTGTATAGAATCAAAGTCGAACTTGACTTTGGTCGTTTGGATGTGGCAGTAAGTCCTCCACAGTACATCACATTGGCAAGGATGCGAAAGTTAAACAATATAGTTTGCACAAAGCAAATTTTTTTTCTTTTGTTGGTTGCATAAAACAAATTTAGTCCATACTATATGGCATCAACTAACCAGCCATACATTTCTAGGCCTGAAACTAACACCTTCATAGCCTCAAGTTTTGCAGTTATGGTTTCTCATCCTTGAAGTTTATGCTTTTCATAGGAAGAACATTTTGCACCTGCGGTAATAATTATTCAAGGCTAGCAACTTAGCTTTTTTTTGCCTCTCACGGACATTTCAGTTTAGCCTGCTATCAAGCTTACTCATTAATGTCCGAGAGCAGTGAACCAGTGTCTTCAGGAAATAGTTGGAGAGGTTCGACCACATTTCTTTCCTGGACATGGTGATGACTGTGAGTTGCTGCTTCTGACAAGTTAGAGTTGAGGTTCACAGACCATGAAAAGGAGTTCCCAGTCTGTTCAACTAGCGAAGGTGCTGTGTACTCTGCTGGAAACTAGCCCCTCAATCCATTTGATCTTCTCATGTAAGTGTCCGCAGCAGATGAAAAGGAATTGGTTAGTGTCTGCTGCATCCTTCGTAAGTTGGAATAAACTGGATCATTGCTTCCTTGATAACCCAAACCAAATGGAGATTCAGTAGCAGTTTGAACACACATCCTACAAGGAAAAGGTGCATCTAAGATATTTAAGACGCAGTGTAAAATAGGCAAGGCTAAGAAAAATGAGGGACAATGAACACAATGCAGGTTCAGAGTGACTTGGGATATTTCAATAATATGATGTATCCCTCATGAGCCATGACTTTATTCCAGCATAACCAAGCCTGGCTCATCGGTTTTTCTCAGGTTTATTTCAAATAATAAATTTTATTTATGAAGCTAAAAGCATATGCCATTACTCTCATATTCGTAAAAGCGTTCATATTAGATGTGATTAGGTGACCTTGGTCGAAATCCGCATTGTCAGTTCAATTAACTCAAGTACAGATAATGAGCGTTGAGTTTATCAAAAGCTTACCCATGCTCAATGATTCGAGGAACAAATGGTTCATTTGGCATAGCATGAAAATCAAGCCCAGCACTCAAGGTTGCAGATCTAACTGAAGCCCAATTAGCACCACTGGTATGGTCACCCCTTGAAAACGAATTGATATAGGTATCACATATGAAAGGATCACATCTCCAGTTAACCCGAGAAGTAAATACCCCATTGTGTACAGGAGGGCCATTCAATTGATGGCTGGTATTAGGATTACCATCAAAGACGGCATAGGGGTCAACGAAATTCTCATCTGCATCTTCAATATGTAGTTCTAAGTCTGTTGTTAAACAAGTTTTCTATTAACTGGTTATTTAAATTTAAGGTGGGAGAGAAGAAAATGAACTTACAGCCAGGTGATGGTAACCTTGTTTCCCTGCAAGTTTCAAAACATCCACACGTAAAACAAAGACCCAAAAAAACACAAACCATAACATCTTTAGTAATTATTATCTCCAATCTCAATAAACTGCCGGGAAATAGAGGTGAATTTCATGATTCTTGAAAACCTAGGACAATTAAACTTTCTGCATACACTATAGGTTTCCTTTCAATTTTTTATTTTATTTTTCATTCAAAGATGAACACAGAAATCATCTCTCTTTACGGTCCTAAACCTTGGACCCAAACCTCTAGAATACAATCAGAATATAAGCAATCTGATTATTTATATTTTCAGATAACAGCTACTAAATAATCTGCACTAAAAAGCAACAAATATGGTATTTCGGCCAGATGTTAAAAATCACTTAAAAAAACATTACATTTACATTGAATTTATTTATCTGGGTTATTCATTTTTCCGTAAGTTTGGGATATATGTTTCTGCATGAAAAACTCAGCAACTAAACACACGAGAGGAGAAATTCGGCCTCTTGACTAGAAATAATCAAGGACATTATATAGAGGTATCCTTAGGCTTCAAACTTACTTTTGGTATGGGTATTTAGAATACTCATAAACAATATCAATTGGCAAAATAAAAACAAGGACTCATGCAGCAAGCAATGGCCAATAGGGGATTGGGGGACCAAAGGAAGATGGAACTGAGAATAATTTGGATGAAGGAAGCCTCTTCAATAATTCCAATAATCCCATTCTTTAGAGATGGCCCTTCTCAAGTTCTAACATAGAATCCCCTTGTTTACAATAGACTCGCTTCTAGACATTTCAATGCAACTGCTACCTAGGCAAACTTGTAATTCCATTATAGTAGTTCATCAATAGCATACCCCCACCAAGTAAACAGCATTACCATAGCATAAGGATAACCACACAAGCAACACAAAAATTCATTTTAGATGGGATATATCAGCATCTCAAAAGGAAAGAATCCAAGCACAACTAGCAACTACTAATTGAAGTCCTGGGCTACAAGTTTGTTTAACTCATCAATCTGACAACCTATTAGATGAACACATAAACAACACGCATTAACGTAGTACAATTTAATATCTAGAGTTTAAGTTTTTATAGTTAACTAAAAACACAACTTTCACACGCCACTGATAGCCCAACACTATTCTAGGCTTAACAATTCCCAGTAATTAATGTTTAAGATCAATAAATATTCAAGTGATATTGAAGATAGTATAATGGCAAATTTTAACACAAAAATGAAGCAAAAGGAAAGGAAAGACCTTGCACAGGAGAAAAATGCTTACCAAATATAGTGACGTACAAAAGTTCCATTTCCCTGAAACATCCACAAATGTATTTACAAATTAAGACGAACGACTTAGAGAAACTGATGATCACGTCAAGTGATGTACTTATACATATATATTTATATATAATATGACAATGAATCATGGAAAAAAAATACATTGAACATCCAGGTATGGCTATAAAACCATGAAAACATGTTGCAAAGATTTTATTCCATGTGTGTGTTATGATGAAAGAACAAAGTAAGCTAAAATTCTGTATATGAGGCAGAACTAGTCACACATTTGTTGATATTTCGATGCCGAATCAAAAATTGATAGCATAAAATGACATTTTAAGTGTCCTCAGTTGGTTTTACAAATAATTTCCTTAACCAGTTCTGCTAACTCAATGCACCCACTAAAGCAAGTCAAAATGAGCGAGAAAAATGAGTGTTCGCAGCCTTGAGGAAATTATAAATTGGTACAAAAGTACTTAAATTTATAAGTAGTCTTTGCTTTTACCATGTCAATGAAATCCACAGGCTCCTCATCCATCCCCTCATATAAGTCAGGCTCAGGGCTACCATTCTCAAAACACCTCCATACACCATTCTCAATCTCACGGCAATTCGGGCATTCCATGACACCTTTTACATTGAATGCAGAACCGATGCAATCTGAAGAAAAAGGAAAGCACATGACATCAGAAAAAATAACAAAATTCCACGAACAAACAAAATTAAGTAAATATTTCATGATTTATGAGGTTAATTTTTTTCAGCAGCCAAAAGGTGTAAGATGAAAATCTACCAAACCTAAGAGATGTGACCCTCTACTATCATTCATAAATGCCTTTCTTTTTGTGACCTTATATCATACCGTAATTCTCACAAGGCGTGTATTAGCACCTAGGAGGTAAGCATAATCCAAGACACAAGTCAATGTTTAGACCAAAAGTCATTTTGAACTTCATTAGGATTTAGGAGTTTCCATAGCTCACCCATAAAAGCTAATATGCCTTCGTAAATGTACATGTTTACACACACACCCCCCATGTTAGACATGTCTACAAATGATAAATCCAACAAATCCTACTTTTAAAATAGCCAATTCGTCGAACAGCTTAGGCACATGGAGTCACAAAACAAATTTTACGCAACCCAATTCGTTTTCCTGATCCAAAGTCAAACATACATAGTTTTTTTTTCTTTCATGAATTACAGGACACTGACTATTGAGCTCATAGTTCCAATACACACACCAGCATACCTTCATCAAATACCTGGAAAACAAAATAGTAACAGCAATTAAAACACTAATGACATCAACAACAATAATAACAGTGACAATCATTTCTATGGTACCCTGTAATAATCATTAACAATAATTTTGACAACAAAATTATACACATATATCATTTAGTAAAGAAATAACAGAAAATAAAAGAAAAATATCTAAAAGTTGGCGAAGTCTATGTGATTTACTCACCGAGATGAAACGAGTGAGAGCAGCGAAGCCTGACGACAGTACGGCCACAGTCATCGGAGACGTCGTCCATGCAGATGGAGCACTTGACAGTCGAGGAAGACGAAGCGGGCGATGTCGCGTTGTCCATTTGCGCCCGAGCAAAGAAAACCCCCACAGAGACTGAGAGTATGTGAGAAGAAGAGCAGAGCAGAGTATGAAAAAGAAGAAGCAAAGAAATGGGCGCAATGGCACAGACATTTATACAGCCAGAGAATCATTGCTCCTCAGGAAGAACCAAACGGGTTGTCACCCGCGTCTATATATGGTAACTTGTCAATGGGAGTGGCAAGTATATCTATTTCAAATCCGGAGATTGGGTTCCCCTGCGGTCGAATCCATGGGAAGTGATCGCATTGGCGATTGTGTGGCAAACACGTGGAGGGTTTTCGTATATGTTGTTTGATGATTGGGTGGTCTATGCTTGGTTTTGTTTATTAAAAAGACAATAAATAATAAACAAAATACACATGGCAAAGTTCATTAATTGACATGGTATGACACATCAGCTTCCACATAAGGTTCAGCTACGATGGTCAATGTTGTGTCTAAATAGCATTACTCTTATATTATTAATAAGTATTCTTCGTTGTGACAGCTGATGTCAGTGTGTCGTTACTTGAACATTCTACAAGCTTTATCCATATCCTAGTGAAATTGGTGTGAAGGCCAGGGATATCTGATGTAATTTCCTTGTTTGTCTTGGGCATTTGGTTAGCCAAAAAGAAAATGAAATTGGTTGTGAGGAAACATTTTCTCACTTGAGCTTTCGTGTAGTGGGTCAATGGTTCTTATTCAATGAGGAACTTTCAAATACACAAAAGTGTAATAGCATGGCACAACTCAGTATGTTGGAACCAATCTCACAATGTAATTTTATGAAGTTAAGAGATCCATTGTTCTTTTGTTGTTTCTCATTTAAGATTGGGTTTCATGTGGTTATGAAAAAAGCCTATAAAAAAAAATCAAATATATTCAAGCATACACCAACCCAAAATCAAACCAAATCAATTATTGTAATTGGTTTAGTTTTGGGTTGGTACCAAATTGAACTGTGCCTACTCCAAACTTCTACATGATTTCTCAAATTTGTACCAATGGAAATCTTGAGTTGGACATAATTTCAAGTTATATTTTGCCCAAATTTAGGTTTGGCACTCTTGGCTGGAGATGGTTTAATGGAGTTAACCAGCCTATGCGACCAAATTAACGAGGCCTAGTTGGTAGGCCCAAATACAGGCCCATTCGGAAGTACTTCTGGAACAGTTAAAGCGCTTTTTGACAACCAAAAATGCTTATGACAATATTTAGTATAAATGTTTAGAAGCGGTTTTTGGAGAAGCACTTGTCATGTGCTTCTTTAGGAAGTACTCTCAAGTGCTTTTCCAAGAAGCACTTCGGTTTCTTATGAAAATTTTAACGTTTTTATAATAAAAGCAATTTTGGTAGCGCTTATAAATAGATATTCTTCCTAGAGAAGTAGGCCCCTACGAGCCCTAATTTATAGACCCAATTAAGAAAACTAAAACTGGACCGACCAGACTACCCAAAAAACCTGGTTTTACTATTTTACTAGGACTTGGAACCAAAAACCTGATTTTACAGTTTTATTAGAAAGGGTATAACAGGAATTCAAGAGAAAAGACAAGTCCTTTCCCGTAATTTTTGAGTTGCGTAGCATATTCGTGTTCTCGGCCAAACCCTCGCCTATAAATTCCAGTTGACGAAGGCTCTTGAAACCCTCTCTTGCTATCTAGTTGCTGCGTCGCTCTCTCCTCTCAAATCCCTAGTAAGTCTTGTTGGGGCGATCCGAGAGAAAGACTCTGCTGCAAACATGTTGGTTTACCAAGACCTCCTCACTGGTAATTTCCCCCTGTGTCTTAAATTAGGGTTTTAGTTGTGTTCAGTATTAGTTTTCAGGGATGATACGAAATTAGATCTCTGTTAAATCTCCAAATTTTAGGTTAGGCTAGGGATCTGATTTTGTTCACTGGCGCCCAATTTTCACTACTGCCGTATTTGTCTTCTTGTTTCACAAATTTCTTGATCTATAGCTGCTGTATTTATTTTGTGTTGATTATGTGCAAGTTTTTTTTATGTAATCAGCTACTGGGCTGCATGTTGTGTATATTTTGTCAAGCCACTGAATTGTTCTGTTCAACTGATTTAAAAAAACCTAATTTGTAGTTTTAATCAGTATTTCAATGGCTTTCGAACTATTTTTTGTATTTTTGTTGCCATATGCATGTGGTTGGTGGAAGATGTTTGGATTGAATATGGCTTTGTCATCGTGACGCAACTCTGAAACTTTGATGGGTTAACTAAGTACTTTAACTTAGATACTTTTATAAGTTTGTTTGTGATGTTCTTCTTGTTCTATCAGATTTTTTTTTATTGAGCTTATATATATATCGAAGCTCTTGTTTCAAGTTGTTGACCAATTTTAGTGTATTCATACTAGGTGATGAGCTTCTCTCGGACTCGTTTCCATACAAGGAAGTCCATAATGGAGTGTTGTGGGAAGTTGATGGAAAGGTAGGTTCATCAATTTTGAACTTAACAAGTTTAACAGATGGATCTCGCAATTATTTTAATTTATTCGCATAACTCAAAATTTTCAAGTAGAAAATAAAGTCGGATGATGTATTTAATGTGTGGGTATCAAGGTGGTTGTATTGAGCTCTGCTGTTTTATGTTAACTTCTACTGTTGCACAGTTGATTAAATGTAAGTTTGTATGATTTTTTTCTCCAGTGGGTTGTGCAAGGAGCAGTTGATGTAGACATTGGTGCAAATCCCTCTGCTGAAGGTGGTGGGGAAGATGAGGGTGTTGATGATCAAACCGTGAAGGTGGTTGACATCGTTGACACATTTAGGCTTCAGGTATGTAGTGCCCGCTGTTCTGTTGGCCTCCAAACTTTGTCTCGGGTAGAAATTGATTGTTATTGCCTGATGCTTGCAGGAGCAACCTCCTTTCGACAAGAAGCAGTTTGTCACATGGGTGAAGAGGTACATCAAACTGTTGACACCCAAGCTGGAGGGGGAGAAACAAGAGGAATTCAAGAAGAACATTGAGGGAGCAACCAAGTTTCTGCTTTCGAAGCTCAGTGACCTCCAATTGTAAGTTTTGTTGGCCCCTTTGGTGATTTACCATGTTAGTCATCCCGTCGGTAGAATACTTTGGCACTTGCTATCATTGTGGAATTTTTACTCGAAAAAAGATACAAGCATTGAATCGCATGTTCTTTTGCAGCTTTGTTGGGGAGAGCATGCATGATGATGGCGGTTTGGTGTTTGCCTACTACAAGGAGGGTGCCACTGACCCAACATTTATCTACTTTGCTCATGGTTTGAGGGAGGTCAAGTGCTAAGTTTGGCACAGCTGGCTTCAAGCAGAATGCTTGTTGTAATCCTAGTCTATATTGTTGCTCTTTTTTTTTCCTTCTCTAAATTGGGGAATCAGGAGTTGTTTTCTTTAGAATGTTTTGCGTTTGGTGACTCGAGGCTTTATGCCTCCTATCTCGGTTTTTAATGGTATTTTCGAATTTCGACTTGGATTTCTAATTTATTTGGCTCTATGTTTTGATTGAGAAATAAGAATAATATTGTATTCTAGATTTTAGCAGCTCCAAATCTTCGTTCTTATCTATGCATACATCTGTATGTTATATCATCTATATGTTATATATAATTCATAAATCTACCAGGCCATTAAAAAAAATCATGGTTCATTCATTACTGGGACAAACGCAAATGGGTTTGCAGTACCATGTAGACGGTGGAACTGTAGAAGCTTGTGCACCTGTACAGAAGCTTTGGTACTTGACCTTGGCTAGTTGAATTATCAGTTTAACAAACTCTCTTGTAGTTTAAGTGATTAAGAAATAAGTTTGCGTTCAACCGATAAAAAAAAGAAGAAATGTTGTAGTTTAGGTGATTAAGAAATAAGACAAAAAAAAACAGAAATGTTGTAGTTTAAGTGATTAAGAAATAAGCTTGCGTTCAACCGAAAAAAGAAATTGTTTAAGTGATTAAGAAATAAGTTTGTGTTCAACCGAAAAAAGAAATGGGTTTGCGACTTAAGCGGAAAAAAGAAATGGGTTTGCGACTTAAGCGGTTAAGAGGGGATACTGATCAATTTTTCAGAATTGTGAGATAATTATTGTGAAGTTAAAGGAGGTATGATGTCGTTATTTTTGCCAAGAGTAAGATGATTGGGGAAGAAAATCACATTATACAATCCACTAGATGGCTACGAAGTGCAATTCATTCATTCCATTACCCTGAAAATTTATTTTTTGTTTTGTTGTCAAATAAATAATAACTTGCTCAAACAAAGAAAAAAAATTCCCAAATGATATTGGCCCTCCTATTCATAGACCCACAATGCATAATTTTTATTGAAACGCTTGATGGAAGGCTCAGGGCTTCGTGGGTTTCTTCACAATCATGACGGAGCATTTAACATGATGAGCACAGTAGTCGCTTACACTTCCAAGAACTGCCCTGCAAGAGATTCGAATTTTGTGTCACATATTAGAAGAGCCTGGAGGAAGAATAAATAAATAAAAAGAACTTTGGATTTGCAAAGTTCAAACATGTACCTCTTTACAAGTCCATAACCGTGACTGCCAACAACCAAAAGGGAGGCATGGTGTTTATCAACAGCGTCACACATAACATTTCTGGGATCACCTTCCATTACTTCCACTTCTACATCTTCCACCTGCACCGTCGCTAATTAACCGTATTAGCTTGATAAATCGCATTAATTAGCCGACCACATAATATGCAGAATGATGCGTGAATTACCAAAAAAAAATTGGCGGAATTTGGAAAAATAGCCTAGTGAGTGTTCATAATAACGTTGCAGACATCACTTATAGGATTTTGTACTTGCCTTTTTGCTGGTGCAAACATCCTTAGCTTTCTGCACGGTCTTACTAGTGGATTTCTTCATATCCGCCTCCAAATAAGTCATAAAGTCCACAGAACCTGCATTTTACAATAAAGTGAATTAACCATGCAATTAATGAATTAATGAAGCAGATAATGAGATTGGTTTAGTTAATTACCAAATCCGGCGACGCCGAGGGCAGAAGAGGCAGAACTCCTAGCATGAATGACGATGAGCTTGAAAGGGTGGTTGGTGCCGTGAGCAAAGAAATGGTCCAACGTCCACTCCAATGCATAAAAGCTATGCTCACTGTCGTCCACTGCAACTAGCATCAGCGGCTTCCCCTTGTTCTCACTACCTTCCGCCATTATCTTAATTAATCCAAGTTAATCACTAATTATCAACAAAAACAACAAGAAGATCCAAATTAATTAGTTCAGTGTGGGATTAATTTAGTTGGAGAGTGTGCTTGTGGGTGGTAACGGCTGTATAGGATAGGATAGTAGCTTGCTGTTGCTGAATATGGCGATGCTATGTGTATACTTATATATGCCCAAATTGTTGGTAACTGTATCGAGGTCGTTACGCCCCTCGACTCGGTTTCTAACTGTCTCTGAATCAATGGCCTTGAGACGGCGGGAGTTTCTGTGAGGTCCAATTCATGGCTCATATCAAAGCGGACCGAATCAAACGAAATAAATTAGTTACAATTTGGTCTGATTTGGCATAGTATTACACTTTTGAGTGTACAAATTGGATTAACACACTCAGAGTAATTTTAATTTGACCGATTTGAAATCTTCGGATAATGTTTTGCACACTCCTAGGGTTTGTTGTTTGGTGAGCTAAATTATATAACTGAATATGATTAATAAATCCTAGTTAAATGTTCGATAGCTTGAAAATAACATAAATTGGATTACACTTAATTTAACTAGAGTTAAATGTAGTGGAATTATGAATCCCGCTGAAAGGTTGAGATTATGGCAAGGGTCTACAGGAGCCCCTCATTACGAAAAGAAAGGATGGTGGGAGCCAAATTGGGTCTAGAAACGTTTAAAAACTTTAATTCAAATTAGAATCCTGAGCTAAGCATCGGTGTCAACCCTCACACGCTTTAAGTTAAAGCAAGGCTTTTCCAAAATAAGTGCACCACACGGATGATAGGGTAGGGAACAGAACAGAAAAGTGGGGTTTTTATTTATTTATTTATACTTTTTTTTAAATAAAAAATTTAAAGTTGGGGTCCACTTCGAGATCCACCAGCATTTATCAATGTCGACCCAATTACCAGAACAACAAACAAACCTTATTAAAAAAAAACCTTGCAGCAAAATAAAATAAAATATTGACCTTAAAGTAAAATTAGAATAAGATTATTAAATGATTTTATTATAAAGTATTTTTATGCAACTAAAAGTATGTTTCATGATGCATCCGTCCGTTTCCGTGGCCGTTTTCTCAAGTTTCGATTATGTTATGTTCTTTTAGATTTACATTGCGTACAGATTAATCTTATGTCGATATGCATTATTATTATTATAATATTTTTTTTAAGGACATTTTCTATTGAGAGGGGCGATAACATACTAAACTCACACATACTATACGAATGCTAGGACTCGAACTCAGGACCTTACCTGAGGGAGTAAATACTCCAAACCACTACACTAGTGGATTCTTTACTCGATATGAATTATTAATTCTATCTTACTAATATAATTTATATAATAAAAATTTACTCAAAATATCCATAATTATTTAGTAGACAATTATCAATACTTTTCCTCACCAAAATTTACGTTGAATTCATATATTGTTTGTGTTTATGTAATAATTGTCACCTTCGGAAAATAGTAAAGGAAACATATAAAAATAAAAGCACAAAGTTAGAAAAGCGAGGTCTTTTAGGAAAATAAAGTCCACCTAGAAAGGTACAGCAGCGCATAAATAATCTTGCTGTCATCAGTCATCATTCTATCACACTGTGTACGTTCCATCACCAAATGGCTGAATCGAGTTTGGGAGGGTATTATTGACAATAACAAAAAGCTTGAGGCAAGGGTATATCCATGTATGTCCATGCATATATATGCTTATTTGAACTTGAGACCGTAAAGTTTGACCTTTCAGCATTAAAAAAAAGTTTGAAATCCCCCTTCAATTTAATATTATAGCTTATGTAAATTATTGTATGATTTTATAACCTCCTTAGAAGCTTATCTTGAAAGTAATTGGAACATTGTAACATAGCATATCGACACACACAAGGCGGCTAAAAAAATTCATGTAATCAGAGTGACGGATGCATGAAGCTTTCTTGATTAGGGAAGAAAATAAGAGGCTTTCTTAAGTAAGGATAACAATTCAAGAGATGTTAAGTAAGGGCAATCGCTTTCATTCATCATAACGTAGATCCACTATTTGATTCAAGAGTGGACGTCTACAATGCAAACACCTGGGAAAATGCATTAGACTTTCGAACATCATGGACATTCCACGTGTTCGAATGACTAATGCATTTGTTGTATATCAGTATAAATATATAAAATACAATTGTTTTTTGTTAGAAAAAATATATGATAATCTACAAAATAATGAGTAATGCAAACATGTGATGAAAAGTTACAGAAAGCATTGATAATGATGAATATATATATATATTTTTTTTGTTGTTGTTGTTGTTGAAGAATGATGAAGAACGTATACATGTAATGTAAAATTGTAAATGGAATAAACAACAAGGTACAAACTTTCATGTCTCATTTCGACTGGAAGTGCAAATTTCTAGTTAAACCGACCCGCACTACGACTTATTCTGTTGCCTGCTGCTTAGCCAGCAATTGTATAAAACTGCTGCACGAGCTCAATATATATATATATATATATATATACACATATATTAGTAATTTTATTTAGCGATCTGTACATAATTTTCAGAGCCAGAAGTCGCAGTCCCACCGTCCCAATCCAAGTCTGAAGTTGAGAAAAGATTCCAGCAGTACATAAACACACTTACACCTAAATAAATTGCATGTATATACTAATCAAATTATTTTAATTTAATCTAAATTATGATGAGAGATATTCGAATTTGGGTTTGTTGAGAGTATTTATCCCACATTGAAAAGTTAAAGGACTTAGTATGAGTTTATAAGGAGTTGTGCTACTCCCCTCATTGTCAATTGGTTTTTGAGTGGAACCTCAACTTCACTTGAAAGTTTGTCACACGCTCTGCCTTTTGCCTATATATAGATAAAAGATTAGCACATTGCCTTTTATTTTATCCGATTCGTTTTCATATTCTATTAAGGGTTTGCTTTGACATTTGATTTGAGGTGGTTGAGTGTATTTCAATAATTTCTTAACTTGGAACATACTATTCTCCTATTAGGATTGTTGTATTTGTTTTTGTTAGTTGAAGGATTTCTATTTTTAATTTTCGGACAAGATCTTATGAATCTCAGTTTGCTTAATTCACAAATAGGCCAAACGCGCCCTAAACAATAAAATAATTACATCAAAAAATGAGGGAGGACAAGCCACCTTAATAATGTCCTCAAACACCATTTTCATTCCATAATAGTAATTTTGCAACACCCAAAAATAATTAAAGAAAAGGCAAAATAATGAGAAAAAGGAGAAATGAATTGTGTTTTTTTTTCCTTGTTCGAGAACTTTTATTGACCTATTTTATTTTTTCCTCTTAATATTCCACTTTTATCCCCATAAATAAATAAAAAAAAGAAGGAGAAAAATACCCATCAACCCTCAATGAAAATTTCCTTTTTATTTTTGTTGGGTCATGAGAGAAAAAAGAAAAAGAAAAAGAAAAAGAAATTCATTATTGTTGGTGGTGATGGGAGGGAGTGGACGTTTTGAGTTTCCGCGGCAAGCAAATAAAAAAAAATCCAAGGGTATTTGCGTCAGCTCACATTAAATTTATTCCAGTCTGTCGTCCGAAGGCTCTGAACCGTCCATCCGAGCTCCGAACCGAAAATTAGCAACAACCTGGAGGGCGTATCAGTCTTTTTAGATTAATTCAATTGTGCGAATAGCCGTTTTAATAATTTTGAAAATTATAATCTACCAAATGACAATTATAACGACATCGCTCTCTGAGTCTCTCTCCTGTTGTCGCAGAAAGATTATTTTATAATCTAAGCAAGGCGTACACTCTCTCTCTTCTGTGGAGCCCCTTACCATCATCAATTCAACCCCCATTTCTCTGAAACCAAATTCCAACACACCCTTCCCTCTTTACAATCGAATTAGGGTTTTGCTTTTCCCAATTCGTTTGCAGATCTGATCCCAATATCGCATTCTTTTGAGATTATTAAGAAGCCACAGATCCTGGTCGCGTAATTGTTTTGGTTCCTTCTGTTCCGGTACGTTTAATCGTAAATGTGAGAAACTGATTGATTTTCTACGTTGCTCGGCGTGGGATTCTGAGATCAGATTCGGTTGAATTGCAGATTCTGAGGACTTGAATCGCATTTCCGTTGGAATTTTACTTTCATGTCCTGCTTTGAATTCAACTTCTCCCCACCTCGTGAGTATATATGATCCCATGCAAATCAATATGCTATAATTTCGTTGAAATTCTTATGCCTTTTGGATTGCACGTATATATAAATGCATTTGTGCGGTTTGTTTTTGTGCAGCGGTTGTTGGAATATAGATCTTGAAAATTGGCTCCTCAAAGACGGTCGCAGCGCCACATGGGTGGCCAGATGCAGCAGAGCAATGCCGCCGCGGCTACTGCTCTGTACGACCACGCCACCGGCGCTCCTGCCGGGCCTCTGCACAATGCGGGGCCTGCCGGCGATGCTGGTGATGCAGTCATGGCCCGGTGGCTCCAGTCCGCTGGGTTACAGCATCTGGCCTCACCATTGGCTTCCACGGGAATCGACAACCGTATGCTCCCCAATCTCCTCATGCAGGTATTATATTCATAGCCATTGCCTATGAGATTGTGCTATCTTATCCGCTTTTTTCATGTAGAATTACATGATGACTAAGCGTTTGATATTATTATAGGGCTATGGCGCTCAATCTGCTGAAGAGAAACAGAGGCTTGTCAAATTAATGCGAAACCTCAATTTTAATGGGGAGTCTGGTTCTGAGCCATATACACCTACAGCACAAACTTCAGGTGGGGCTCCATCTGATGGTTTGTATTCTCCGGAGTTCAGGGGGGATTTTGGAGCTGGGCTGTTGGACCTTCATGCTATGGATGATACTGAGCTTCTGTCTGAGGTATAGTTATTTAAAAAATTCATAATGTTCTGTGTTTAACTTAGCTGGGAAGTTCTGCATGGATTGGTTTTAAAACATCAATAACGACGAAGTACGAGATTGGCTACTGGGTGCTGTCAAAGGACGAGATTGGTTACTAATCCCTGACATTGGGTCGTTTTGTTTGAAGTTCCTTTACAACATTCCATGTTGTTATTCGGTGATATGTGCTGGAATTCAGACCTGTTATGCACTTGGGAATATCAAGTTGTGACATCAGTATTTTATAATGATAATTTGGTCTGAATTTATGGCCAAATTTTTATGAGCTGAAGATTTTAATTAAATTGTGAATTCAGGATGGGTTGATGGGGATTCCCTGGAAATTCACTCACTTGTTAGGGTAATTTCTCTTGGATTGCTGGTTTTGTTTCTATATGAATTTTACTTGTGAATAGGTTCTTAAATTTAAATTTGCTTTGTAAAACTTGTAACATCTCTGATTCTAGCCACTACATTATCATTTTTGTTCCCTTTACCTATTTGTTATTGGTCCTTGTTTACTTGTGATATATATTTATAGCTGCATAGTGAAAAGAGTTAAATCCTTACCTACTTTTGAAATATTGTGCTTACTGTCTTGGGGTCTGTTCTTTACCTTTTTCTTGAGTTATGATCAATGAGACTGCTTTGTGTCTGCCTAGGATATTTTTTTACTTCCTACTCTGTTGCTTTATTTGTTAATAAAATGCAATATTGTTTTCATGTTCAGCATGTCATCCCTGAACCCTTTGAGCCATCGCCATTTATGCCTGGTGGTAAAGCTTTTGATGATGAATTCAATTTGACAAGTGGTAGGCAGCAAAGAGTACTACCTGATCCAGATGCATCAGTTCCAGTAGCCCAGAGTGACAAGGAGAGCACAAAGGAAACTAATGTGGCTAAGATTAAAGTTGTGGTATGTGTTTCATTTCGCAGCTGAGTGCTGTGCTTGTGTATTGTTGGATATGTGTGGTTAATATCATGTTGTTGATGACTTGGTATCTAATTTCTATATGAATGCTTTGGGTCGTAACATATATTAATCTTGGCATCTGATCCTGTCGTATGATTTGAAGGCATATGATGGAATATCATGTGTATTATTTTGTGTGAAACTTTTAAATTTTTTGTGTTCTAATGGGTATATTAGGTACGCAAAAGACCTTTAAATAAGAAGGAGCTTTCGCGGAAGGAGGAGGATATTGTTTCTGTATATGACAATGCTTATTTGACAGTCCATGAACCCAAACTAAAGGTTTGTTCTCAGCAACCAGATGCCACTTAAAATTTATGGCTGAATTTTGTTTTGGAAATTGAAGTCTCTCTCTTGCACATATTCTGTTTTGGGTTTTACATTTTTGGTCATGTAATAGGTGGACTTGACTGCATACGTGGAGAAACATGAATTTTGTTTTGATGCTGTTCTGAATGAGTATGTTTCAAATGATGAGGTAATATATATCTTTTTGTACATGGAAGTGTGTAAATCTTGACTTAATATTTCCTTTGATGTTTAGGATACTGTTGCACATTAGGCATGGTCCTTATGTGCATGTTCCTCTATGATTGTTTCTTGGTTGGATAAAAAAGGTTTAACCAGTTGAAATGCTTTATGAAACAGGTATACCGGGCCACTGTAGAACCAATTATTCCCATTATTTTTGAGCGAACAAAGGCTACATGTTTTGCTTATGGTCAAACAGGTAGGTTGTGTATATAATCTGTCCATGTCATACACTAATCTGTCCATGTCATACACTACTTGATTATCAGTTTATCCTTGTTGAAACTTTATTCTTTTCATCTGTGTACATGACAGTCATCAAAATGCAGTATCATTGGTTGAGTAATGACCTTGTGATATATATTTAAATAATTATAATTCCAAATCATATTCTATTCTTCCTTAGTCGGAGTTTGACTGCTAAGTTTGTCCTTCCTTTAGCTTTATATACTTTTAGAAAGTTACCAATAGACAAAATTCAGGTTCACGCTTGTCAGATCTATTCACTTTGTTTGGGGGGTTCTGAAACTTATGTTTGTGGTTTATTTCTGGTGCCACTTAGTGGTTTTACTTGTTGCTATGTGATCCTTTTCAATCATGCTAAATGTCTTCTGGACTGAAAATACTAACAAGATTTGAATTGCAGGTAGTGGCAAGACATTCACAATGCAACCGTTACCTATCAGGGCTACAGAAGACCTGGTTAGATTGTTACATCAGCCAGTTTACCGTAACCAGAGATTCAAATTGTGGCTTAGCTACTTTGAGATTTATGGAGGAAAGCTCTTTGATCTTCTCAGTGAGAGGAAGTATATCTCTGTGTTTGACTAGTTCTTTTATTTTAATGTTATGATGATATTTGAAAATTAGTTTCTTTTTTGCCAAAAATACTGTTCTATTTGTTTGTTTCTAATTTTTAACCTTAAATTGCTACGACATTGAAATGGGATATGGACTCATGACATCCTCCTTTAAGGAAAGGTATAGGCTTGTAGATACCCTCAGGGGATAGCTATGTTCTAGAATGATCTTTTGGATTGCAGAGGGTAGCTATGTGTGTTAGTGCATAATAATGGTCTAGCTGAGTATAGGACAGGGCGTAAGACACATAGTTTTGTGTGTGAAGGATTCATTTGTGTAACTACCAATGATGTTGCAATGGTTTGAAGCACATCATGTTTCAGTTACTAAGGCATCGGTTGTCCATTTTCACCAAGTATTAAATTTCATGTGAATTTTTTGGGCAATGTTTGTGGAAAGCATCTAATTATTACTATACTAGTTGGGTTATGTGGTATAATTTTAGAATGGGTGTTCTGATTGCGTGCAAGCATTTGTTTCTATTTGCATTATGCATCATCTTATTTTATATGACAGCACATTTATTTGCATTTTTTAGAGATGCATAATAATGCATGTATGCATCTGCGTATGTGAATTTTGGTTCACTCGGTGGTCTACTGCTGTAGTTATGTTATGACATGAATGACTTCATTTCTTTGCAATAGGAAACTTTGTATGAGAGAAGATGGACGGCAACAAGTTTGCATTGTTGGACTGCAAGAATTTGAAGTTTCAGATGTACAAATTGTTAAAGAATTTATTGAGAGAGGGAATGCTGCTAGAAGTACAGGGTCAACTGGTGCTAATGAAGAGTCTTCTAGGTCTCATGCTATTTTACAACTCGTTGTGAAAAAGCACAGTGAGGTAAAAGATTCTAGGCGGAACAATGATGGAAATGAATCTAGAAGTGGGAAGGTTGTGGGGAAGATCTCTTTCATCGATCTTGCTGGTAGTGAAAGGGGTGCTGACACCACTGATAATGACCGACAAACAAGGTAATCTTCCAACTTTTTTAGGCGATTGACCTTTTTTTCTTCTTGTTCCTCTATGATTTTGGCGTTTGGTGATATAATTGTACTTGCAAATCCGTCATTGGGCCAAGTGTGATGCCTGGGCAGGTTTTAAGAAGGCCCATGGTGTCAATTGTACTAAAGAAAATCAGAAATTGTTTTTGGCTGTACCTATTCCATCAGGATAATGCTTCTTAGGCTACTGTTGTTCTTTCTCACATTCATTGTAATGTCAGTACTGTTATGATGATTTACTGACTACTGAATTTGTTGAACCAAAATGGGTCATTGCAGAATTGAGGGAGCAGAAATTAACAAGAGCCTTTTGGCTCTAAAGGAGTGTATTCGTGCTCTGGACAATGACCAGATCCATATACCTTTCCGTGGAAGCAAACTCACAGAAGTGCTCCGTGATTCCTTTGTTGGCAATTCAAGGACTGTTATGATATCTTGCATTTCTCCAAATGCAGGGTCATGCGAGCATACACTTAACACTTTGAGATATGCGGATCGGTATGCTTTATGATATTGTGAACTTAAACAACTCAAATTACTGTACTAGTGCTTAATGATTAAACTAATATTTCAGACTAAAAGATTAACTTTAAACGAACAGGGTTAAAAGTCTTTCAAAAGGTGGCAATGCTAGAAAGGATCAAGCAGTAAATTCATTACCACCAACTATTAAGGATGTTTCATCGACATCATCTACGCTGGTTTCTGCTGAGGTAGAGGATGTCCGTGAGCAACGTCAAGAAGTTAAAGTAGCTGATACAGGCAGAAGAGCTGTGGAGAAAGAAAGTTTCACATATATTCCAACTGTTGAGTTTGACAAGCAGCCTGCAAAGTTGTCATCAAGTAACCCCATTAGTATTCGGGAAGAAAGCGGGGTGGCTTCTGGTGTAATGGATAGGGAGAGATTTGAAATTAATAATTCTTATGGCGATTCTTACAGCCAGAAGATGCTCTATTATTCCCAAAACTCGGGTGATACAGAAGAGAAAGTACAAAAAGTGTCACCACCTCGTAGGAAAGTAACCAAGGATGAAAAATCAGAAAAGTTGGGTAATTGGCTTAAAAAAGGTGGATCTGATCTCTCTACCACAAGTTCTAAGCAGCAAAATACAGGAAATTATAACACAAGCAATGTTGGATCCAAACAATCTGAGCCTCAACTTCCTGATGGGCATATCAATGCCATTCTCGAGGTTGGTACTCTGGCTTTGGTCATTATATTTGTAGTTTTACAAGTAATCCTGCACCCCTTGCTAATTTTTTGAGCTCTTTGGACTGTATTAGGAAGAAGAGGCCCTAATTGCTGCCCATAGAAAAGAAATTGAGGATACGATGGAAATTGTTCGCGAAGTAAGTGAAACTTTCTTCTTTTGTTTTTTTGCAAGATATTTTGATCTCCTCTCTAACAGATCTTGTTAACTGATGGAGTGAGAAACTGGCATTTTTAACTTGTCTGTCATGTCAACCTGCTATATAGTGTGCATCCTGTATTTTTTGGTAAATAGGTGCTTATCCTGTGTTGTTTTGGTTACCAGGAAATGAAACTGTTGGCAGAAGTGGACCAACCAGGGAGCCTGATAGACAACTATGTGACCCAGTTGAGCTTTGTGCTTTCTCGCAAGGCAGCTGGTCTGGTTAGCCTTCAAGCCCGTCTTGCAAGATTCCAGCATAGACTAAAAGAGCAGGAAATACTAAGTCGCAAAAGAGGACCTCGTTAAGGCAGGCACTTTGTTTCGTTGCGCTGATGGCGGCACTGTTACTTGTATTAATCTGAACTCTCTTGTATATATTTTTCATTTTCATCTCATCTGGTGGAAAACATTGATACTAAACAGCATCCTTTTTAAGTTCTGCTTATTCTGTCTTGTTATGGTCCCGGCAGTTACAAAGCAGGATCTGTGGGAGGGGGATTTGAGGCATTGCAGACTCCGGGCAGTTCACATCCAGACTTCTGGCTAAGGGCGGCAATGAGGATTCAATTCACGTCTTTTGCTGGTGATTGTGTTCTCATTTGTAATTCTTTAGATAAGTTGATGTGTTCTTGCCGAGTCTTTTATGGGTTGTGGACTTTGGCTGTTGTGTAAGTGGTGACTGGAAATTTGATTTGACAATGTATTTTCTAGTAAAGAAAAAAAAAGAAATAGAATGTTTATTACTCTGTCATCCTGACTATTATCTTATTTCATTCTTTTCTTTTGCACTGCCCCTCGAGTACCATACAATTCCAATATTGATCACAGAATTATTCCGAGGATTTGGCTACTTTCCAGGTTAAACAAAACCAAATAAACATGAACGAAAATATTATTTTATCGGATAGAGTAAATGCTGGCAAGTAACTATCACTTAATTCAGGGGCACAAATGAATCTTCAACAAACTGGCCAAAATGAAACTTTCTTTTATAGAACAGAATTCACCAGAAATCTTGTGTTACAATTGTTGGATCAACTCAATTACTAATATATAGGCAAATGGCCAAAAAGATACAAGGACCAAAAAGAAACTAGCAAGGACTCAGTTAGTGCATAACCTGAAAGCTTATGGAACTTTTTGAACATATATGTGACAAATCAAAGGTTCGCACTTGTATAGTATATACAAGTTACTATTTCTGCCTTGTGCTCTGCTAACCTTTCCTCACAGGACTCACCTCACCAAGACAAATCTTAAATTATTTCAAAATTTTTGAAGCTGGCATGCGACTCACACCTGCAAGCACACCTAATTCATCGTCTGTTACTCTAATTTCTAATTCTTGATTGGTACTACCGCATGCCAAAGCTAGCTTGCTCAATCAGTCCGCTCTCAATTTTAGGATCTCCTTGGCTGTTCTCAATCGAAAATATGGCATGTGTTCCTGCAAGGACAACAAACACAGAGTTGAATCATACTAATTAACAGTTGAGTTAACCAAGAGCAGGATATACAAGAACATTTCATTCTATAACATACTACTTCCCAACAAATTATTAGAAGTAAAAGCAAGAAACAGAAGGAACCAGTGCCAAGTATTGTCCCCCTAGAATTACGTTGTTGGGAAGTGGACAACAAATAACTTTCCATTATTAATGGTTTGAATGCAGGTCCGAGAAAATAAAAATGAAAACAACCAAAAGATACTTTAGCTTGGGAGACAAAATATACACTTCCGTGTGGCAAAGCAACAGAAGCATCTCTAAGCGCCTTACCTGCTTGAAACAGAGATCCAAGCCCCTGCTATAAAAGTCAGCATATTTGATCATGAACATACCACAGTCAAACCTGTTAAGAAAAATTAATTCAAAAATACATTTCAATTAGCAGAAGTTTCTTTGCTTACTGTAAAGAGTTTGGGAAAAAGATAAAAGAAAACATATAACATTAGACATGTAATGCCTACCCATTCTCCTGCTCAGGAAGGTCTTCAACATATTCTAATTTCCAAGAACTCAAATTGATGTCTTTTCCACACTTATCCTTCACTTCATCAACATAGTATTTCGCCTGTCAAACATAAACAGTCAAAGTTAGCTGCAACTTAATCGGTTTAATGAATTTATTCGTTTTCCTACCATTTTGAAAAACATCCGTACCAAGGTACTGCCATAAGTATCCAAAAAGAAAAAGAAAAACAAAGATGAAGAGTTAATTGATGGCTGATGATCGATGAAATATTTGTCCACACAGCAAACTTTTTACGTGCCTATGCACATATTTCATACCACATCAAGAATGGAGGAAGGGCAATTGTTATCAAGTTCTGCAGGCAAGACTGATAAGATGATTTTCTTCATTTTTAAAATTCATGAACCCAGTCAATTCCAGACCAAACAAACAAAGAACCCAATCAATTCAAACAGATGTTGTAGTCCGAGTAACAGGAAATTACAGGAACCGCTAATGGCAAGATTTTATTTTTTCTAAGCATCACTGCCCGTCACCCCCTTCCCACAAGAAAAAGTGAAAGGGTATTTGTCAAGGACCGACATTTTGTGTAATAGACTTTCTGACTTTATTGCATGCATCATCAATAAATTATATCAACAGCCGAACAGAATATGACTACAAAGCATACCAATCTGTTCATCACTTGGGTATCCTTTCCTTTGAGTGAATCAAGATACTGTAACTTCTCCTCTGCCTTGTTAATAACTGCCAAACACCAATGTATTTCTTTGTGGATGGGAACAAATATCTGAGAAGAAAACAACTTATGAAATAAATGTAATTTCACTTAAACTGTGTATATGTGCAATGAAGAAGGTTTGAAGGAAGTTACTTTGTCACAATCGATGAGGCTGTATCCCAGCTTCTTTTGGGTAGTCCACCTTCTGACGGATTTATAATCATAGTTACTTTTCCCACCTATCAACTGCACATACAATTTCAGTAAAATAAGAGTAGCTAATATAGAAATCAATATCCTAAATCCAACAGCAAAGATGGTTACCCAATCTAGGCAAATAATTACTAGGAGTGTGAATTGCACGGGCTGAGCTGACAGACCTTGCCTGAGGTTAGCCCAATAAGCACATGGCTGAGCTCTCAGCCCAGCCCAATCTTCGGGCCTAATGAAATGTAATATATGTATACAAATGAGAAAGAAACAAATGGGTACAGTTTGGGTTGGCGTTATATCATGCTGATTCATCCTGAACTTCAAATCAGGTCTAAAAACTCAGCCAAAACTCAAATGAGACTCATCCTAATAAAAAATTCAGGCCAAATTGATCAAAGCTTTTGACCAATCCAACTCAACAAACAGTCCTAATAATTAAATGATGAAATAGAAGTATGAGACTATTTGACAATGAACATGCATTAGAGCTTTATAGTTTTTGCCGTGACAAGAACTCATGTATTCATACCAGTGCACTTATCTAGACAACAAATTAATGAAATCAATAAATATTCTTCTGACAGTAAAAACAAAAAGGAAAACTAAACAGATTATGCATATACAACCACTGCCCGGAACAAAGTGTAAAAGAATGAACAAGAAAGAAAGCAAATTACAAACCTTTTTGTAAAAAAATGTGTTGAAGAAATGACATTTTAAGAACTTCTGTGGCTCTCTCTTTTCCCTCTCTTTCAGCAACTCAAAGTAGACATTTATGACCTGGACGGAAAAGAATGCACATGTATCAATCACATTACCAGCTAGGCAAGCCTGGAAAAACCCACATGAACCATACAAAACAAAATGCAATGAAAACTTTTTTTTGTTATTGCAATTTAACAAAAAAGTACAAATGTAACCTAGAAAATACCTCGTCATTCAACCATGCACGTGGTCTAAGGCACTGCAGCATTTCACCTGTGATCTCTATGTTTGAGTTCTCATGAGTTACCAAGACTCTCCTCCTGTATGAACCCCAACACTGTTATACTTTCAAGTTTCAACTAAACCAATTCAAAGATGAAACAGAATATGTATCAAACCATACCGATTGGCAGAGGAAAATGCTTGCTCAACCTCAGCCATTTCCTCCTTTCGAAGAGCAACAAAGGGTTCATCAGGTACAACCTAAAAAGAAAAGGATTTAACTATTAAGAGAAGACTGTTGATAAATTCATCATCAATGTTTACTTACCACAAGCTGTAAACTTTAGTATACTAACACTGCAAATGATACTTCAAAACAGGTGGCAAGTTAACGAAAAGAAATTCACCTTCACTGGTTTCTTTTGTGGACGCAGCGATTCAAACAGAGACAGTTTGCTCACATTGAACTCAATTTGGGAATGCAAATGTTCAAGTTTCGGAGTCCGCCTCTCTACACTCTCAAGCAACTGCTTGTACACTACCACACTCGGCACCTCTACCTCTCGATTTAGCGATAATGAGCCCAACATCTTTCCTGCATTGTCCACTTTGAAAGGGCCATTCGTCAGTGTGGTCAAGTCTGAAACCACCGAAGAAGCCGATGGCTGAGTACCCTGAGGTCCACAGCCCACCATCTTCGTATCCAATTCCTGCACATAATCCACCACAGAAGGCCTTTCTCGGTCATCTTCCTCTATAGCCAGAACTTCTTCTATGCTCGAATCCTCAGAAACTCGGTCAGTTTCAACCTCTTCATCCAATTCAATCACCTCCTTGCCCTTGTTCAAATAACGGAATGTATCTAACGCCCTGCTCTTCGCCTTTTCCAAATGGAAAGACAATACACTGCCCATTATGACACCCGACCGCTCCTTCTCATGAACCCCTCTGGTTTTTGGGCTCGAATCTTCTCTGTTCGAGAAGAACCCGAATTTGCCTGTTCTACAAGGGGCGTGAACTCTCGTCAGTGGCGGCTTTATATCTGGGTACCGAGAGACCCTCGAAGCGACGCTATTGGAAGATAATATGGGCCGGTCCGGGATTTGCTTCATATAAGAGAATCTGGGTCGCTTTGAAATTTGAAAATTCTGCGAATACGGAGATGGGTGTGCAGAATTCAAGCTCAAACACTCGTCCCCTCGTTTACGATTGCTGGTTAGTGCTCCCATTGATAAACCCAGAGCACAAAAAGACCTAGAAATTCACATCTCATCCAAAGAATGCCATCTTAGAGCAAACACAACCAATTTGAATTTTTGGTGGGCGGATTGAATGAGTAATCAGATGGCGACACTTAAACCCTAAATGCGAGGCAATTGGAACCAAAAGTTAGGGTTTTGCTTAAGGTCCAAAGAAAAGGTACAAAAATTAGAGGAAGAGAATGGTTCGATTTCAAAATCACAGAGATTTGAAGGGAGGGAACAAAACCCTATAAACGCTTAGGAAGAGGGGGTCGATTTCAAATAAGCAAGCACCAGAAAATCTGTCTAGACAAATATCAAGTGTTCCCGCTACAAAATATAAAAAGGGGGCTGAGGAGAGAGAGAGAGAGAGAGAGAGAGAGCGGAGGAGGAGCTTGTTTTCCTTAAATATTTGTTATTCACGTTGAAGAGGATTTTCAATTTTGATGCACCAGAGCTTGAGTTGGGATCTGTAACCCGATTTGCTGTAGGAGGCGTTTCGGCTTCCCGGTTCTGTGTAGGAAACTATATGGTATTTTCTATTATTATTTTTTAAATAATTGCACGTAACACTTGTATGAATCAGGAAATTAACCCAACAAAACAAAAAAAAGAATCAGGAAATTAACCCAACACAAAAACAAAAAAGAATCAGGAAATTAACCCCAAAAAAAAAAACAAGAATCAGGAAATTAAGAATATCTGAATATGGGAAAGAATTAATGAATATCATATCAAATTATTTCAAATTAATCTGTTTCCTAAGTCTTGTAGGGTTTAAGTACGTATATGTCAAACGTATGAAAATCAAGAATTGAAATATTTCAATACCCGTATTTTAGTAAATTTAAGAGAAGTGAGACATATCAATTCTAAATAAGCCAGTATGCCACAAGGAAAAAATTGTCCATGTGGGCATGGTTACTTCTCAATGCACACACTTCTTGGTCAAGGAGAAAAAATTGTGCGTGACTATCACATTAAAATATTATGTTATAAATTTACATGTTATAATATGGATGTATCATTGATGTATATTTCATAATAATATTAATAAATAAAATATACATTATAATATAAGTGAATTTATAACACCACGTAAATGTTGACTTGTCACATTAAAAAATTCCTCGTTAAGGAGCTATTGCTACCCTTCTGACCATCCCGCCTCTATTACTAACTCCCAATCTACATAAAACTACATTCGGAGACAATATTCCAAAGTATAAAATAAAAGTTACGCATGTCATGGTAAATCTTGGACATGCCATGCTCTAAGGTCCTATATGGACATTTCTATTCTGACTTTAAATATGTTTTTTTTAATACAAGCGATATTCTACTTTAATATGATTTTAACTACTGGAATGGAGATTCAAACTGCAGAATAATATGATTTAAACTACTAGAATGAAGATTCAAACTGCAGAATGAGAAACACATCCACTCTAGCCAACTTACTTATGACTTTAATCACTGATAAAAAGAAAGAGCTTGAGTTTGTTGGATTGGGAGCAAATTAAATAAGAATAATGATGGGGTCAATTTTTATTTCAAGTATTTATGAATTTGGGGAAAGTAGGTGGGTAAGAAATTGGAGACGATTAGGTAAATCTTTGAGTTTTTAAGGAAGAAGCATACAATTAGGGGAGGAAGCTTAACCAAATCCAGTACATCCATTGTTTACTCAAAGACTTGAAAAATAATACAAAATTAATGTTTCTTTCCCTAAATACCATGTTACTTTGCAAATTGCAAGATCTAAAGGGCACTGGAGTAAATAACAGTTATTTGACGGTCGCTAATATGTACATATAACAGGTTATGGATACAAGGTCCTCCGTATATCGAAGCCAAATTATTCAGCTGGGTTAAATATCTGAAACATAAGAAAATATTTGTATCAGCAAATTGAATTTGCAGGGAGGATAGTTATTATCACATTAATCCAGAAAAATTTACAACTTACCTTGTTCAATTCATACAAGCTGCACAACAGCAGCCACTCTTAAGGCCCCATTTTGGAGAAGATCAGCAAGCTCATCAAATAACAGAGCTGTTCGCCAGCCCCAGCCCTTTGGAGCTTTCGGTAAAAGCGTTCCTGTTTGCTTGAAACTTCCAAACACCATGACTTCCCTCTTTGATGGACAGATTAACTACATCATAAACGTACATGAACTACAAAATCAATATGCCAGATTCTGGTGTAACAAACACTGATTACACGAGAATCGGTGAAACTGAGAACATTTTGTTCACTTTGGATCTTACCTGATACCGGGCAGTAACCTTTTCACGAGAATCGACATACATCTGCACCTGTGTCAGGCACACCGTAATGTATCAACTAACAACTTCTACTAGGGATTATAAATGCAAATAAACATACTAGACAGAAACAAGGTGAAACAGAAAGGGTGATCATTGAAATGTGAAGATAAGAAGAAACATTATTCTCCACAACTAAAATAACCCATCTCATGCTCAAACAATCAAGAGCAGGCTAACCTTTCTAAATGAATCAGTAATCTCTGCCTTACGTCGGTGAAGAAATAATCCTGAAATAACAAACATATGATATACGTTCAGCTTAAGGAAACACATTTCAAATAAAACTTAGGAAAGCAAAATAACATGTTTCCGAGGTATATCATTGAACAGCTAAGAACAGTACCAAGTGTTCGACGTCCTTGAGGGTCTTCATCATTAAAAGCCTGAACGCTAACCTATAAATTTGAACAACAAAATCCAATCTGTATGAGAGCATGGAAAATGGAGATCAAAAAGCATCATCACAAATCTAAATCGTATATTGAAAAGAACAAATAAGTTTATACTGAAACACCTTCCATAAAGAACCAGCATAAAAGACTTCTGGAGAGTGCTTCACTTGGCCATCACTGAGCCTGTGCACATCCTCAAATTGCACCCTGTAGAACCAGGATTGAGAACTTAAGAGAAAAGGTAAACTAGAGACCAAAAAAAAACTTTACTTGTAATTAGTAGGATGGAGAATTGAACAAAATGACCAATCATTAGATCCATGACACTCGGACAAATAATCCAGTCCCATGAAAAAAGGCTTAGTATAAATAGATTTTCAAAGGCACTTGTAAGCAACTTGTAAAGGAGACTTCTGAGCTAGGAGATCATAGGACAGCATCCTAAAAAGAATTTATGGATTCTTATTTTCAAAAGAGAGCTCAAAATCTGACGCAAAGCCGTAAAGGATTAATGGAAAGAGCTCACATACCCAAAGCGGAAAGGAGGGAAGTGGCTTAAAGGTGTTTTCAAATCCAATGATATGGAAGAACTGTTTGGATTATCCCACTCAATCCCAATTGCACGGTCTGACGACTCTACCATCTGCACAGGTATGCCACTCGTACTTGGCACTGCCATGGAAGTTACAGGCATTCGGCTTTGCACATCCATCTCATAGGCTCTCTCTGTTTGCTCCCCATGAGCATTAGCTACATTGTTCCCTCCTTGGCTTAGCCCAACCAAAGCCGTCAATCCATCCCCAGACAGGTCCCCACTATGGTCAGCTCTAGCCTCTGAATCATCATTTGCAAGAGACTGCTGGCAATTTCTGTTGCCCATGCCAAATGGCACACGGGAAAAGACAAACCGAGTTGGAGGCCAGGCAGTCGCTGGGACAAATGTAGTTCCGCGTCCAATACCAGCAAGCCCATCAATAGGACCCCTAACATGCACACGTACAGGCCTAAAGAGGCCATTTCCTTCACCTGGAGCAGACTCAGCAACATACACGCCAGGAGAATTATTCTGATTGTGCTCTTGCATGTAATATCCAGTGGTAACTCCATGTGAGAATGAAAATTGCTGTCTGCAAGTGCATGCTAAACTTGTAAGACAGCAACTTTTGCATGTATCAGCACCAGTTTCTTGAACTCTCTGGCTTAACAGCATCTATATGATCACATACCAAACAAACAAGTTATTGAATAAACAGATAGATTTTTCTTTGGTAAGTAACAGATAAATGAAAATTAAAAATACAACAATCTCTTCAATAGCATAACCGCAAGGCAACACTTTGTGTATGAATGTGGTAGAAAGAGCTTTCCGAATTTCTCATGGTGGGAGTGGGCGGAGAGCCCTTGCAGTCAGTCTGCAAGGGCCAATAATTGATTTATCAGCAGTATGGTTTATAAGAGATAGAATAGTAAAAGCAAGAAAAACTTAAAAAAAAAAACAGTAAACAGAAAGAGACCTGCAACCAAAGACCATCATTTACAGCTTTGCAGGGGAATCCCAATTCCTCAAGTTGCTTTCTTACACTAAGAAGTGCCTCAAAAGACATGTTGCAGTACAAAAGAGAACCCCCTTCAAATATATTAACAAATGCATCATATTCCTCACCACCAACCCCAAAGTTCCCTTTAGCATAACCTTTAAGCTGTCTTCTGCCTACAGTTCTGCCACCCCATGAAAGAGGAGGCATGCCACATCTTCCCCAATCATTTGGCATTAGCTCACTAGTGGAAGAGTTCATTGAAGAGCATTGCCTTGACTGATCCCTGGCAAGCCAACTATTGTTATTTAAGTGATAGCATGATCCTTCATCAGATGGCCCTTCCATAGCAACTCCATTTGCCCCCAATCTACTTGCTCCAACACCAACTGGCATTTCAGTATAACATGAAGTTCTAATTACATCAATTTCTGAAAATGAATTACTCAATGATGAAGGACCACCCATGCTGCAGTTGCATCCTGGCTCCAAATTGGACTGAGGGTATGCAACTTGTTGTACTTGCTGTTTGGAATTTGAAACTCCTGTTTGGAAGTCAACCACACAGTCTGCAAGCTCTATCAGAAGATTACGAGCAGTATTATGGCCCTCTAAATCATCTTTTAGAGTTAAGCGCCCCAGTTCAGACTCCAACCGTTTATTAGTGAAACTACCCATCAGATTCTTTCCCTTTGCATTAGATGAATCAGATTGAGTATCTGTTCCTGCCTCAGAACTGGAACTTCCATGATCATAATCTTCTTGTTTGCATTGAGCACCTTTTGCAAGGAATGCATACAATGCCAGTTCAAACCTTTCCATAGAAGAAGAAGAAAAAAAAATATTAATAGGAACTAAGCTTTGGACAATAAAACCTAGTCAGAGGCTGTCGATACTCCTTACCGTTTCTCTTCACTGGGTACCCAGAGCTCATCAGAGGTCAGCAATGCAAGCAAGGTTTGGGCAGAAAGTTTTGGAAGCACCTGTCCATGACCAGGAAATTAAAAAAAAATGTAGACAGTAGGTTTGCACGAACAAAATTGAAAAACTAAAAGTATACTTAATCCTCATAAAAATCAAATATACTGACAACATAGATGCCAAGAGAAAAAAAAAATTGAACTACACAGTCGTTATTAAATTTAAAGATTGAGCTTAAACCATGTTTTTTAAAAGGCTGTGGGCAAGGATAAATATGTCTATATTAAAAAGTGCGAAAAATAAGTATGTTTCCTCGGTCCATTGCTCTGTCCTTCCCTCTAATATTTTCTTATGTTATCATATTATATGATCCCAAAGGAACAGAGAATATGTGAGAAACCGACAAAACCCACAAGGCATAACTATGAAGTAACCTCACCATCCATTACCTCTTTCAACTCCATGGAACCACTTTGACAAAGGTAGCCCCAGCAAGCATTTCTTACTCGTTCTCCATGTATGCCATAATCTTGGCTCTCTGCAAACACCTGAAAGCACAGGTAGACACCGTCAATAACATAAGAAATCGGTAGCATGTCGACCAAACACAAAGAGGCAGCACAAGAATTTCGAACCTGATAGGCTAAGAAGTTTGAAGTCCATAATTCAGATATAATGAAGTCTGTGCATATTGCACATAAATCCTGCATTAAAAGAATAGCAAGATGTAATCCAAATGCACACATGGGGAAGGCATTCCAAGAGCAGAAAAATTAAAGTCCCATAAAATTAAAAAAGCACAAGAAACATAAAAATATGAACTTTAGGTCTACAATGAGAATATGATACCTGAAGGTCAAGAAAAGAAGCGGCAGCCAAAACACGAAATGCATTGTTATCATTAAGCTTGGGGTGGTGGCCGTATAGATATGCCAAAGCCGTTGCAATTGCTTCTCCGTTAACATTCTTATCGTCAATATGTAAGGTTAAAACCGGCTCATTGGCTTCTTTCCAAGGTCCATGAAGCATGTTCCTGCCAGGCACACAGAGGGTAGCACATGAAAACCCACAATTTTACTCGTAAGCACCCAATCAATACATAATAACGCGTGTATTATTAAAAAAAAATTAATTCCCCAGAAATAGCATAAACAAATATACTTAAACTATTTTTATCAACAAATAAACCCCAAATTTTCTGCTTTCAGCGTCATCAAACAACGCCCAAGCAAAGCGGGAGGGCGTGAATTCAAGGGTATTTTGGTAAATTGACAGGGGAAACGGACCTGAAGTAGGGGCTGCGTGAGAGAATGAGGCGGTGGAGGTGGTAGGTGGAGCCCATGGCGTGGACGACCATATCGGAGAAGGCGCCGGAGTTGAAGCCCTCCAATTGAATGTGGTCGCAGAGCGCCGTGAGGTTGCAATCCAGTGCGCGCAGCTCGCCGCTGCTCCGGTCGTTGTCGGAGTGCTGAGAGGGCTGGATCGTCATCTTCATTTGCGGCCCGTACGACCTGGTGGGATTGCTAGGATACTGAGGGTCCATATGAACCACACCTGCACTTGCACTTGGTTGGTTTTTCGATTATCAAGTGTACGAGAGTGGCGATGATGAGAGTGAGAGAACGGTGCTGCAGATCAGAGAGCCATTGTTGATTTGATTTGCTGTTGTTACTTGCTCTACACGAACTGCTGCAGCTTTGGAAATGCGAAGGGGATGGGCGCGGGTCGGACCTGACTGACTTGACCCGTTTGGCCCGCCCAGCCCATTAGTTATATGTTTTTCTCTATGCGTCAAGACGACGTCGTATTAAGTGGTTCTCGAAACGGCGGTGTTTAGTACCAGTTTCAGTGTCATCGTCTTTGTTGGTGTTAAGCTCAACTCTCTCTCTCTCTCTCTGGCAGATTGGTTTATACTTTAAACCCTAAACCCTGCGCTTCAAGATTTTCCGGTATGTGAATTTACAAGCCCATAACTTTTGTCAAGCGTTTCTTCATTTTGTTTCTAGGGCACAGTTTAGGAGTCGAAATGCTTAGCAATTCGTGTCCCTGCAATCGAAGCTCAGTCCTCAACCATGAACTGTTTCCCATTTTCTCTCACTTTCTCATCATCTATGAAAAATGCTTGCAAAAGCTTCAATTTTGCACCACAAACTTAGGCCAAATTCGTATGAGTTTGTGTATAAAAATTGAATGAAGTGTTAAAGTTTTTCCTTAATTAAACATTGTGCTGCGCCCCTCTTGATATGCATTGTTTGTATTTGCTTAATGATTCCCACCCCTCTGCCTCTTCTTTTTCTGTTTGTTTTAGTGTTTTACTTTTCATGTCTAATTTTCTAAATGTTTAGCTTACTGAGTGTGATTAGAGTACCTTTTGTCCTGAAATGACTTGTGTGTTGAACTTCTCCATATATTTGGAAGGTGAAGGGCAGACACAGTGTTAGATTGGGCATGCTTTTGTGAAGATGCTCCTAAGAAAACAAGGTAATTTTGGCATGTATACAGATTCTTTCTTCTCTATTGAGTAAAGTATGTTGGTAAACACGGATCAGAAAAATAAAATGTTCACAAATGTCTTTGGCTTCCATGATGTTTGTCATTTAATACTTCTGATGGCATGTACAGGAATCACTTCTTACCATCTGCTTTATTTTTCCTTTCTGCAGGAATACGCCGTTTTCATTTGAACTGCTGTAACATTTACACTTTTTCAAAAAGGTTTTCATCCTTGCCAAACGGGCCTTCTTCTGAACATGATAGGAAAGTTGTTTCCTCCATGGATAGGGTTAGTTGCGATAATTCGAGAAAAGTTGAGGGTGTGAGACAAGTAGTTGATGATGTGTGCCAAGTCTTGGAGGGTCGTCCTTGGGGACCTACCCTTGAGGATGCTCTATCAATGCTTGACAACAAACCTCAATCAGAATCAGTTATTGGAGTCTTAAGGAGACTGAAAGATGTAGGTCTAGCATTTAATTATTTTCGGTGGTGTGAGAGACAAACTGACCAAGCACATTGTCCTGAAGCATACAATTCACTTCTCATGGTCATGGCTAGGAGTAGAAATTTTAAGTTCTTGGAACAGGTCCTGGAAGAAATGAGTATTGCAGGAATTGGCCCGTTTAATAATGTATGTATTGAGTTAGTTGTGAGCTGTGTCAAGTCACAGAAGCTGAGAGAAGCTTTCAATCTATTGCAAACCATGAGGAAGTTCAAATTCCGCCCAGCATTTTCAGCCTATACAACTCTAATTGGAGCTTTGTCTACAGTTCCTGAATCTGATCTCATGCTGACTCTCTTTCATCAAATGCAGGAGATAGGTTATGAAGTTACTGTGCATTTATTTACAACTATTATTCGTGTATTTGCCAAGGAAGGCCGAGTTGATGCTGCTCTCTCCTTGTTGGATGAGATGAAGAGCAACTCTTTTAATGCGGATGTTGTTCTTTATAACGTCTGTATAGACTGCTTTGGTAAAGTCGGTAAGGTGGATATGGCCTGGAAATTCTTTCATGAAATGAGAATGCATGGCATGGTGCCTGATGATGTGACATATACTAGCATGATAGGAGTTCTCTGCAAAGCTGAGAGACTAGGTGAAGCGGTGGAGTTATTTGAGGAGATGGATGTGAATAGGAAAGTACCTTCTGTGTATGCGTATAACACCATGATCATGGGCTATGGTTCTGCTGGAAGGTTTGAGGAAGCATACAGCTTATTTGAGAGGCAAAAAAGAAAGGGATGCATTCCGAGTGTGATTGCATATAATTGTGTTCTCACTTGCCTAGGGAAGAAGGGAAGAATAGAAGAAGCGTTAAGGATATTTGATGAGATGAAGAAAGATGCAGCTCCCAATCTTCCAACTTATAACATTCTAATAGACATGCTTTGCAAGGCAGGTAACCTCGAGGCTGCTCTGCGTGTTCGGGATGCCATGAAAGAAGCTGGTTTATATCCTAATGTTATGACTGTAAACATAATGATTGATCGACTCTGTAAAGCTCAGAAACTTGATGATGCTTGTTCTATCTTTGAAGGAATGGATCACAAAGTTTGCACACCAGATGCAGTTACGTTTTGTTCTCTTATAGATGGCTTGGGTAAACAAGGAAAGGTAGATAATGCCTACAGGCTTTATGAGAAGATGCTGGATTCTGATCAGATTCCAAATGCTATTGTATATACATCCCTCATCAGGAACTTCTTCAGGTGTGGTAGAAAGGAGGACGGTCACAAAATATACAAAGAAATGGTGCGTAGGGGCTGTTCTCCTGATCTGATGCTTCTTAATACCTATATGGATTGTGTTTTCAAGGCTGGTGAAATTGACAAAGGTAGATTTTTGTTTGAGGAGATAAAGGCTCAAGGATTCATCCCGGACGTGCGGAGCTATTCAATCTTAATTCATGGCCTTGTAAAAGCAGGTTTGGCACATGAAACCTATGAATTATTTCATGCGATGAAGGATCAAGGCTGTGTCTTGGACACCCGTGCTTACAATGCCATCATTGATGGATTCTGCAAATGTGGAAAGGTGAATAAAGCATACCAGCTGCTGGAGGAAATGAAAACTAAGGGTCACCAGCCCACAGTTGTTACTTATGGTTCTGTCATTGACGGGCTTGCTAAGATTGACAGACTTGATGAAGCATACATGCTTTTTGAAGAAGCAAAGTCAAAAGGAGTAGAATTGAATGTAATTATTTATAGTAGTCTTGTTGATGGGTTTGGGAAGGTGGGTAGAATTGATGAAGCATATCTAATCATGGAAGAGCTAATGCAGAAAGGTCTGGCACCTAATGTTTACACATATAATTGCTTGCTTGATGCACTTGTGAAAGCTGGTGAAATTGATGAAGCCATTGTCTGCTTTCAATCCATGAAAGACTTGCAATGTACACCCAACCATGTAACTTATAGCATTCTCATAAATGGTCTTTGTAGAGTTAGAAAATTCAATAAGGCTTTTGTGTACTGGCAAGAGATGAAGAAACAAGGGTTACAGCCCAACACAATCACCTACACCACCATGATATCCGGACTTGCAAAGGCTGGGAACATAAGAGATGCTAGTGGGCTTTTTGAGAGGTTTAAAGCCAGTGGTGGCATTCTCGATTCTGCTAGTTATAATGCTATGATAGAAGGATTAAGTAGTGGAAATAGGGCAATGGAAGCATATGCACTTTTTGAGGAAACTCGGCAGAAAGGTTGTCATATTCATACCAAGACATGTGTTGTTCTGTTGGATGCCTTGCACAAGGCTGAATGCCTTGAGCAGGCAGCAATTGTCGGTGCCGTGCTTAGGGAAACTGCAAAGTCTCAACATGCTTCAAGATCATGGTAAAATTGCATATCGTGCAATTTACTGGAGGGATTAGTAGATGTGTTTTGCTCAGTGAGTGGTGATGACACAAGGTGCCTTCTCGTGCATTCATGCTGATGGAGCAAATATTGGGGGATGGGAGATCTTGTTTTTTTCTTTTCCTGAAAAGTCTTCGTTCCATCAATTCCTTAACATGATTGAAGTCGCTCTCTATAGAGGTAACTCCTTTACGATTACAATTGTAGTTACTGAAATTGGATGCATGTATCTGGAATAGAAATCCTGAGTCTCATGACTTTTGGGACTATGCCAACATGTTATTCCTCCTGATTCACATTTGAATAAAATGTTCTGATGAATTGAATATTCAGGGTTGTAACTTTTAAAATCTAGAATTCTATGGTGTTTTAGTGCATGTGTGCTCAATATTGTCTTTTGCTTTTTGGCGCATGCATAATATACAAAATACAGAGTTTGGTAGAGGAAAGCCGTGTGAATGATGTGTAATTCTTCTGGCAGCTGTTGGCCTTTTCTCTCCCCCTTTTCCTTTTGTGCTGATGTGGTTCTGGCAGATTTTCAAATTTCCATGATTCTAAATTCTCAAAACAAATGATTCAGTTTTCAACCATTTTTATGTATTGATGTTGTAGCATGAGTTCTATTGATGCAACCCTTGCATTGACTAAATACTTATGGTTGCAGGTATAGAGTGTTTCGAATTTGTCTCGGTTGTGGGATGTCAAGGAAACTGAGTTTGAAGAGAATGAACCTTCCTTCCAAGATGTATGTCGTCTGGCCAACCTCGGACTCTTTCTTCCCGACCTATTTTACTCTTTGCAACGCTAACTTCAGTCGCAGTTATTCAGTAGCATGAGTTTGTTTTGAGAACCAATGGTTCTTGATTGAATACAGTGCCTTGCCAATTATTCCGGATACTCGGTTCAATTGAGTTAATGGGCCTCTTTGGAGGAGCAGCCCCCCTCCCCTACAAAGAGGGCAAAATTTTGGGTTGTATGGCAGATGGCCTATGTTGGATATAGTCTATGTTGGGCAGGTCATCTTTTTCTGTAAATTTGTCTCTTTCCTCCTAAGCATAGGTAAATTTTATATGTGACACCCAATAGCTAGTTCTATAATGTTATACCCAACTACTTTATGTTTTTGGAGAAATTAAGTCTATATATATAAGCAAAAGGTAGAGAATGGTAAAATATTTAAAATACCAGAAAATACTCTTGATTAATACAAACATTAATAATTGAAATTATTAATTAAATGAGGATAATATGGTAAATTCATATTTTTTTTATATTAAAAAATTTAAAATTAAAAGAAAAATAATATAATAGAGCCTATTTTTATGAAACACAACTACCCACTGGCCAACGACTATAATGGGTAATTGTTTTCTGGTATTTTATTTTAGAATTAAAAAAGATAATGGGTAATTGTTTTCCAAAAAATAGGATATATTATCTAAATTTTCTTTTAATTTTAATTTTTTTAAATATGAAAAAGTGTGAATTTATCATATTATTCTCATTTAATTAATAATTTCAATTCTTAATGTCTGCATTAATCAAGGGCATTTTCTGATATTTTGAATATTTTATTATTATTTAATTCTAAAATAAATACAAATTTTTTGAAAAAAAACCTTCTCGCTGACGCGGAAGCAAAGCCATCATATTCATGCCACGTGTCTTACCGGTATGGAAATTTGAAATATAGCCACGGTGCAGCAGAGTGTAGAGTATGATGCGCTTCGTTAATGTAACCGTTAACACAGGAGGGTCCAACGGATCTTTTTACAGCTTTTCAAATTTCAAATTTTTCAAACGAAAGGTAAACAATATTTTACTTTCGTTATCCGTATCATCAAACCCCTCCACCAAACCTTCATTCTCCTCGTTATCAAAACCCCAAAGATTTCCAGTCCCATCTCTCTCTATCTCTTCCTCTTCTTTGTTACTTCTCTGCGATTTCAATGGCTATGGCTCTCAGGCCCATCGATAATGCTCTTCCAACCACACCAGAAAGGCCCAAAAAGCAAACCAAAGTTCCTGTTTCAATCCAAAAGCAACCTGAGTTTGGGGTCAATGATGAAAACCAGGCTCCACTTCCTGCAGCAACCATTGATGCCACCATTGATTATATCTATTCTGAGAATCTCAAACCCATCTCAGACCCTGATTTCAAGATTCTGGTAATTTTCTAATTTCTTTTATTTCTTTCTGTAATTTAGAACAAACCCAACTGGAATTTGGCACTAAATTCTTCAATTTTTGAAATTTCAGAGCTTGAATGAGGGATTAGATTCAAAGGATTGGGTGAAGGTGTGCGAGTCTCTGAACAATGTTAGGCGTTTTGCACTCTATCACTCTGCTCTTTTGGTTCCTACTCTGTAAGTGCCTTTTCTTCTCTTTAATCTATTGTTTGCTGTAATTAGTGAACAAATCGACGTCTTTTTGTCAGTGATGGCTTTGTTAACATGTATATTGTGGTATGAACAGAGAGAAAGTTATGGTGGTGATGGTTAAGGCAATGAAGAATCCCAGAAGTGCTTTATGCAAGACATCCATTATGGCGTCGTTTGATATCTTTAAGGCCTTTGGTGACAGTTTATTTGACTCTGCCACCTCTGCTGCATTTGATCAATTGGTGTGCACCCAATACTATTTTTGATTTTCTTAATTTCCTTTTCCATGATCATATTTTGATAATCATTTTGTTATATTCTGATGAACGGCTTGGATTGTTTGATTGGTTCACAGCTGCTGCAACTGCTGCTGAAAGCGTCTCAAGACAAACGGTTTGTGTGCGAAGAAGCAGATAGGACCCTGAACACAATGGTGCAGTCTTTGACTCCTCTGCCTTTGCTTCAAAAGCTTCGAGCCTATGCTTCCCATGCCATCCCAGAGTCAGAGCCAAAGCTGCCGTTTCCGTCTCAGCTTGTGTCTCTAAGATGGTAAATACTTTAAAAAAAATGAAGTGTTCTCTTGTCTTCTAAGCGTACCATTTTTTCTTAAGCAAAATGGGGGTTTTCTACCAATTTCAGGGGCTTGAAGGAATGAAGGATTATGGGCTGGTCTCTTTGGTTAAAATGGCTGCAGATTTGTTGAATGATAGGCTGCCAGAAGCAAGGGAAGCGGCACGGGGTATTGTGCTTTCGGTGTACAATGCCTATACAGAGAATGAAGAGGAGAAGCAGGAGATATGGCTAAACTTTTGCCAGTCTAATTTGACTCCAATTCATGCTCAGTCCATGGTCAAAATTACTTCTTCTCAGTAGAGCTTAGAAGATAGTGATTAGTGATTTTGCTGGTAGAAGCAGCTATAGTCTGAGTGCTACTTTGGCCAGTGATTCTGCTGGTATAAGCAGCCTGGTAGCAGCTACTATATTAGGAATGTTACTGGTCAAATGAAAGGGAAGATGAGATACATCTTCCAGTTTCATGTAAATTTCTTCTTAATGAAATTTTCATTGTTAATTACGAGCCTACCAAGTGACCAAAAAGTGATGACAGCGATCTATAATCTCTTTGTGCATAAATTATCAGTAATTTATTTGTCTACAATATTTTTAGTGCACCTAGTCTTCTACAGCCAGCAACAAATTATGAGTAATTTCTGGTGTGTGCAACTACAACATGCCACAATTGCAAGCCAGCCATTCATTTCACAAACAGATTGAAATCATCTGCTCAATATCTCAAAACAGATTAAATTCATTTCACAAACAGATTGAAATCATCTGCTCAATATCTCAAAAACAGATTAAATTCATTTCACAAACAGATTAAAATCAGCTGCTCAATATCCCAAAAACAGATTAAATTCATTTCACCAGCAGATTAAAATCAGCTGCTCAATATATGTACAAGTGAGAAAGTCAACATAACTCATCTAAGCTATATGAATCCTACGTTTGAAAGATTTCCCGTTGAAATCATTTGATTGAAAAGAAAGAAATAAAAAGACATCCCTATGAGTAAAAACTGCACCCTTCGCTATATTTTGTGACAACTGGGTCATTCATATCTGCTCTTGCATATTCCACAACCACAAACATAGTCACAGTTTACCCTAACAAACCTTCAGTTGAGATTAGGGAGACCCAAGCCATCTTAACATCAGAAATTATAAAACCCTAAACCAAAGCCACCCTGATTGGAGGCAGCACTTGAAACAGGAAAAAAACCAAAATTTCAATCATGTTCAACCAAAGAGCGCAAAGCCTTCTCAACTTCTTCAAACGGTTGCCCGGCATACAGCGGAAGCTGCCCCTTTTTCACAAATATTACCTTCATGTTATCTGATTTTATTGCTTCACGAAGTTCCTACAAAAAATAAAGCCCCTTTCTCAGCTTAGCACAGATGACAAGAATGAAAGAAAAAGGCATGTCTAATGGGAAGTTGTCTTTGAGACAATTTTAAAAGGTGTCACGGTATGTTGGACAATACAATAGTGACTCAAACATAAAGATTTGATATGGGTAAGTTTAAACTTTTCTAAAATCATTTTATAATTCTTACTTTGTTTGGCAAAGGAGCAATATCAGCACTGAAATCACCCAGATCTTCAAAAAGAGATTCCAATAGGAAACAGAAGTTATTGGCATCAGCGCGGTCCTCGAAAGCAACAGTATATGAAGAATCTCTCTGGTTTTGGGGCTGAGAACTGAACTTTAAGGTATAAAGTCCTCCTCGCCCCTCACTACCGGAACCTCTCCGCATCAGAATAACCTGGCATGGGATACATACTATTTCGATTGTCAGTAGGAGACAAAATGCTTACCCGAACACAAAATAACATACCAAAACACAGAGTTTATTGGTTTGATAAGTAAAACGTGTAAATGAAATTCAAAACGGGGCATAAAAGGGAAAAGAAATACAGCTAAAATGGCACTATAGAATGACTTAACAAAATCATAAAGCATAAGCTAGGATTGTAAGCATCCATGAAAATTTTATGGTAGCACCAATGAGTAAGTAAAGTTAAATGGTTGCCTAAGATGGCTTGGTCAAATGCAACAAAGTCCAATTGCTAAACAGGCAGCACAATTTTAAAAATATATAGTAAATATAGAAAAGTTTCACAACATACCAAAACATAAGGAAGATCCAACCACCACGGATCAATCTCATTCTTCGATCTATTGCCACTGACTTTGTTAGGCAGTGGTTCCTTTCCAGCTTCTTTGTGTCTTGAACTGCCATTTACATGATCACCAGATTTTATGGTAGTTTCTTGGACTTCTTTCTTCAAGCGAGACTTTTTCTTCCCCAAATCTCTTGATTTTTTTGACTTTACTCCTTCAGATGACCTCCCTCGTCTTGTCCTCTGGACGGTACCTAAAATTTAGCAAATCAATAAAACAGCCAAACTACAATAAACCGGTCTTTGTGCAATTTAAAAACTTTACCATTCTTTGGTTCAATAGTTCCAACTCCTATGTCCTTTCCACTATCCATTTTTCCAGTTCCTTTGTCCAAATGGTTCCCATCATCTTGCAACAATTTGGGTTCTTCCTCCAAAGTCTCAGAAACACTTTGTTCAAAATCCGTCTCTCGCCGGTTTTCATCATGCTCTTCCAAACCTCCAAATCCCTTGGGACTTCTTTTCGCCTCAGCCTTAAATTTAAGCTTTTTCTTAAACATCAATCCCCCTTCCCCCTCTTTCAAATTCTCATCTTCACTATTCTCATGCTTCCCAAAGTCTTTCACATATGGACCCTGCAACTTCTCCCTTTTAGAATTCAACCTCTTTTGCAACTTAAGCAACCGCTCCCCGACTTCTTTTTCAATACCGATTCTATTCCTTGGCATCGAACTTTCATCAATAACATCATCTTCGTCGCCAACACTTCCCTTCCCTTCCTTTTTCTCTTGCTTTCGCGCTTCTCTTGCCATTGCTCTAATTTCTTCTATTTTCTCATCCAACTGGAGCTCATCCAAATAAACCACATTGCTCAATCCAGACCCAACATTTGTATTCAAAACTTTCCCTTTGGATAAACTTAAACCTGAACTCTTGGATTTCCTATTTTCCTCATCAGGATTGTCATTTCCCAGTAGCCAAACAGTAAAAAACGCCTGAAACAAATAAGCCCCAACCAAATACGCCCCAAATTTAAGGACAGACTTCACAGATAATTTACCAACAATGCCATTATACTCTGGGGTCGTCTCAGATACGCTGAATTCCTCGACCTTATTGCCTTCTCCGGCAACGACGTCGCCTTGGTCGGAGCTACGCTCGAGATTAGAGTCGTTTTCATATTGGGTTACAGGGGACTCAATGGGAATTACGGGGCTTGTTTGGGGTTGTTCGGGAAGGAGAGGGGTTCTGGGTGGCGGGTCGGGTTCAGCTAGGGTTTTGAGGATTTTCGGGCGCAGATAGTTTTTCCGTTGTGTGGGCTTTGATGGTAGGGCAATAGAGGCAGATAGGATGGGTTTGGTTGGTTTAGCGGCGGAGCAGATTGGAGGCGTGAGGAAAGGGAAGGTGGCGCAATGCGCACCCGCCATTGCTGGTTAAGGAAAGGAAGGTGCTTCGGTTTGAATTTTCAGCTAGATTGTATTTGAAGGACTGGCCCGAGCTAAATGTGAATGTAGCGAAATTAGTTATAAGCCCGTTGGGTTGAGGCCCTTCTTTTGTAGCCCATTTTAGAACAACAGAAAAATAATAAATTTAATTTGAATAAAGAAGAAATTTTAAAAAAATGTAAAGAAAAATTCATTGACACAAAAACACCATAAAATTGTATCTCATGTTCTTCAAGAGGTTTTTGAACGTGAAAACTCATTTTGTAAAATGATAACAAATGTCGCCTTAAATTATTTTGGTACGAAGATAATGAATTATTTACCTATTATAATCTTAACTCATTTTCTCACTCAGTTTCGTTACTTGAACTTGTTGACGCAGAAAAATGGTTCTGCACTTTCCCGCGCAACTTAGTGATTAAGTCTCTTCGGTATCTGATGTCATCGGTAGGGGGTGCGATCTGTAAGATAGCAAACACACGGTAAATCCTAGGGCACCGGTGTGGTACCGGCCGAAGGCTCTCCGATGCTTAAGTAAGTACGGATTTAGTAAGTTTTAACTGCAGATCAATAGGCAGTATGCCGTAAGTTCTGATTGATTACCTTCAGGCTGGGATATGTGTCCTCTTTTATAGGCCTTGGGAGGTGTGCAATTTGTTTAGAGTTTCGATGTGGGACTCTGGGCGTCAATCGTGGAGCTGCCACGTGCCAGAGTGGGCAAGGTTGCCCTAATGTTGTGATCGGTAGGTCCAGTACCGAAGGTGAGTGCCGAAGGCACACGTAGCCCTGGAATAGTCCACGTGGTTGATGTTCATTGGGTGTTTGTTTTGGTATAAACAGGAGTCCCCCAAGTCCCCTTGCAAGAGTCTTCGGAAGGGGATTTGAATTCGTCCTCGGGAGGAAACACGGCCTTACCGTTCGGCAACCCCCCTTGGGGGAGGGGCAAAACCCTGTTCCTTCCGGCATGACCAGTTCAGAGGCTGGCGTTGATGAAGTCAGAAGGTCGCGTCGATCTGACGGGTGAAGAGACGTCTGAGCGCTTCGACTTCCGCGCCTCGCGTGCCGTCAGTTCTCCATTGGGTGAGCGACACGTGGCGGAGATAATGATGGCGCGCGGCGCATTAATTCGCCGTTTGGTTTTTCGAGGGATACCGTTGTCGAACTCCCCACTATAAATAGGGATGACCCCGGTGGCGAATTCACTTTGCATCTTGTGAGAAGTGAGAGCTCTGTCCGAGGCGATTTCCGACGAGTACCAACGGTAGGAAAAGCGATTTCCGACGAGAGCTAACGGTAACCAGGCGATTTCCGGTGAGTGCTACCGGTAGGAGTGGCGATTTGTGTCCAGACGATCTGAAGCAGTCCGCGTTCACTTCCAGAAACCAAACAAAGGTACCGTTCGGTAGCCCTACCTTTTCTCTCTTTTACGTACCTTAAGAGTTTACGTCCTTCCTTGGTTTGAACTAGACTGGCCATAGGGTTCCATTCGGTAGTCTAGTCGCCATAGGTGGTGATGTAGGGATCGGTAGGATAGCATCCGGCATGAGCCTTAGTTTCCCATTTTTCCCTGTTTTTGTAGATGTCTGATAGCGAGTCATTCTCCGAGCGCGAGCCCAATGCGTTTGACGAGGAGTCATCGGACGGTCTCTTTGACTCCGACGTTGAAGCGGTAGGGCCTGATGCCGAGGAGGGGAGCGATACCGACGTCGAGATACTCGGCGAAAGGCCTAGCCCAGTTCCCACACATGGCATCGGGAAGGGGCTTATGACCGCTCCGGTACCGTTGTCTATTGTGTATAGCGACGGTCGCCACGTGGGGCTTGGCGCTCCAGGGGAGGCAAGCGGTAGCCACCAGCCAGAGGCTTCTACTTCCGGCCGTGGTAAGGCGGCTACCGAACCTTCCGTCCGGCCGAGGGTATTTGTAGTCTACCCCGGCAATCCTAGGGTGCCGATGGGGGTTCCGAAGGAGCTCGTCTTCGGGGTGGATTACCTGGAGCCCAACAGGATCACCGAAAGGGAGATTGCGAAGTTCCGGGCGGAGTATTTCATTCCAGATTCGGTAGGTATGAGGATCCCACTTCCTACCGAATCTCTAAGCAGTCCAAAAGACGGCGAGGTCGTCTTTTTCACGGACGTGCTTCTGCAGGGGGTGAGGCTTCCTCTGCAGCCTGCCGTTCAGAGGATCCTGGGCGCAGATCGGCTACGCTCCCGGCCAGTTCAACCCCAACTTCTGGGTGGCGCTGATGGGGGTAGTCACAGCCTTCGGCATGGCTGGGGAGGGAGAACCTTCGTACGAGCAGTTCTCCCACCTTTACAGCATCACGAAATCAAAGTGTGCCGATCATGGGGGCTGGGTCCAGGCCAATTGTCTGAAGGCTGCCGAGCGTGGTCACTTCGTCAATGCCGTTCCGACCTCCCAGAAGACCTGGAGGAAACGGCGGGTGCTTTTGTCCGGTGACTGGGAGTCGCCCTCGGGACACCCCGTCCGTTTCCATATCCCAACCACATTCCAGATCGCCGGTAGGCTATCATGCCGTTCGGTAGGGCTTGTAGGTTTTGCTTTTATCGTTTTAAAGCTGATTCCGTTTGGTTTTGTGCAGGCAAATTGAAGCAACCGAGCGCCACTCAAGCGGAGATCCGGCAGATCGAAAGGGTAAGGCTGAAGGTTCCTGCCGTTGAGAGGGTGTACCCGAAGTTCCTTTTTACCGCCAATCTCATCAAGGCCCGACTTGTCAACCCTGCCGAGAGTAAGTATACTTCTCCATTTTGGCAGTTCCACATGTTTGTATCGACGAATCTGACCGACTCTTTCTTGCAGTGACCGAAGAGAGGAAAGCTGCCGAGGTGAAGAGGATGAATGAGTCCTCGAAGAGACGTCTCATGCTCGGCATGTAGGGGAAGAAAAAGGGTCGGCAGGCCTCAACGGCGCCTCAGCCTTCGGGAGGCGTGGACCCTGATGATCTGACGCTCAATGAGCGTCGTCGCCAGATGCAGGCCGAGTCGGCGTGCGCCGAAGCCAACGAAGCTGTTCCGTCCCCCAACCGAGCTCCGCCCTCCGAGGGTACCTCCTCCAAAGCAGCCGGCAAGAGGCCGTTCACGGTCGACCTTGATGCCGACCCCGCTCCAAAACGTGGGCGACAAACTGAGCCTGCTCGGGCCGTCTTCTCTGCCGAGGACGACGAGGCGCCTTCCGAGGCTGTCACACTGGCCTGTCCTTCGAAGACAGTACAGTTCGTGAACCACATGATCCTTGGTTCACAGATGGAGCTGTCGGAGATCGAGGACCTGCCGAAGAAGCTGCTTCGGGAGGAGGCTGGTCGCGCCTTCCGTCTCCAAGCCTCGGTAAGTGCCTTTCGTTTTCAGCGTTTCCTTGTCATCCAATTCTCTTTTCATCTGACACTTTCTTTTGCTGTGCAGGCTTCAATGGACATGTGGCTCTGCGTTAAGCGGGCCATCAATGCCGCTGAGAAGGCGAAGAAGCTATACGAAGACGGCAGGGCCAAGGTTGCCGAAGCTGGCAAGGCCATCCAAGCCCAGGCGAACTTGGCCAAGGACATGCAGGCTGCCGAACGGCAGGTAAAGGTTTATCAGGCCAAGCTTGGCGAGATGTCGGCGGCATTGGAGGCGGCTCAGCTGACGGCGAAGGAGGCTCTGGAGGCGAAAGAGGCGGTCCAGGTGGCCTTCGAGGAGTCCGAGCGGACCAGGGCTTCCGAGATTGGGGCTGCCGTTCAGGAGGCGATTCAGGGCTACCGTCGGTCTGCCGAGTTCTCAGCCTTGCTGGACAAGGAGGTAGGCTCGGAAATGGCGGAACTTGTCTACCGTTTCAAGCGGTACAACCCCGGGAAGAAGCTCAACCTCAATTTTATTGCTGATTCCCCCCCCCTTCCTGAAGGTATAACCGAAGAAATGGTCGAGGAGTACGAGGGGGAGGATGTTGCCGAGGAGGTCCCTGCCGATCCCGAAGGGGGTGCTGCCGAAGGTGACGGTGCAGCCCCTGATGCCGACGAGGCTGCCGCCTAATGCAGGGTCCTGTCAACAGCTGCCTTTGTTTCCAAATTTTCATGTTCTGAACCTTAATGCCGAGGGCATCTTTTATGTATTTTTGATTTTAAATTTGATGCCGTAGGCATCTCTGTAATTCTGTTGCAACTTTAATGCCGTTGGTATTTTTAGATAATTAATTATGTTTTTGTTTGAAGTTATTCGCAACTTACTTTTAAATCGGTAGCGTTCTTAGGAAATCGTTCTGTTGAATGCCGAAGGATTTTAAACAAAGGTCATTGGCCGTTGGCCAGTGACGTTTCCTTTTACGCAGGGTTATGGAATTGAAAACCAATGCGCGTGCTTGCCCAATAAAGTTTACAAAGTTGTCTTTCAATCGGTAGGATAATGGCGATGCCAAAATGCGTAGTTTGCTGCGACCGATGGTCCCTACCGTACCCTTTTTTTTAACAAAAAATGGAGAGATTTGAAAGGTACAACAAAGGTGCCGAATATGTGTGCCGAAGGCCCTTTTATTGATAAACTGCCGAAGGCGAGATTACAATTATGAGCGCGTTTTACAATATAGAACCCGCCGTTGGCTTGGTAACGCTATAATGCCGAAGCTGTGTTGTAGAGGCCGAGCTTTTGGGACTCCTCCGTGACCCTGCCGTAGGCAAGGTGACTTTCATTTGAAATAGTACTTCAAATGCTCTACGTTCCAAGGGATGACCGAGGGTCTTTCCGTTGGAGTCTCTGAGTCGGTAAGTCCCCGATCGCTGGATACCGATGATCTCGTAGGGTCCCTCCCAGGAAGGTCCGAGGGTTCCTTCCGTGGGATTCTTGGTTGCCAAGGAGACTTTCCGCATGACCCAATCTCCGATTCGGAAAGAGCGGGATTTGACCCTGGAGTCATAGTACCGAGAGACGCGTTGCTTGTAAGCTTCGTTCCGAAGGTTGGCTTGTGCTCGGCGCTCTTCGAGTAAGTCGAGGCTCAGAGCAAGCGCTTCCTCATTTGCTTTCGGTGCGAAAGGTTTCCGTTCGGTAGGAGGGCTCTCCGATCTCTACTGGGACTACTGCCTCTGAACCGAAAGCCATGGAGAATGGTGTTTCCCCCGTTGCCGTTCGGTAAGATGTCCGTATGGCCCATAGCGCCTCCGGAAGCTTTTCTGGCCATGCTCCTTTGGCTTTGTCAAGCTGCCGTTTCAACAGCTTCTTGACAATTTTGTTCATGGCTTCGACCTGTCCGTTCGATTGGGGGTGTGCTGGCGAAGCAAAGAACAGGTTGATCTTGAGTCGTTTGCAGAATTGCCGGAAGACTTCCGAATCAAACTGCCTGCCGTTATCCGTGACGATGGCGTAGGGGATGCCGAATCGGCAGCAAATGTTTGTCCAAACGAAATCCTCGATTCTGGCTGCCGTTATCGTTGCTAGTTCTTTGGCTTCTACCCATTTGGTGAAGTAGTCTACGGCAACAACAGCGTATTTTACCTGACCCTTGCCCTCTGGCATCGGACCGATTAGATCCAGTCCCCATTGGGCGAACGGCCATGGGCTCACGATCGGTGACAGTGGCTCGGCGGGAATGTGAGGGACACTACCGAACCGTTGGCATTTGTCGCACCTCTTGACTAGTGTGTTTGCATCCTGATGCAGAGTCGGCCAGAAATAACCCTGCCGGAAGACCTTGTGTGCGAGCGATCGGGAACCAGAATGGTCCCCGCAGATTCCGCTGTGGACCTCCCGAAGGATGTAGTCCCCTTGCTCTTTGGTCAGGCATTTTAAGTACGGCGTCGTGTAGCCCCGTTTGTACAGAACATCGTTGATGACTGTGTATCTTGCCGATCGGTAGCGGAGTTTTCCGAGCTTGGGATTTGTCGGTAGGAAGGGTTCCGGCTTTCAGATAGGCATAGATTGGGGACATCCATGTATCCTCGTACCGAACGGTACATACCTCAGCGGCGGTTGTACTTGGTTGGGATAATATCTCCACCGGTACCTTCCTTCCGATCTTGTCATTTATTGCCGAAGCCAACGTGAGAGTGCATCGGCATGGCTATTTTCAGACCTGGGGATCTGCCGTATCTCATAGGCTTGGAATTTCTGTAGTAGCTGGTGGGCTGCCGATAGATAGGCTGACATGGAGGCATCCTTTGCTGCGAAAGTCTGCCGTTATCTGGTTTACTATGAGCTGGGAGTCGCTGTGAATGCTGATCTGCCTCGCGCTCATGCTCTGGGCTAGCCGAAGGCCAGCCAGGAGGGCCTCATATTCTGCCTCGTTATTGGAGGTTCGGAAGTTGAATCGGAGGGCGTACTCGATTTGCTACCGTCCGGAGTGGTTAACACTAAGCCGGCACCACAGCCTTGCTGGTTTGCCGAGCCGTCCACGTGCAGGATCCAGAGAGGAGTGGAAGTGTCGAAACGTTCGGTATCCATTTTTTCTGGTTCGGCGGTACGGCGCTCGGCGATGACGGTTCCGATAAAGCAGGAGGTGTGAGTTCGGAGATGAAATCGGCAACGCCCAACCCCCCACCCCCACCCCACCTGGCCCTTTTTTGCTGCAGTCCTTGCTGAACTGTGATATCAACTCCTCCCCACCCTTTCCGAAAATCGCAACCATGGTGACCATCCGAGCCAATGTTTTCCGCTTTTTGTGGGGCAACATACTGTCCTCCGAAGAGTTGTTTTCGTTGTCAGAACTGTTATTTCGTGGCCTGAAGTATGGCGAAGCCATTCGCCGCCCCTGAGACGACCAGTGCACGCGCTTAGCTTCATCGCTCATTCGGTATCGTTAGAAATACGAACAGATTACCATTGTCCAGAGTGATCCCCCCCGTTCGTCTCTTAACCAACAATTATCCGTCAACATAAACCTCGATTATGCCGCCGATGTTTTTTGCGAAAATCCGGGTTGAACGTCCGTTGGTAAGTTGCTACCCCCGTTCTTCCAGGCCGAAGGGCATGAACCTTGTAACTTACCAAATCCTGGCGATCTGTGATGATGCCGTATGCTCTCATCGGAGGGCCTGAAGATCGGTTGTATCCCGAATACTCTTCATGAGCTGAGCACCTCATTGCCCGGCGGTGGATCGACGAGCGGGTCCATCCTCGGTAGGGGAAACTGTCCTTCGGACAAGCCTTATTCAGCCGGTATAATCCTGACACATTCGCCATCCTCCCCTGGCTTCCGAACCATGACTGAGTTGGCCGCCAAACAGGGTACGTAGCTTCCGTTCAACAAGCCGATGGCTTTGAGCTTGTCGACTTCGGCGCGCACGCCTCATACCGTTCTCATCGTACGATCGGCCGCTTTTGCCTGACTGGTGTGTGGGCGGGGAGATGCTGAGCTTGTGGCTGATGACGTCGGGTGATATGCCGGGCATGTCGTCATAATGACCAGGCGAAGACCTTCCGCATGTTCCGTAAGAAGTCGATGAACTGCCTCTGAAGTCGGGGTCCAGATTGTGCCGATCTTCACCCACCGATCGGGGAAGTCCTTGTGTCAGGATTATGGTCTCCATCTCCTCGGCGGGCTGGGCCATTGGCGTTGGGTTTTCCTCCCGGGGGTCGTCAATGGTTCGTTACCCGTTCGTAGTAGTCCCTGCAAGGTCCATGGGCCTCCATTGGCGGTTTGCTGTGCTACCGACCTTAATGGCCGTGGCATAGGACGGGATCCCAATGGCGCTGACTGATCCGCCTCCGGATTGACTTCCGTACCTTGCGGGTCGTTGAACGTCATCTCAACAACATAAATGTGCGTGGAGAAGGTGGGCTTTTGGAATCCTGGTGAGGGCAACAAAAAAAAAAAAAAAAAAAAAAAAAAAAAAAAAAAAAAAAAAAAAAAAAAAAAAAAAAAAAAAAAAAAAAAAAAAAAAAAAAAAAAAAAAAAAAAAAAAAAAAAAAAAAAAAAAAAAAAAAAAAAAAAAAAAAAAAAAAAAAAAAAAAAAAAAAAAAAAAAAAAAAAAAAAAAAAAAAAAAAAAAAAAAAAAAAAAAAAAAAAAAAAAAAAAAAAAAAAAAAAAAAAAAAAAAAAAAAAAAAAAAAAAAAAAAAAAAAAAAAAAAAAAAAAAAAAAAAAAAAAAAAAAAAAAAAAAAAAAAAAAAAAAAAAAAAAAAAAAAAAAAAAAAAAAAAAAAAAAAAAAAAAAAAAAAAAAAAAAAAAAAAAAAAAAAAAAAAAAAAAAAAAAAAAAAATAATTCTCTGCGTGTTCTTTTATTTTATGCCCAGCACGTTACAGGATTGATAAGCCATATCAATCCTGCTACCAAAGTTTATTTTTATTTATTTGATTAGAATCTTAAATTGGCCTATTCACCCTCCTCTAGGCATTTTGAGTCATCCTGCAGGTATTTTCAATTGGCATCAGAGCAGGTTGCTGGACATACTCAGCAAGATCTAACATACCTTAGGATGGATCGTGCCTCGGGCTCAATTGCACATCCACCATATTTCGATGGCAACAACTATGGCGCTTGGAAGGCCAAAATGAAGTCGTTTCTTTGGTCCTTAGATGAACGTGTATGGAGCACAGTGGTTCATGGATTTCCTAAACCCACAAAGACGATTGGAAAAGGAGATGAAGAAACCACAGTCCTCAAAACTAGAGAGGAGTGGACCACTGCAGAAGTCACACACAGCACTAATAATCAAAAGGGGTTAAATGCTTTATTTACTGCTGTCTCTTCCGATCAATTTGAATATATATCTGCTTGTGATACTTCTAAGGAAGCTTGGGATATTTTGCAGGTTACTCATGAAGGAACAGATACTGTCAAGGGAGCCAAGCTTCAAATGCACACTTTACAGTTTGAGACACTTATGATGGATGAGAATGAAACTTTTTCTGAATTTTATGCTAAACTTTGTGTAATTGTGAATGCTTGTTCAGGTTTAGGTGAAAAAATTCCAGAAGATAGAGTTGTGAAAAAGATTTTGAGATCCTTGCCTCAACGGTTTCAACCAAAGATCACGGCTATTGAAGAGATCCGTGACTTGAACACCTTGAAAGTTCAAGAACTCATAGGGTCCATACAAACCTATGAGATGAAACATCTACCTCCTAAAAAGAGCAAAAATGTTGCGTTCAAGGTTGTGAATGAAGAAGATGATGGGCATTCAAATGAAGATTGCAGTGATGAGGAATTAACGATTCTCACAAGACGATTCATGAACTTTCTCAAGAATCAGGATCCAAGGAGTCGAGATTCAAAAGGTATAAATTCTAAAAATAGGTTTGTTAACTATACTGATGGTGGATCTAAATTTCGCAGGTTAAATGAACGAAAGAATCCAAGAGAAAAGGTCAAATGTTTCGAATGTGAAGGCTATGGACACATATCTTCGGAATGTGCCAACACCTTAAAGAAACAAAAGGATGGCAATAATAAGGCAATGCATACTACTTGGAGTGATAGTGAATCGGAATGCGAGAATGATGAAAAGACGGTTGCACTTATAACCACAGTTAGCTTGGATGAATCACGTGAGGATGATGATTGTAAAGGTATAAATATTGAGTTTATCATGAACAAATATGATGATTTGTTGGCTGCATCTCAGAAGCTCAGTAAACAAAATAGTGAGCTCGTCAAAGAAGTTGCTGTGCTGAAGCTGGAAAATTGCAGGATTGCAAACGAGTTTCAATCCCCTGATGCAGATTCCGAAAAGGTAAGTGCAGGTATGAACGAAAAATTGATGTTTTTGCAGAAAAAATTGACTGATCAGAATAAATTAATTGCTTCTCTAACTTCTGACAACAAAGCCCTTGAACTTGAACTTAAAAATTCAAAAGAAAGGATTGTTTCTTTAACCATTGGTGCAGAAAAAAATTGACAAGATGATTAGCATGGGACGAAGAGATGGTGACAAACGAGGCTTGGGATTTGAACCAAGTAATAAGTCTTCCGCTGTGTCTAAAACAAAGTTTGTCAAATCCACTTCACCTATTGAACCTTCTGCCTCTCATGAAGTCAAGAAATTTATTCCAATTTGTCACTTTTGTGGAACTCGTGGGCACATAAGACCGAGATGCAATAAGCTTCGAAACGAATTTGTTCGTTCAAATTCTCATGGCATGGGTGGAAAAGTAAGTATCCAACATAAGATTTCACATCTTATGAAAGAGGTAAACCGCTTATCCAAACTATCTTCTTTTCATTGTTTGCCGTCAACTAAGACAAAGTTAGTTTGGAGGAAAAAGGAAAATCATAATTGTATGTCTTCCTCCACTAATGTTGTGCATGAACCCGTTGCTTTAGAAAGTTTGGATCTTAAATGTATTGCTGCAAAACCCTTGGATAATCTTCGATTTGACACTCTTAGAAAGTCTTTAGGTATATGTGCTCTAGATTAATTTGGAGTCTATTGCATGCCAAAGCCTCTTTCATGTTTTATGATATTTCAATTAATTTCTGTGTTTATAAATCTGTCCAGCTCGTGCAAGGATTGTTAAGGTGTATCAATCCTGTAACTGTCTGAACGTATTTGTTGATCTTAGATTGGGCTCTGACATTGCACTATATTAAGAACTTACACTCTCAGCTTCACACAAAGGTTTCCATTGTCTTGGTGCATTATAAACTTCATTAAATGATCTATCCATCTATTTATTTTATTTTGCACACCACACTCTTTTCCTTGAAGTCCTTTGAATATCTCTTATCATGCACTTGTCTCTCTTTGGATTGCCATAACACTACTGTGCGTAAGTTCTTGATCTGTTTATAAAAATAAAAATAAAAATAAAAATTTAAAAAAAAAAAAAAAAAAGGGTGTCAACCACTCATTGCTCAGTAACCGGGCCTCTTGTCTAACCAACGTCGAGGTTCGAGTCAACAGGTTGTGATGGTTTGCTATCCTTGCTTATCTTTGGAGCCTTCATGATTCGGATCAGTATTTCCCCAGGGGTGCTTCATCACCCAGTTGCCTCCAGTCATCTGACGTAAGCACACTGATTGACCATCCGTTACATGGATCATGTCGAAAGCTAGATAAAGTGAGCCACAAAATTCGTATTAAAAAATATATATATAAATTGATCTTCTTATACTTACTATGCACTTAGTGTTTGTGCAATCTTTGGTGGGATTCGTCTTGTGTGGACATATTTTTTGTGCTTAATTGAAAAAGAGTTCATTTAACACATTTGCTCCTTGATGGTAGACTCATTTGATGCCTTTTTATCTTTCACCATGACTGTGGTATGCCTCTACTGTTCTCTGTGAGTTTGTGAGTCTCGTGTGCTGTCGTGTGTTTGTCCCTGACATGCTTTGCTTCACATGCGTTCAAGACAGCAAAGGGTTTGTTGCTTCTTTCATTCTTTACTCACAAACTTGGCATGTTTATGAATGGAAAATAATTATATTTTCAAGAGAACTTTGGGTCTGCATCTACAGTATGTTTTATGTCTTGATTGTTTTGAGCTTTCTGTCTTGAGTGTATTGCTTTTGTTTTTGTATGTTTTGGTTCTTAACAACTTCTCATTATTCTTTTTAGTTCTCTATTTTCCTGTCGCTTATCCCAAAAAAAAAAAAAAAATTTTCTGTTTGTTTTCAAGATAAAGCCTCTTACATGCTTTATTGGTTATTCTCTATGTCTTTATATGTTGGGAATGCAATCTGATTTTTTTATTTTTTATTCCCTCTTATATATGCTCCCTTATGTTCATTCTTTGCCCTTTGACAAAAAGGGGGAGAGATTGTGTTGTGGAATTAAGGGGGAGAGATTGTGTTATGGAATTAAGGGGGAGTTGTGTTGTAATTCTGCTTTGAATTACATTTCTTCTCCCACATGCTTCACTGGTTTTGTTGTTTCATAATGTGCAGGGATTCAGGGCTTCAAGCTTAGAATAAGAATTCATTTGTTAAATCCCATGTAATTTCTTTTGAGTTGTAATAGGTGTTTTGTCTAGGAAATGCCAAAGGGGGAGATTGTTAGTATGAAATTTGTATTGTCATTTCCTAGACTCTAGCATAGGTTGGGAGTTAGTGTGTGAATATCGTTTACTAGACGTTTTGGCGCAACACATTCAATCTCAGGTTTCCAAAGCATGACTTGACCGATATGAGGAATCTGATTTCAGGTAAATCATGACATAATCATGCATTCATTATAGGATTCCTAGTTTGAGTTATTTTCACTCAAAGTATTTTTATCTTAATCTTATTTTTAATAAGATTAGATTTTATCTCTTGAGATTACTTTCCTAGTTCAACTCTATTTTAATTGAAGTTAAAATATTATCTTTTCCTATTGTGACTTTGCACGTTGCTTACCTCTTAGTTAATTTGGTTTAAAGAGAGGCGTCATTACTTTGAGTCCAAGGTGAATCAAATCTCTTATTGATGATAGGTTGTGGTGCAATAGGAAGTTTAATATTCGTGGCCTATTGGGTTTCTCTCCCATGAGAGAGAACAAGTCTTGTATAAAAGATCATGTGCCATTCTTTTATTTGTACAGCTTTTGAGATATTTGTTCTGAGCATATAGAATTCTAAGAAAAGCTGTTGTGCGTATATTTGAGATAAATCATCAAGTGTTCAATGTTTACTTGGTGATTTATCAAACACTTTAATCATTCATATTGCATTCATATGCATGTCGGTGACTCATACGGTTGAGGGCACCAAGACCGTGGTGGCGGTTTTCCTCCGGTGAGCTTGAAGCAATCGTGGCCAGTATTGCGTTCAACATAAGGAGTGTCGAAGATCATCCCGTGACAGAAGTTGAGTTACGAAGAAGTCGGTAAACATTATCTAGAATGTGTCTAGGATAAGTGTGTGAGTACTTCTTGTAATCATCGTTCTATAGTGGATTTGTGTTGGACTGAGGAGTCCCGTGGATTTTCCCCAGAGGTGGGGTTTTACCACGTAAAATAATTCTCTGCGTGTTCTTTTATTTTATGCCCAGCACGTTACAGGATTGATAAGCCATATCAATCCTGCTACCAAAGTTTATTTTTATTTATTTGATTAGAATCTTAAATTGGCCTATTCACCATCCTCTAGGCATTTTGAGTCATCCTGCAGGTATTTTCAATTTGCATGGCAGGTGCATATGCGGCGACAATTTTTTTCAAAAACAATTGCGCCTACATGGTCTGGCCAGGAACCCTAACCTTTGAGCAAAAACCTCAATTATCAACGACAGGGTTCCAGTTAGCATCCCAAGCTAGCTTCCAGCTAGACACTCCGGTGCCGTGGAACGGCCGCTTTTGGGCCCGAACTGGATGCTCCACGGACGTCTCTGGAAAGTTCGTCTGTGCCACCGCAGACTGTGCCTCTGGTCAGGTCACGTGCAATGGTAATGGTGCCATTCCGCCGGCAACTTTAGCGGAATTCAATATTCCAGCAGGCAGAGGACAAGATTTCTACGACGTTAGTCTTGTTGATGGCTTCAACTTGCCCATGTCTGTGACTCCACAAGGCGGTACCGGCGACTGTAAGACGGCTACTTGCCCGGCGGACGTGAACGGAGTTTGTCCGAGTGATCTGCAAAAGAAAGGGTCCGATGGGAGCGTGGTTGCCTGCTTGAGCGCATGTGTTAAATTCAATCAGCCACAGTACTGTTGCACTCCGCCTCAAAACACTCCAGAGACATGCCCACCAACAAATTACTCTCAGATATTCAGTCAAGCATGCCCCAACGCTTACAGCTATGCTTATGATGACAACAAGGGTACATTTACATGCAATGGTGGACCTAACTACGCCATTACTTTCTGCCCATGATCTAACTATAGAAAGGACAAGATCTTTAATAAAAATAGGACTCGAGACATGTAATGTGTCGATAATTAGTCCGGCTCTATATTAAACGTTTGATCTTTAATAAAGGTAAGACTCTCGACATGTAATTGGTAACGTGTCGATTATTATAGTCTGGCTATAGTCTGGCTATGTATCAAGCATTTGATCTTCAATAAAGATAGAATTGTCCACATGTAATTGATAATATGTCGATATCGATATCATTATCATCAATAATAAACATATTGATATGTTAACTTCAATAAAATATCCATATGAATATCGATAGTCCAGTATTTAATTAAAGATAGGATTAACGTCATGCACAAAGAATTTTTGGAAAATATATTGCACACAGAATTTGTGTGAAATATATATTGCCCCTCTTTCTTTATGTTACAATAACAGAAAATTACGAATGATTTTATGTGAACGAATGGTGTCCACATGATGCAATGAGGTTCAGTAGCAAATGATAAGTACAATAACATGTCAAAATGGAAAAAAACATCAACTTCAAATAAATCTACATTTTAAATCACATGTCGTGTCATGTAATCTTCAAATGTGATTCAAAAATTTGATCTCCTTAAAATTAATGAGAATAAATTGCAATTAATGCATTGAAAAAGCCATGCCCATGAAAATGGACATCCATATCTTAATGGAAAAAGCATGGCCCCTTAAAATTGATGAGGAACTCCTTACTATAAATGTGGTTTTGACACGTGTCAATTTTTTTAAATATTCTTTTTTTTTTTGGTTAAAAATTTGTCAATGTTGCTGGAATTTGACAAATATCAAAGTCCATTCGTTTTAAGGAGGATCCCTTAATTTTAAGTAGCCAAATCATGCTCTTTAAGGGTGTCTCTATGGTGCTCATCATGTACTACGAACAAACAAACTATTTTGAGAGATATACTTGTATTTTATGGACTAATAATTACGTTAATTTCTTCACAGATTATCCTTATACTTTTCCGCGACATTTTACTCACACTGAATGTTAAAAGTTCGATGGCTAGCTAGAAGGAGAGGACAAGAGTCGAATAGAGTGAAGCAAGTCAATAATGCTTTGTGTGCCCTACACATAATTGTCTCAAAAAATTTCACACACAGGCCTCCGTCAAGGATCGTACGCCATCTATATTAACATTATTAACATCATTTAATTCTCAAGTCATCCATATATAATAGTAGCTAGGTCGCTCAATTATTTTGTCCACCGACATGTTAACCTCCTAGTTCCTTTGCTAGTAGGGTATGGCTTAATTGGTTGAGCTCTTCCACCTCCACTCGTGTGGGATGAGGTTCAAAGTTCTCAGGCACCCAATGAATATTTGTATAAACCCCACTTTCCCAAATGCTTGTACTAAAAAAAAACCCTAGTTCCTTCAACTCTTTGAGTTGAGGGACAATATATACCTTGAGCTTAACTCTTAAAAAAAAAAAAAAAAAAAAAAAAAAAAAAAAAAAAAAAAAAAAAAAAAAAAAAAAAAAAAAAAAAAAAAAAAAAAAAAAAAAAAAAAAAAAAAAAAAAAAAAAAAAAAAAAAAAAAAAAAAAAAAAAAAAAAAAAAAAAAAAAAAAAAAAAAAAAAAAAAAAAAAAAAAAAAAAAAAAAAAAAAAAAAAAAAAAAAAAAAAAAAAAAAAAAAAAAAAAAAAAAAAAAAAAAAAAAAAAAAAAAAAAAAAAAAAAAAAAAAAAAAAAAAAAAAAAAAAAAAAAAAAAAAAAAAAAAAAAAAAAAAAAAAAAAAAAAAAAAAAAAAAAAAAAAAAAAAAAAAAAAAAAAAAAAAAAAAAAAAAAAAAAAAAAAAAAAAAAAAAAAAAAAAAAAATTTCTGCCTCCCCCTCCTGTATGCTTTCTTCCTTTCCTCTGCTTTTTTTTTTTTCTCTCTCTCTCTATTTTTCTGCTTTTTCCCCCCTTTTTCTCCTCCCCTGATTTTTTCTCTTCCGGCCCCCTGGAATTGTATGAGCTTTGATGTGAAGTCGGTGCGTTGCGAGCTGTTTTTTAGCTCTTTGTGTACTTCTTCATGAGCTCCAGCTGCCTTCAATGGATTCAAATGATAAATTAGCCGTGAATGAGCTTGGGCTCTGTGAATTCATACTTGAACTTGATTTAAAATCCTGAAGCTCATGTTATTATGTTAGTCCGTTATATGATTGTTCTTCTCGCTCTCCCAAAATCGAAGCCACCCTCAGATTTTCACAAACCCTAAGCCTCTTCTCCAATTTCCCCCTTTGAATTTGAAAAAAGTTTATATGATTGGAATTTGAAAAAGTTATATGGTAGATTGATAATTAAGCGTTACAAATTATATTTTGTTTTATTTTATTTTATTAATATTTCATAAGTTAGTTTAATAATTAGTCTGTATGATGAGATTCCCTTAATCCCTCATCCAACGTGAGTAGTGGGCGCTGTTCTGTGGGATAGTTTGTTCCTTTGTAGTTAGATGTTATAGTGGATGAAACTTGATAATTATTAACTAACTTTTAGTTAGAGGTCTGGTTCCTCCACAAACCCCACCTAAAGGACGTCAAGGGTTCCTACATAAACCCCACTTAAAAGAGGTCAAGGGTTTCTCCATAATCCCCAATTCCATACTTTCATTGTTTCTCCTAGTTTAATCCACTCCTTTAAGCATCATTGCGATTGCATGATGAAAAATGCTAATTAGGGGGCCTGTTTGATAACCATTTCAATTTTAGTTTTAGTTTTTCTTTTTTGTGCTAGAGTATAGAGGAAAATGAGAGTGAGTATGAGATTGAAAGAGAGAGGATGAGAGGGAAGGATGGAAGAGCGAAGTAATAAAAGTGAAAACAATTTCAAATAGATTTCAGTTTCTAGTTTTTGTTTTCACTTTTGTTACTCCTCCCTCCCATCATCTCCTCTCATCTTTCTTCTTAATCTCATCTCCACTCTCTTTCTCACTTCTATTCTTCTTCTTTTCCTCTATACTCTAGCACAAAAATGAAAACTAAAAACTAAAATTTAATGGTTATCAAACGGACCTAGGTTTGTTGAACATTAATATTTTCGTGCTAACGGGGTTTGTCAAAATTGGATATTCTATGAAGATTTTGTATGATGAATAGTGAAAACTAAGAAAAGAGTGAAGTTCTAAGCAATTTGGAATCGCACATAGTACAGTACACATACCAAACCTTGGCCACACCTTTTTCCCAAATTGCAAGCAGCCTTTTGCTTCTCTTATATGAGAAATACAATCGGTTTTAAGAACGTGTATGTAATTGAATATCTTCGTTTTGTCGCCAATATTTTAGCTTTGTCAACACATGTATGCATGTATAACCAAAATCAATTATGCTCTCAACCTTCGTAGCCCCCTTTTGCTGTTTGTAAATGTTGAACAGTCCCACATCGACTGGACCAATAACAATGGAAGTGAATGGCCCGATAAAATGAGAAACAAGAGATGTGAAAAAAGCATACCTTTCTCGGCCTTTTGGCTAAGATCAAGTGTAGTATCTGTTCTTATCAGTTTAATATCTGATATGTGGGTCAATGACCCACACGATATTAAATTAATTTCTTTAGGGGGGAGGGTCCACTACAATAGCTTGCTATTGGGGCTCTCAAGTGTCGCCCAAGCGTTGCACTATTGCATGGGCCTGGCGCACCCCACTAAATTTAGTCTAAAATTTTCTTTTACATTATTGATCGAAATGGTTCTTCAACTATTGCTCGAGTTTTATTTTGGTCGACCAATTAAAATTTTCATTCAATAGTCCCTTCAATTCTCTGTTTAGTATCAAATTGTCTTATTGTTAAAGTCTGTCAAATATTTTGATTTCAATAGTCCTTCAATTCTTCGTTTAGTATCAAAATTGTCTTACAACACTCGTTTCACTGCTGCGTACGAATAGCCTGATCAAAAGAAGATATGGGTTGTGTCGTCAACAGAAGCCACATTTCTGGTAATGATCGATCTGTGAATAGGTTGGTGGATATGGTGGGATGAAGGAGAAGAGACGAAGGAATGGCTCGGGTAAGAGAATGGGGATTTAATGATAGAGCGAAATGGGGTTGTTCGAACAAGAAGACTACTCTCATCGTTTGCTCCACTAACATTGTTGTTGCTTATAGTTTCGTTCTCTCTACGCTTCTCTGTACATATACTCCATCAACGTTGTTGTTGGATTGAATTAGTAGAGTGATTTGCTATAACTTTATAATTTAACGGAGAACACTTGTTATGCTTAAAAGGTAAAGGCACTAGGAGCTTTCCAGAGATGCAGTGGTGGAATACCTTTGAAACTGAAGTTACCAATGAGATAGTTGAGAGGTTGAAAACCTTGAGGCCCAAAGCAAATTTTACTGAGCAGAGAGGAAGGTGGAAGACAGTGAACAAGTGTTTGTGGATACAATTGAAAGAGAGAAGAAGCCTTTGGCTCTGGTAGCTGGGTCCAGCAAAACTAGGGTTCTAATTTTGGGGAGCTTCTAACATATGGACAGTTTTACCCCTCAATTAACGGTAAAATTGACAGACTTTGACGGTAGGACCATTTTGATACTAAATGGAGAGTTGGAGGACTATTGAAATGAAAATTTTAGTTGGTGGGCCAACATGAAACTCGAGCAATAGTTAAGGGACCATTTCGGTCAATAACCCTTTCTTTTATTTGTTACTACAAGAACATTCTGAAAAAGAAATAAACTGTATGGAACATAACGAATAATAAATTGTATTTCTTTATTTCAACACTTCATGTACTTAACAATGCCCTAGTATTGGGGATGGGGATAGGAATGACATACCCACCCCCAATTAAACCCATTGTCATTCCTAATATTGAGGATCATTGTTCTTCCATGAATTTGCAGACCAAGCCTTCAAAGTGCATGTCTTTGGGTCAGTATCTGAACCAAAATGTCATTTTATAAAGTAATTACAAATGTCGGCTTAAATTCTTTTGTTACAATGAAAGAGAAGCGAACTCTTTACTTATCATAATTCTTACTAATTTTTTGACTAACCCTCATCCCTTGAACTAATGTTAATGGCTTGAGGATTAAATTTGTGAATTTAGAAGTTAAGTGTTTATGTAGATTCATTAAGCTTGTCAAATTGTATGTGCCTTTGGCACTTTTTCCAAGTGATTGTGTTGAACTTAAAGTACCACATCGGAAATGCACAAGAAGTAGAGAGCGGGACTGATGTATTTAAAAGGAACAAGAGGCACTTCAAAACATACTTACCTGGACGGAGTCTATGGGCGATCAAGAAGGCTCATGGCCTAGGTTGGTGACCTCCATTGCACTTAGGAGGGGGTGCCTGCCTATGGTCTCCTCATCATAGGAGAGCCAACGTCATAATTTGTTGCAGTGGGGGCCTGCGTTCGCGCGGCCCCTTCCTCAATTCAATATCAACCTTATGTTGCTGGCTATCAAATAGGCTCATCCCTCGTTTTCCTCAAGTTGATTTTTCTTTTTGTCTGGTATAATTGTTTGATATATCCAGCTGTGACAGAGTTTATTCTTAGCCAAAAACATATATAAGAATTTATTCTAAATCAACATGTTCTTCTGCTAAAAAAAATCAGCATGTTTCTAGCCATTACTTTGCTTCCTCAAGTTGATTTTACTTTTGTTGGTTTAAGGTGTAATTCTTCAGCTGTACGTTATAAAGGTTTAATTACTGTTAAAGTGAGACTGAGCGCCCATTTAAGGGTAAAATAGTAATTAAATTTTATAAAATAGATGTATGTAGTTATATACCTATTATTAACACTAGTGATATAGATAAACCCTACACAATTTAATTTCTATAAACAAACTCAAAAGAAACCCAAAAAAGGACAATTGGTCCGGTTGAATTTAATTTTGATTATTAAATTATTTTGATGCTCTGTTGAGTGTTTGAGTTTTTATTTATTGAGGTTTTGGGGTTGGGCTTGTTTTAAGAAAACCGATGGCAGTTTTGTAAGTTATAGGAAGTTCGAAGCCTCTTTGTTATGTTGTAAATGGGCTTTTTGGTGTATTTCTAAAGTCAATTTCATGTATGATTTAAAAAAAAATAAAAAAATTGTATGGTACTTTTTCGAACTGAGTAACACCAAAATTTAAGTCAATCAGGTTCCCGTCCTCCTCAGATACCAGTACCCTGTCTGAGGGATCCCCACCCTCCTCCTCTTGCATATACTGATTTGTAGAAGAATCCCCCTGTGTAGGCCCCGCATTCCTTCCATGTGGCCCTAACAGACCTACTTCCCAGGCTTCTTCTCGTATACGTCATCACGCTCTTGTTCTTCTCGTCAGAGACGTATGCTCTCCGTTAAAGAATGCGAATGAGAAGCCTATTTGTTAGGGAAGGTAGCATTGTCTTCCATCTCCACCCTCTAGACATATATGCACCACCCACATCCCGCCAGCACCATACCTGTTGCAGATGTCGAGGCTCTCCCAAGCGACTAGAGCGCTCATGACGCCATCTACCCCCTGAGCTTGTACTATTATTCCCCTGTGAAACATTACGTTCCCCAAAGCGTAATCGCCAGCCACTCAAATCCTCCACCGCCTCAAGCCCGGAAATATCGTGCAAAACCTCCACCTTGCTCTCTGTGAGGTCTTGATCAGCCTCTAATTTTTCAATATAGATACGGCTTGGATGTCCCAAATGCCCACAGACAAAACAGTACTCTGGTAGAAATTCATACTGAAAATTAACCCACTTAGCTCCATCATCAGGAAATTGGACAAAAGCACCTCGTATCAAAGGTTGATCCACGTCTAATTGAGTACGAACTTGTAAGAAGCGTCCCATACATTCCACACCATCAGCCTGATCAACCTCCAAAACCTTCCCTACAAGAGATCCAATTTTCTGTGCCACCATTGTAGTCATATTAAAAGGAAGGATGCCATGCAATTGGATCCAATATGTACTGTGATGGAATTCCACGCCTCTGGTATCGAGTCCTGCACGCGCATCAACCAAAACCACCGAACTATAACGAAAATTCCAAGGTTCCATATCCGGTAACTTATCCTTCTTATTGCAAAACCTCACCAAGAAAGGGCGATTCTCTATCTCCTTAATAGATACATCGTCTAGTCCTTTCCATAACCTTGAAAATATGCCAATGAAACCATCCTGGTTTACAGCTTTGATAGTAAGAACCAGAGCCACCAAAGTCAACTGTGAACCCTTCCACAAGTCCCCACATTCCTCTTCCTCAATTTGGATTCCCTTTCCTTCTCAGAGAGACAAAGATTCATCCCGAAGCGGTTTTCCAGTTCCTCCATCGAGCTTGCTTTGTCGAGATCTTGTGACCCACGCAAACCGTACGTTAAACGAAGGTGTAGACGCTGCAAACCTTAGCCGTCACTCAGGATAGAAAAACCCTAACCTTTCTCTCCTTGTGAGAGACTTTTTTACTAAAAATTTTCATTGCCTTTTTCACTCATCAATTTGACATCAAAAGACATGGAATGCATTCCAGGTACCAAAACTCAGTATTTGGGACCACCTTTAATTACTTTAATGACTTTAATTAGTAGTTATGTATTTTAATTCTTAATTACCTAATGAATACTTAGTATTTAAATATTTTATCAAAGAAAATTTTAAAAAAATTAATTACTATTTATGAAGTAATATAATTTGTGAAGTTGATTAAAATATTTAATACTAATTATTCACTAAAGAAATAATAATTAAAACATGATTACTAATGAAAGTAATTAAATAAGGCTAAGATATGACTTAATTAATAAAAATAAAGTTTTTATATAAAAAATTCTATTGACTTAAATATACTAAGTTCATATTTATTTTTAAAAGAAATGTAAGGATTGTAATTGTTGCTTTGTTTGGCTCTTCTCTTTTTTGGAACAAAACCATTGTAATCTCCTTAGATATTTGAGATAGTCTCTAGGTTAGATTAAAGTGGTTGCTGATTTCCAAAGATCTCTTTGGTGAAGAACAGGTAAGAACCTTGTGCATACATTCATATGGATTGATACAACTTTAAAATCATTTTATGTTTTCATTTTGTATCAATCCTCTCTATATCTGTTTTAATCCGTCCATACAGAAATCAATTAATAGTTTATTGCAAATATCTTTCCTGCACTTGATTTCTGAAAAAGATAAAATAGGATTATCCTCTGCCTCTTGCACTCTTATCAAGTCAATCCTTTTTGAAACCAAGTTCCTGACTGAATCTGTTTATTATATTGATCTCCACTGTCTTAAAACAGTGGTTCAGTTCTCTGCAGAAAGGCAACTGAGTTTTATGAAGAGGAAGCAATATTAAGCATTTGGCATCACGTTTTAAACTCACCCTTTACTATGCTTCCATGTTTATGTTTTTGAAAGATCATCATATCAGTTTTTAAACATTCAAAAACTTACTTCAGTCATCTTGAAGTCTTGAGAGTTATGAGTATGATTGCATACACATAAAACTTACTCCAAGTTTATTCTCACTTTGATTAAATGACTGTGTTAGTATGAAATTTGTATTGTCATTTCCTAGACTCTAGCATAGGTTGGGAGTTAGTGTGTGAATATCGTTTACTAGACGTTTTGGCGCAACACATTCAATCTCAGGTTTCCAAAGCATGACTTGACCGATATGAGGAATCTGATTTCAGGTAAATCATGACATAATCATGCATTCATTATAGGATTCCTAGTTTGAGTTATTTTCACTCAAAGTATTTTTATCTTAATCTTATTTTAATAAGATTAGATTTTATCTCTTGAGATTACTTTCCTAGTTCAACTCTATTTTAATTGAAGTTAAAATATTATCTTTTCCTATTGTGACTTTGCACGTTGCTTACCTCTTAGTTAATTTGGTTTAAAGAGAGGCGTCATTACTTTGAGTCCCAAGGGTGAATCAAATCTCTTATTGATGATAGGTTGTGGTGCAATAGGAAGTTTAATATTCGTGGCCTATTGGGTTTCTCTCCCATGAGAGAGAACAAGTCTTGTATAAAGATCATGTGCCATTCTTTTATTTGTACAGCTTTTGAGATATTTGTTCTGAGCATAGAATTCTAAGAAAAGCTGTTGTGCGTATATTTGAGATAAATCATCAAGTGTTCAATGTTTACTTGGTGATTTATCAAACACTTTAATCATTCATATTGCATTCATATGCATGTCGGTGACTCATACGGTTGAGGGCACCAAGACCGTGGTGGCGGTTTTCCTCCGTGAGCTTGAAGCAATCGTGGCCAGTATTGCGTTCAACATAAGGAGTGTCGAAGATCATCCCGTGACAGAAGTTGAGTTACGAAGAAGTCGGTAAACATTATCTAGAATGTGTCTAGGATAAGTGTGTGAGTACTTCTTGTAATCATCGTTCTATAGTGGATTTGTGTTGGACTGAGGAGTCCCGTGGATTTTCCCCAGAGGGTGGGGTTTTACCACTAAAATAATTCTCTGCGTGTTTCTTTTATTTTATGCCCAGCACGTTACAGGATTGATAAGCCATATCAATCCTGCTACCAAAGTTTATTTTTATTTATTTGATTAGAATCTTAAATTGGCCTATTCACCCTCCTCTAGGCATTTTGAGTCATCCTGCAGGTATTTTCAATTGGCATCAGAGCAGGTTGCTGGACATACTCAGCAAGATCTAACATACCTTAGGATGGATCGTGCCTCGGGCTCAATTGCACATCCACCATATTTCGATGGCAACAACTATGGCGCTTGGAAGGCCCAAATGAAGTCGTTTCTTTGGTCCTTAGATGAACGTGTATGGAGCACAGTGGTTCATGGATTTCCTAAACCCACAAAGACGATTGGAAAAGGAGATGAAGAAACCACAGTCCTCAAAACTAGAGAGGAGTGGACCACTGCAGAAGTCACACACAGCACACTAATAATCAAAAGGGGTTAAATGCTTTATTTACTGCTGTCTCTTCCGATCAATTTGAATATATATCTGCTTGTGATACTTCTAAGGAAGCTTGGGATATTTTGCAGGTTACTCATGAAGGAACAGATACTGTCAAGGGAGCCAAGCTTCAAATGCACACTTTACAGTTTGAGACACTTATGATGGATGAGAATGAAACTTTTTCTGAATTTTATGCTAAACTTTGTGTAATTGTGAATGCTTGTTCAGGTTTTAGGTGAAAAAATTCCAGAAGATAGAGTTGTGAAAAAGATTTTGAGATCCTTGCCTCAACGGTTTCAACCAAAGTCACGGCTATTGAAGAGATCCGTGACTTGAACACCTTGAAAGTTCAAGAACTCATAGGGTCCATACAAACCTATGAGATGAAACATCTACCTCCTAAAAAGAGCAAAAATGTTGCGTTCAAGGTTGTGAATGAAGAGATGATGGGCATTCAAATGAAGATTGCAGTGATGAGGAATTAACGATTCTCACAAGACGATTCATGAACTTTCTCAAGAATCAGGATCAAAGGAGTGAGATTCAAAAGGTATAAATTCTAAAAATAGGTTTGTTAACTATACTGATGGTGGATCTAAATTTCGCAGGTAAATGAACGAAAGAATCCAGAGAAAAGGTCAAATGTTTCGAATGTGAAGGCTATGGACACATATCTTCGGAATGTGCCAACACCTTAAAGAAACAAAAGGATGGCAATAATAAGGCAATGCATACTACTTTGAGTGATAGTGAATCGGAATGCGAGAATGATGAAAAGACGGTTGCACTTATAACCCACAGTTAGCTTGGATGAATCACGTGAGGATGATGATTGTAAAGGTATAAATATTGAGTTTATCATGAACAAATATGATTATTGTTTGGCTGCATCTCAGAAGCTCAGTAAACAAAATAGTGAGCTCGTCAAAGAAGTTGCTGTGCTGAAGCTGGAAAATTGCAGGATTGCAAACGAGTTTCAATCCCCTGATGCAGATTCCGAAAAGGTAAGTGCAGGTATGAACGAAAATTGATGTTTTTGCAGAAAAAATTGACTGATCAGAATAAATTAATTGCTTCTCTAACTTCTGACAACAAAGCCCTTGAACTTGAACTTAAAAATTCAAAAGAAAGGATTGTTTCTTTAACCATTGGTGCAGAAAAAATTGACAAGATGATTAGCATGGGACGAAGAGATGGTGACAACGAGGCTTGGGATTTGAAACCAAGTAATAAGTCTTCCGCTGTGTCTAAAACAAAGTTTGTCAAATCCACTTCACCTATTGAACCTTCTGCCTCTCATGAAGTCAAGAAATTTATTCCAATTTGTCACTTTTGTGGAACTCGTGGGCACATAAGACCGAGATGCAATAAGCTTCGAAACGAATTTGTTCGTTTCAAATTCTCATGGCATGGGTGGAAAAGTAAGTATCCAACATAAGATTTCACATCTTATGAAAGAGGTAAACCGCTTATATCCAAACTATCTTCTTTTCATTGTTTGCCGTCAACTAAGACAAAGTTAGTTTGGAGGAAAAAGGAAAATCATAATTGTATGTCTTCCTCCACTAATGTTGTGCATGAACCCGTTGCTTTAGAAAGTTTGGATCTTAAATGTATTGCTGCAAACCCTTGGATAATCTTCGATTTGACACTCTTAGAAAGTCTTTAGGTATATGTGCTCTAGATTAATTTGGAGTCTATTGCATGCCAAAGCCTCTTTCATGTTTTATGATATTTCAATTATTTCTGTGTTTATAAATCTGTCCAGCTCGTGCAAGGATTGTTAAGGTGTATCAATCCTGTAACTGTCTGAACGTATTTGTTGATCTTAGATTGGGCTCTGACATTGCACTATATTAAGAAACTTACACTCTCAGCTTCACACAAAGGTTTCCATTGTCTTGGTGCATTATAAACTTCATTAAATGATCTATCCATCTATTTATTTTTATTTTGCACACCACACTCTTTTCCTTGAAGTCCTTTGAATATCTCTTATCATGCACTTGTCTCTCTTTGGATTGCCATAACACTACTGTGCGTAAGTTCTTGATCTGTTTATAAAAATAAATAAAATAAAAAAAAAAAAAAAAGGTGTCAACCACTCATTGCTCAGTAACCGGGCCTCTTGTCTAACCAACGTCGAGGTTCGAGTCAACAGGTGTGATGGTTTGCTACCCTTGCTTATCTTTGGAGCCTTCATGATTCGGATCAGTATTTCCCCAAGGGTGCTTCATCACCCAGTTGCCTCCAGTCATCTGACGTAAGCACACTGATTGACCATCCGTTACATGGATCATGTCGAAAGCTAGATAAAGGAGCCACAAAATTCGTATTAAAAAAAAATATATATAATTGATCTTCTTATACTTACTATGCACTTAGTGTTTTGTGCAATCTTTGGTGGGATTCGTCTTGTGTGGACATATTTTTGTGCTTAATTGAAAAAGAGTTCATTTAACACATTTGCTCCTTGATGGTAGACTCATTTGATGCCTTTTTATCTTTCACCATGACTGTGGTATGCCTCTACTGTTCTCTGTGAGTTTGTGAGTCTCGTGTGCTTTCGTGTGTTTGTCCCTGACATGCTTTGCTTCACATGCGTTCAAGACAGCAAAGGGTTTGTTGCTTCTTTCATTCTTTACTCACAAACTTGACATGTTTATGAATGGAAAATAATTATATTTTCAAGAGAACTTTGGGTCTGCATCTACAGTATGTTTTATGTCTTGATTGTTTTGAGCTTTCTGTCTTGAGTGTATTGCTTTTGTTTTTGTATGTTTTGGTTCTTAACAACTTCTCATTATTCTTTTAGTTCTCTATTTTCCTGTCGCTTAAAAAAAAAAAAAAAAGAATTTCTGTTTGTTTTCAAGATAAAGCCTCTTACATGCTTTATTGGTTATTCTCTATGTCTTTATATGTTGGGAATGCAATCTGATTTTTTATTTTTTATTCCCTCTTATATATGCTCCCTTATGTTCATTCTTTGCCCTTGACAAAAAGGGGGAGAGATTGTGTTGTGGAATTAAGGGGGAGAGATTGTGTATGGAATTAAGGGGGAGTTGTGTTGTAATTCTGCTTTGAATTACATTTCTTCTCCCACATGCTTCACTGGTTTTGTTGTTTCATAATGTGCAGGGATTCAGGGCTTCAAGCTTAGAATAGAATTCATTTGTTAAATCCCATGTAATTTCTTTTGAGTTGTAATAGGTGTTTTTGTCTAGGAAATGCCAAAGGGGGAGATTGTTAGTATGAAATTTGTATTGTCATTTCCTAGACTCTAGCATAGGTTGGGAGTTAGTGTGTGAATATCGTTTACTAGACGTTTTGGCGCAACACATTCAATCTCAGGTTTCCAAAGCATGACTTGACCGATATGAGGAATCTGATTTCAGGTAAATCATGACATAATCATGCATTCATTATAGGATTCCTAGTTTGAGTTATTTTCACTCAAAGTATTTTTATCTTAATCTTATTTTTAATAAGATTAGATTTTATCTCTTGAGATTACTTTCCTAGTTCAACTCTATTTTAATTGAAGTTAAATATTATCTTTTCCTATTGTGACTTTGCACGTTGCTTACCTCTTAGTTAATTTGGTTTAAAGAGCGCGTCATTACTTTGAGTCCAAGGTGAATCAAATCTCTTATTGATGATAGGTTGTGGGGCAATAGGAAGTTTAATATTCGTGGCCTATTGGGTTTCTCTCCCATGAGAGAGAACAAGTCTTGTATAAAAGATCATGTGCCATTCTTTTATTTGTACAGCTTTTGAGATATTTGTTCTGAGCATATAGAATTCTAAGAAAAGCTGTTGTGCGTATATTTGAGATAAATCATCAAGTGTTCAATGTTTACTTGGTGATTTATCAAACACTTTAATCATTCATATTGCATTCATATGCATGTCGGTGACTCATACGGTTGAGGGCACCAAGACCGTGGTGGCGGTTTTCCTCCGGTGAGCTTGAAGCAATCGTGGCCAGTATTGCGTTCAACATAAGGAGTGTCGAAGATCATCCCGTGACAGAAGTTGAGTTACGAAGAAGTCGGTAAACATTATCTAGAATGTGTCTAGGATAAGTGTGTGAGTACTTCTTGTAATCATCGTTCTATAGTGGATTTGTGTTGGACTGAGGAGTCCTGTGGATTTTCCCCAGAGGTGGGTTTTTACCCACGTAAAATAATTCTCTGCGTGTTCTTTTATTTTATGCCCAGCACGTTACAGGATTGATAAGCCATATCAATCCTGCTACCAAAGTTTATTTTTATTTATTTGATTAGAATCTTAAATTGGCCTATTTACCCTCCTCTAGGCATTTTGAGTCATCCTGCAGGTATTGTCAGACTGCTTTGGTTTCATTATTGTATTTATGATTAAAACCTTGTTTCAAAGTTCAAACATCTTTTGGTTTTAATTCATAACTGTACACGGTTTTCTTTTATCTAGTTCAATCATTTGTGTGATTGAGATAGATGAATTTTATGAAACCACAACTCACTTCATAACATCATATCGGGAGCAACTTATGCTTGGTGTTGTTGCGAGGTCGAGAAAAGAATCCGTTGCTGTGAAGTAAAGAAACGGTGCTTTGCTAGAAGGTTAGATAGGTAGCTGCCTATTGTGTGTAGTTGAGCTAATATCCCTATATTTCTTGTACTTTACAATTGAGTGGATTGAATCTTGGGAGTTTCACTAAAACACCCAAAATGGGGGCTGAAATTATAAAAAACCCCACACCCAAAACACTTTATAAACACACACCCAAAACCCATCATTACACACACTCAAAACCCATTTATAAACACACCCAAAAAATATACAATTGTTGATTTTGGGGTTGATTTTGGGTGTTTTCTATGTTTAAATAGTGCTTGGGTTTTTTTATAAATACATGTCTAGGATTGGGTTTATTTATAAATTTGTGTAAAAAAAAAAAAAAAAAAAAAAAAAAAAAAAAAAAAAAAAAAAAAAAAAAAAAAAAAAAAAAAAAAAAAAAAAAAAAAAAAAAAAAAAAAAAAAAAAAAAAAAAAAAAAAAAAAAAAAAAAAAAAAAAAAAAAAAAAAAAAAAAAAAAAAAAAAAAAAAAAAAAAAAAAAAAAAAAAAAAAAAAAAAAAAAAAAAAAAAAAAAAAAAAAAAAAAAAAAAAAAAAAAAAAAAAAAAAAAAAAAAAAAAAAAAAAAAAAAAAAAAAAAAAAAAAAAAAAAAAAAAAAAAAAAAAAAAAAAAAAAAAAAAAAAAAAAAAAAAAAAAAAAAAAAAAAAAAAAAAAAAAAAAAAAAAAAAAAAAAAAAAAAAAAAAAAAAAAAAAAAAAAAAAAAAACTGAGCATGGCACATCATTGTGCTGTGGTGTTTTTGTAAGCCCTGCAAATTCTCCTTCGCATAGAGAAAACGTACCATCAACGTAATCAACAGAGGAGATAAAAGATCAAGAGTCCTGAAAATTCCAAGAAACGGATCTCCTTGTAGAAAGGTGCTACTGCTGAAGCTGCAAAATGCAAACATCATGTGATTAACTTGCATATCAGATGTAAATATAAAATAATTTGGCATGCAAAGCAAGGCAAAAAGTAAATTAAATCAGCAAAAGACAAGGGGCTCTTTACAGATCAGGTCAGTATTAAAATTCCATTACTGATTTCGGTTCATCATCATATCACATTAATCCCCCCAGTTTTAACTCAAAGTTTATCCAAAAGGATCCCAAATTCTGCTTCAAATATTTGTTTTGTAGACAAGTTCATATAATTCCAAACGTATATACTTGTATAAAATACCTATGTCATTTGAATATGAACTGCATGCCATACGACTAATTGCATTGAAAAGCCAATCTAAGGATTTAGCAGAAATAACCAGATTCAAAATTAAATCTTGCTAAACCTCAAATACTATTTCTTTGGTCTATAGGGGATTAACTTCTCGTAACCGGCATTAGTAAAGCAGGGCAATTTCTACTCTTATCAAACTCATGAGATCAGAAGTCACATAAACTGACTACCAACACCTCAACTACAGAGGGTCCTATTTTCAATTAAGAAAAACCTATATTGCCAGAAGACAAAATTATGAATAAAGATGCCTAATATTTTATTAACACAGCAAAGAATCATAATTTCTTATAAACTCTAACTTTGAGCCTGCATTCTATACGAATAATGATGCCTAAATTATAACACAACAAACAACATAATGCATTAAGTCACCAAACATACATGCCATCTAAAAAACAGGAGGAGAAAAAAAAAAGTAAATCTTGCTGCTTGTAACTTAGATTTCTCCTCTCTTTCCTTTCAAAATTGAAACCGAAGCGATAATTGGTCATTTGATTCTGATGATATTGATTGAATGCCATTAACTCCCAATGGTTCACCCTAATTTATGGAAACCAAGGAGTGGCTCCGAGCTGATGAACAATGACCTTCCCAGCACCAACCCTGAAGAAGAGGCTATGTCGTACTTTGATTTGTCCAAGAATGATTCATATCTCATATCACCAACAGGAGGGATGATCTCCATTTCTGAGTATTTGCAGAGATGCCAGACCAGCCAGGAAAAAAGAAATCTGAAAAAAAAAACACGCCATTCAAGTTTTGGAAAAATGGGCGGGCTAGGCGGGTTCTTTTTTTAATTTTATTTTAATAGACAGTATAGCCGCTCGGCTATACGCCTTTAAGGAAAAAAAAATTCCCTGATTTTCCTTTATCGGTTAGAGTAGTTTAGAGCATTATCCATTACTATTAGGCCATTGCCCAAGTCTCTATTATCCCCTTTTGATTTTTTACTTATTACTCATGTAAATAATTTAGCATTTTTCCATTTAATACTTGTATTATACAAGTAAGTACGTATTTTTCAATAATACTTTCGTTTTTCCGTACACTCTTAAAGACTCGGTAAAATACATATTTTTTAAAAAGCAAACATACAATACACATACATATATATTATTCATGTTTAATACACGTGTTTTTTTACAAAATTTTCAATAATACATAAAATTTTCACATATTATTGAATAAAAATATTAAATATTAAAATGTTATATAGTGGCCGAATTTTTCAGTTGTAACTTGCTAAAAAATTTCCGAATAAATCACGTATGTATTTTTCCCGTTCCGTATTTTACCATCTATGAAAGAATGTGAGAGGCAAAGATTATTTCTTGTTGTAACAAAAATGCAGGATGGTGAACTTTCGAAATCTCTTTGCCAACCAGAACAACAATTTCAAACAAAGATGTATGAGTATAGTAGTAAGAGGTGGTAGTATTCTTTATTTATTTATTAATAAATAGAACAAGAGATTAGGCAAGATTAGCTCTTCAGTATCGGTCATTGAATGCACAAACATCCACAACCCTCAAACAAGATACCAAGGCATTCTGGGCCCCCCGCCCATCCCCTTGATCATAATTTTATTAATATAAAAGAAACATATAAAGAAAAAAAGAACAGCAGGGGGCCAAATTGCAGAAAAGAAAGACAGTGACATAAAGTCGCATCAACATGCGGACCCAAGAAGGCAAAACTCTGAAAGAGTAAACAAAAAAAGACTAGGTAAGACGGTAATTGGGCATGCCCAGCTAGTCCCAATGACGAAGACAAAATAAATGAAGGTGCAGTGTCCTACCATGTGAAACCAGAGCCCTGAACACCGTGATTTGCCAAAGCGTCAACTCTATGATTACCCTCACGAAATATATGAGAAATCTTAAACTTAAACTCCAATTCCTTGACTTTTCCCACTAATGCCTTCTTCAACTTAAACTCCAATTCCTTGACTTTCCCATAATCGAAAATATCATTTTGATATTCCGCTCGAAGCTCAAGCCTTAACTCATCAATGCACAACTGCGAATTTTTCCACTCTCGTCGCTTCCAATCCAGCAAACCTCTCCTAACCCAAGTTAATTTCTGCATGACATCTGATAGTTACCCAGACTGCACCCTCGCCTTACCCAACGCTCAAACACCACTGCCCTACAACCTCATGCCTCCCCCATCGCGGATCATATGCAAAATGCCCTTTCTTCCTCCTCTTGGTCTCATGTGTATCGAGACAAAACATAACATGATAAGACCCTTCAACCACCCAATGGAAATTTTTTGCGGTGGGCTAAAATCGTAGCCAATTATCATCGGCAAACCCCCTGTCCAGCCGTTCTTGTATTCCTTCCTCTTGTCGTCTATTACGCCAAGTAAATGGATATCCAACAAAACCTAAATCAGACAAATCCGTCACAAATGACTGGAAATCCAACATACTCCTTTCAGACCGAGAGTTTCCTCCTTGCTTCTCGGCTCTATCTAAAAAATCATTAAAATCCTCCATTACCATAACAGCCTCCTGACATGTAAGAATTCGAGTTCGTAAAGCCTGCCATTGGTTCCTCCTGATTCGGTCATCTGTACTAGCATATACACCAAAAAATCTCCAAACACACCCCTTCTCAACATCCTTAATCCCAACCTCAATAAAAATAAAAATAAATCTGCATATTTAACAAGAGACACATGTTGAACTTCCTTCCAAAAAACACATAGACCCCCACTTAAGCCATGTACCTCCATCGCATGCATAAATGGCATTCCCAGTACCCTCTTTAGAAAAAACATAGCGACTACTCCTAGTTTTAGTTTCTAGCAACATCACCATGTCGGGAGTGTGGAGCTTTACTTTCTCCATAAGGCTAGAAACTGTCAGATTACCCCCAATACCCTGACAATTCTATATGAGGATCCTCATAACTCTCGCCCAGACCGGTCTGCGTAGGTTTATGCCTCTTGCAGCAGATCAACTGTTAACATTTGATGTCTTCGAGCCTTCTTTCCCCTCCCATATGTCAGAGAACACAGCTCAAGAGTTGGCGGGATTCTCTCCTCTCCCGAACAACCATCATTGTCTTCACCACCTCTGTTCGTCTTTCTGTACTCGTGACGTTGCATCGTCCCCTCAATTATCAGCCCAAGATTAAAAGAGTCCGAGCTTTGAGTTAACAGACCCAAACCAATTCTCAACCCCTGCCCCTGTGCAAACAAACCATCATCCTATGGTGCTTTTTCGAACTGAGTAACACCAAAATTTAAGTCAATCAGGTTCCCATCCTCCTCAGATACCCATACCCTGTCTGAGGGATCCCCACCCTCCTCCTCTTGCATATACTGATTTGTAGAAGAATCCCCCTGTGTAGGCCCCGCATTCCTTCCATGTGGCCCTAACAGACCTACTTCCCAGGCTTCTTCTCGTATACGTCGTTCACGCTCTTGTTCTTCTCGTCAGAGACGTATGCTCTCCGTTAAAGAATGCGAATGAGAAGCCTATTTGTTAGGGAAGGTAGCAGTGTGTCTTCCATCTCCACCCTCTAGACATATATGCACCACCCACATCCCGCCAGCACCCTACCTGTTGCAGATGTCGAGGCTCTCCCAAGCGACTAGAGCGCTCATGACGCCATCTACCCCCTGAGCTTGTACTATTATTCCCCTGTGAAACATTACGTTCCCCAAAGCGTAATCGCCAGCCACTCAAATCCTCCACCGCCTCAAGCCCGGAAAAATTGTGCAAAACCTCCACCTTGCTCTCTGTGAGGTCTTGATCAGCCTCTAATTTTTCAATATAGATACGGCTTGGATGTCCCAAATGCCCACAGACAAAACAGTACTCTGGTAGAAATTCATACTGAAAATTAACCCACTTAGCTCCATCATCAGGAAATTGGACAAAAGCACCTCTTATCAAAGGTTGATCCACGTATAATTAAGTACGAACTTGTAAGAAGCGTCCCATACATTCCACACCATCAGCCTGATCAACCTCCAAAACCTTCCCTACAAGAGATCCAATTTTCTGTGCCACCATTGTAGTCATATTAAAAGGAAGGATGCCATGCAATTGGATCCAATATGTACTGTGATGGAATTCCACCTCTCTGGTATCAAGTCCTGCACGCGCATCAACCAAAACCACCAAACTATCACGAAAAGTCCAAGGTTCCATATCCGGTAACTTATCCTTCTTATTGCAAAACCTCACCAAGAAAGGGCGATTCCCTATCTCCTTAATAGATACATCGTCTAGTCCTTTCCATAACCTTGAAAATATGCCAATGAAACCATCCCGGTTTACAGCTTTGATAGTAAGAACCAGAGCCACCAAAGTCAACTGTGAACCCTTCCACAAGTCCCCACATTCCTCTTCCTCAATTTGGATTCCCTTTCCTTCTCAGAGAGACAAAGATTCATCCCGAAGCGGTTTTCCAGTTCCTCCATCGAGCTTGCTTTGTCGAGATCTTGTGACCCACGCAAACGTACGTTAAACGAAGGTGTAGACGCTGCAAACCTTAGCCGTCACTCAGGATAGAAAAACCCTAACCTTTCTCTCCTTGTGAGAGACTTTTTTACTAAAAGTTTTCATTGCCTTTTTCACTCATCAATTTGACATCAAAAGACATGGAATGCATTCCAGGTACCAAAACTCAGTATTTGGGACCACCTTTAATTACTTTAATGACTTTAATTAGTAGTTATGTATTTTAATTCTTAATTACCTAATGAATACTTAGTATTTAAATATTTTATCAAAGAAAATTTTTAAAAAATTAATTACTATTTATGAAGTAATATAATTTGTGAAGTTGATTAAAATATTTAATACTAATTATTCACTAAAGAAATAATAATTAAAACATGATTACTAATGAAAGTAATTAAATAAGGCTAAGATATGACTTAATTAATAAAAATAAAGTTTTTATATAAAAAATTCTATTGACCTAAATATACTAAGTTCATATTTATTTTTAAAAGAAATGTAAGGATTGTAATTGTTGCTTTGTTTGGCTCTTCTCTTTTTTGGAACAAAACCATTGTAATCTCCTTAGATATTTGAGATAGTCTCTAGGTTAGATTAAAGTGGTTGCTGATTTCCAAAGATCTCTTTGGTGAAGAACAGGTAAGAACCTTGTGCATACATTCATATGGATTGATACAACTTTAAAATCATTTTATGTTTTCATTTTGTATCAATCCTCTATATCTGTTTTAATCCGTCCATACAGAAATCAATTAATAGTTTATTGCAAATATCTTTCCTGCACTTGATTTCTGAAAAAGATAAAATAGGATTATCCTCTGCCTCTTGCACTCTTATCAAGTCAATCCTTTTTGAAACCAAGTTCCTGACTGAATCTGTTTATTATATTGATCTCCACTGTCTTAAAACAGTGGTTCAGTTCTCTGCAGAAAGGCAACTGAGTTTTATGAAGAGGAAGCAATATTAAGCATTTGGCATCACGTTTTAAACTCAGCCTTTACTATGCTTCCATGTTTATGTTTTTGAAAGATCATCATATCAGTTTTTAAACATTCAAAAACTTACTTCAGTCATCTTGAAGTCTTGAGAGTTATGAGTATGATTGCATACACATAAAACTTACTCCAAGTTTATTCTCACTTTGATTAAATGACTGCTTTGGTTTCATTATTGTATTTATGATTAAAACCTTGTTTCAAAGTTCAAACATCTTTTGGTTTTAATTCATAACTGTACACGGTTTCTTTTATCTAGTTCAATCATTTGTATGATTGAGATAGATGAATTTTATGAAACCACAACTCACTTCATAACATCATATCGGGAGCAACTTATGCTTGGTGCTGTTGCGAGGTCGAGAAAAGAATCCGTTGCTGTGAAGTAAAGAAATGGTGCTTTGCTAGAAGGTTAGATAGTTAGCTGCCTATTGTGTGTAGTTGAGCTAATATCCCTATATTTCTTCTTGTTTGTGCCTAATAAATCACGGTCATGAATTGATTGAAGGGACTTCCCTTCGGCCCTGGCGCCTATCGTTTCGTCGGGCATTTCGCCTTCCTAAGAGCAGAAGGAAAGCTGCAAAGGCAGAATCCCCTCGGCCTCGCGACCGCAGTTTTGAAGGCCGAGGCCGAAGGCCGCAAAAGTCACGGTCTGAAAAAGCCATGGTTGGAACGCCACGTGGCCTCAGGGCCCCACGCTCCATTTAATGAAGTAATGCCTCTGACTTCGCAGCAAAACCCAATAGTCACAAGAAGCATTCAATGCACGAGGGAAGTGACTGAAGTCAGGATTTGGTGATGGGAATCAGGGTAGTTAGGCGCAGACATTCTCACAAGTAATCTTACGACTTAGGGTCAGGTCACCAACCACCAGACCTGGGCATTAAATGCGTTCCCACGGCCAAGGGGGCAGAACCCACGATCAGGGCGGTGGCCAAGATTTGCCGAGATTTATGGAGGTCATACCACCATGCTTCTCAACCCCTAGACCACCATGCTTCACGATCCCAAATGCCGATTTGACTACCCATTTGCCCCCGGTCAGGGTCCACCACGCAGGTCTTGTCAACCTCGAATGTCCCTCCAGGACTCCTATAAATACTAAGCTCAGGACTACATTCAAAGGGTTCAAACACCAAAACCAAAAGCCTCCTACGGAGCAAATTATATTTTCCTGTAATGCACTTTCAATACCTTTATTTGCTTTTTTAGGAGTAGTGGTAGACTGTAAGAAAAATCCATTCATCAATATATCATACGACCCTTGATTTTCAAGGTGCCGGAGCACCATCTCTGTTATCGCCTCACTCACCCCATATATCATACGACCGTCGCTCTTTGAGCAACGCGCCGAAGCACCGCCTAAAACCCGCCACCAACACCACCACTAAACGGCCTTGTAGCTCAGGCCGTGAACCTGACGGCCGAGATTCGTTCCTCACTCGGCCACGATCGTTTGATTGGAAGTCAAACGCAAAACAGGCGCAACATTTAAACCATCTTCTAACCCGAACCTCATCATCATCTCGACGCACGGTAGACCGTGCTGGCACGCCCGCGCACAACCGTACCGCATCCAAAAGGAGGACGTCACGTGTTGACGCACATCCCCTCGACCCGGAACACCAAGCCGCGAGATTTGCGACGGACCAACACTTGTACTTTACAATTGAGTGGATTGAATCTTTTCCTGGCTTGGTCCCCCAGTTTTTCCCTTATGGGTTTCTGGGTTAACAAATACTGTGTCATTTACATTATTGAATTTACCTTGGTTACTTGATCACCACAAGCAGTATTTGTGTTGAATGTCATTTGTCACTAAGTAATTTTTAAATTGGTGAGCTTTTATCATATAGCCTACTTCACCCCCTCGTAGGTTTTATAAGAGCTAAGCTCCTGTTTTACAAGAAACCTCTTCCGACGAAATTTCGTCGGGAGAGGTCTAATCCGGCAAATATAAATTCATATTTGTATGGTTGGTGCAATGTGGAAATATCTTTAAAGCATAGAATAATTCAAAAGTATAGCAGCGCGGCAATATATTACGAATAGAATATTTCAATCGTAAAGCTGCACGGCTGTACTATATAAATAGAAATTTTCATCCATATAGTGCGGATATACCTATAAATAAAAAATTTCAAACGTATAGCCGCGCGGCTATACCGATAAGTATCATAATGTGCTTTTTCTCCTTTTTATTTACTTTAATTAGTAGTTATGTTTTAATTAATATTTACCTAGTGAATAATTAGTATTTAAATATTTTATCAAAGATAAAAATTTAAAAAAATTTATTGTTTATTAAGTAATATAATTTGTAAAGTAAATTAAAATAATCAGTTCTAATTATTCACTAAAGAAATAATAATTAAAACATGATTATTAATGAAAGTAATTAAATAAGGCTAAGATATGATTTAATTAATAAAAAGAAAGTTGAAAATATATATATATATATATATTGACCTAAAGATACAAAGTATATTATTTCTATTAAAAAGAAACCTCTTATGAAGAAATTTTGTTGGGAGAGGTCTAATCCGGAAAAATAAAAATTTATATTTTTTTTTGTTGGCGCAATGTGGAAATATCTTTAAAGTATAGAATATTTCAACAGTGTGCGCGGCGATAGTTTATAAATAGAAATTTTCAACAGTATACCCACCGGGCTATACTCCCTAAATATAATTTTCACAAGTATAGCCGCCCGGCTATATCCTGTAAATAGAAATTTCGAACGTATGGCCGCCCGGCTATACGCTGCAAATAGAATATTTCAACAGTATAGGGGTATTGAAGAATATTTCAATAGTATAGCCGATCGGCTATAATATATAAATGGAAAATTTTAAATGTATAGCCGGTCGGCTATACTCTCTAAATAGAATTTTTAAAACTTATATTTTATCTGACAAAATCAATGTTTAACTACAAAGACATAATAAACCTTCACTCCATCATACCATCTTGATTACTAAATTATTCAATTATAAAATTACTATGCTATTCCAAATATGATTCATTCCACCCACTCCCAAGCTCATTCACGTTTGTTTAAATTAACCCAAAGATTATTAAGCAAATCCTAAACTGAAACAACCTGTTCATATACTTGAAGAAGTGTTGGCACTGCACTAACCCAAGAGAAGATGAAATCCATTCCCTAAGGGTTCGAGCATTCAACATAGTTTCAGCTGTTGTAAAGGTTTTCGAAACTACCACAACTGCAAATATCAAAAGAATATGAATGAACGATAAGAAACCCCACAGAGCTTAGATTACAAAAGTCAATATGTAGTGATATAAATAAACTTAATACTTACTGAGGGTAGTTTCTGGGTTTAACCTTGCAATACTTCTGGCAACATCAATAGGATCAACGTTTGCAAGACTGCACACAGGAGAAAACAAATTATTAGAATACCCTTAGCTTAAACCAGAATCATCCATCCTCTGACTAGAACCAAATATTTATACAGAGAATGCATGTAACATAGTCCCTGAATATGGGCTATGTTTCTTCAAGCACCACAACTACAATCAACACACAGAATACAGATTGCTTTAAAAAATAAACACAAAGAAAATTTGAAAGCATAAGCAAAAGCATGCCATGTCCTAAAATCCTATGTGCTGTATCAAATACAAAATGCTTCTCTACATGTCTTTCACAGATGAATGCATACCTTCTTCAAGAACTATGCCACTGAAATAAACTCATGAACACAGACAATCTCATTGTTCCAATCAGGTAGGTCCTAAAATGAAGGAGCTAAAAGAAAATATTAAAGTTCGAACTTACGCCCTCATCTTGGAAGGACTTGATCCATCAGCACCACCAATAATTGAAATGCTATTGATAAAGTAACGACATCAGCGATAACTTGGTCTTAGAATGGTAGGCTTTAATAAAATTTCTCAAGATGCATCACAAGTATTTCAGAAATAAGTGCAGCTATGTTTAACATCAGATATAGCAGATGAGCACAAGAACAAAAGATAATTATAAATGACACACAAATCAAGTGTTATATTTGTTTTAGGTGAACCTGGAGATGCTACTAAGGTTGAATCCCATACTCAAACTGATACAGATCGGACTATGGAGATCTAACAAGACATGTTAGCATTGAAATTGAATGAAAATATGGAAAAATGGGTAAGTACTCAACCAATGGATCTCCCTGTCCCCATCCATTTCATGTTCATGCATTCTTTAACTCCTGTCGTGAAGATAACACATAAAACAACAAAAGTGGATACTCACGGAGTGTAAACAAGTAGCTCAGGATCACCCTCATTGCTCTCCAAGTGTTCCTGTTGCAGAAAGTAGGATCAGATGAGGCTTCATATGCCTAGTAATTGAAACATAAATTAAAACCAAAATATATGCATGGTAAACCTGAACTGAATCGCAACCAATGATTCAGCAATTTATTGGCCGAAGATGGGGGTTCTTCCTCATCTACAGCAGCTGTATTATCTTGCATCTCTCTGGGAGTTTTTGATTTACTCTTTTTGCCCATCCTATGGATCCAAAAGCTGCATTTCACCCAGATTACATTACGGAGAATTGACAAAAATGTATTTGCAGAGATGCAAGACCCGCCAGGAAAAAAGAAATCAGAAAAAAAAAAACGCCATTCAAGTTTTTGAAAAATCGGCCGCCTAGGAGGGCTAGGCGGGTTTTTTTTCATTTTTTTAATATTATTTATATTATTATTATTTTATAAATAAACAGTATAGCCGAACGGCTATACTATTTATTTTCTCTGAAGGTGATGCTATTTTGGTGTTAGCATCAAATGGCATTCATTTTCTCTGGAAATGGCCACAGGGACCTTAATTCTAGTTGAGTGGTAAATAATGACATGGTTTATAATTCTTTCCTATTAGATTTCTCCTCTCTTTCCTTTCGAAATTGAAATCGGAGCGATAGTTGGTCGTTTGATTATGATGATATTGATTGAATGTAGGCAACTGCCAAGGTTCACCCTAATTTATGGAAACCAAGGAGGTTAGAGCTGATGAACAATGACCTTCCCAGCACCAACCCTGAAGACTCTATGTCCTGCTTTGATTTGTCCAAGAATGATTCATATCTCATGTCAGCAACAGGAGGGATGCTCTCCGTTTTTGACATGACAACATTTAAGGTAAACCCAACACAAATAGTATTCTTGAAATTTTCTTTTACCAGCCAAAACTTCCCAAATCTTGTTTGTCAATATGCTTAGGTTCTGTTTGCAAATTTCTCATGATCTAACTCATTGTACTCATCAAAATCTGTTGCGTAAAAACGCCGACGATGAAGAAAGTCATGCCACCGCCACCTGCGGCAACATGTCTTGCTTTTCACCCCTGAGATGACAGTATAGTTGCTATTGGCATGAACAATTCCACCATTGTAATATACAATCTCCACTCAGACGAGGTAGTTTGTTTGTTCTTGTAAAAAAAAAAAAAAAAAAAAAAAAAAAAAAAATAAATCATTGACGTTGTGATGAAGCAAACCCGAAAAGTTAGGCATTGTCTTCATTTATATATTTTGCAGGTTACAAGGAAGCTTGAGGGTCACACCAAAAGAGTCACCCTTGCCTTCTCAAACACTCTGAATGTACTAGTTTATTCTGGTGCTGATGCATATTGGAAACTACAATATTACTTTCAGACAAGGCGTCTACTCTAATGTGACTTCTGTTATTTAACGATCGATGTCGTTTCGGCCCTGCAGATTTTTGTGTGGGGTGCTGCTGGGTGGGAAAAATAGAGAAGCAAATTGTTGCAGATTCCAGATGGGAAGGAGTTGAGATCATTGTCAGATACTTACATCCAAATTCACCAGAACGAGCTGCACCCCCTTGCCATAAACAAGACTCACCTTGCAGTGTATGAAGTGAAAGAACTAGCATGTGTTTAGGGAGCGGGGAGGCTACCCCATACCAAGGCCTCTTTGAGGAACTATTTGGCTTTTTCACTCCACTTTGGGATTAAAAACACAAGGCACCCAAAAAGGGATGAGGCCACTCAATGATTCACCATGATTTATTTTTTTATTTTTTTATTTTTTTCATATAAACATGTAGTCACCACCCCTTCACAAGTATATGATACTAACCTACAGGAAGAACCATCAATGGATGAATACAGAATGCATAAAGATTTATCTATTGCTTAACCAAACCAGAAATAAATAGTCAGAATTTGAGATTGGGGCCTAAAAACCGAACCTTGTTATTGGCAAGACCGCAGAAACTCCATGATAGGATAGCTTCATCATTTCCTTCCACTGAAGACAGACACCAAGTCAGCAAATGGAATCAGATGAATTAAGAGTCTAATGATCTCTTCTTCTATGGACCTGACTTGTGCTTGCTTCGGCTTCCCAATCTCAATCTCAAGCTTAAATTTGCAGCTAAACTTTTTCAATTTCGGTTCTCAGACTTTCAGTCAGTCTCTGTTTTCGAAAAATCGGCCTAGGCGGGCGGCTAGGCGGCTAGGCGGGCGCTAGGCGGCTGGGCTGGCCTCCTAGGCGGGTTGGGTCTTTTTTCGGGGCCGAACAAGGAGGACGAAGCAGCCGAAACCGAAGAAAACAAATCGAAACTTGGGTTGACAGAGAAGCGAAATGGCTTCTGCAAGCTCCGTCATCTGCTACTGCAACCTTCGTGTTCGTTTCGAATATATTTAAAGGGTATGGCCGCCCGGCTATACTCTTAAAATATTTGAATATATTAATATTTAGGCTATACTTTTAAAATATCCAAATGTATTTAGAAAGTAAAGCCGGGCGGCCATACGTTTTAAATATACAATTCTGTCATATCATTTTTGGGCACCAACTTCACAATTGATAATGCCTCACGCCCATAAAAATTCTTGCAATGTGTTTGTATAATTGCAAGTATTTTCGCCAAATTTAAGCATGAACCCAATGATAACACCTCCAAAGTTTTCCACTTGCCAATCGGCTCTAGGTTCCTATGTTTGCTGTCCAATAAATTTACTGGTAAACTCGAAGTCACAAGGCCAGAACACCTGCACACATTCCACCGATCGATGTCGTTTTGGCCCTGCAGATTTTTGTGTGGGGTGCTGCTGGGTGGGAAAAACAGAGACGCAAATTGTTCCAGATTCCAGATGGGAAGGAGTTGAGATCATTGTCAGATACTTACATCCAAATTCACCAGAATGAGCTGCACCCCCTTGCCATAAACAAGACTCGCCTTGCAGTGTATGAAGTGAAAGAACTAGCATTTGTTTAGGGAGAAGGGAGGCTACCCCATACCAATTTGGCTTTTTAACTCTTCACTTCGGGATTAAAAACACAAGGCACCCAAAAAGGGATCACGCCACTTCACCATGATTTCATTTTTTTTTTTTTTTTTTTTTTTTTTTTATATATACATGTAGTCACCATACAAATTGTGTATCAATTTTTACTTTGCCTTGCATTGCAAATGCTCAAAAAGAGCCTGCATAATTTACAATTGATTTCAAGAAAGATAAGGTTCTTTTTGAAAATTCTGCAAGCTAAGTATTCTTCAAGTGGTCGCACTATCTCTAGGAAGTTTTCCCTTAGGAATGATCGTCCGGTAGTTGTGACATCATAAATGTAAAACAGAGATGAGAGGCCTGCCACCTTTTTGGCTTTGACCTGCAATCATCTCCTGATTCACTTTTATATGTGTTGTTGCATAAGGAACCTGTTGTGTCAAACTTTTCACACGGGCACTCTACCATCCTCGCCAAAACAAAACTGAGCATGGCACATCATTGTGCTGTGGTGTTTTTGTACGCCCTGCAAATTCTCCTTCGCATAGAGAAAACGAACCATCAGCGTAATCAACAGAGGAGATAAAAGATCAAGAGTCCTGAGAATTCCAAGAAACGGATCTCCTTGTAGAAAGGTGCTACTGCTGAAGCTGCAAAATGCAAACATCATGTGATTAACTCTTGCATATCAGATGTAAATATATCAAATAATTTGGCATGCAAAGCAAGGCAAAAAGTAAATTAAATCAACAAAAGACAAGGTCCTGGATGCAGCTGACAAAACATTAGCTTATTTGTTTTGGTTGTCACTGTTTTCGAAAAATCGGCCTAGGCGGGCGGCTAGGCGGCTGGGCGGGCCTCCTAGGCTGGTTGGGCCTTTTTTCGGGGCCGAACAAGGAGGACGAAGCAGCCGAAACCGAAGAAAACAAATCGAAGCTTGAGTTGATAGAGAAATGAAATGGCTTCTGCAAGCTCCGTCATCCGCTAGTGCAAGCTTCGTGTTCGTTTCGAATATATTTAAAGAATATAGCCAGGCGGCTATACGCTTAAAATATTCGAATATATATTTAAAACATCCAAGTGTATTTAGAAAGTAAAGCCGTGCGGCTATACATTTTAAATATACAATTTTGTCATATCATTTTTGGGCACCAACTTCACAATTGACAATGCCTCACGCCCATGAACAGAGCCTTTGGACTAATCTAAACCATAAAAATTCTTGCAATGTGTTTGTATAATTGCAAGTATTTTCTCCAGATTTCTCCACTTGTCAATCAGCTCTAGGTTCGTGTGTTTGCTGTCCAATAAATTTACTGGTAAACTCGAAGTCACACTCACAAGGCCAGAACACCTGCACACATTCCACCGATCGATGTCGTTTTGGCCCAGCATATTTTTGTGTGGGGTGCTGCCGGGTGGGAAAAACAGAGAAGCAAATTGTTGCAGATTCCAGATGGGAAGGAGTTGAGATCATTGTCAGATACTTACATCCAAATTCACAGAATGAGTTGCACCTCCTTGCCATAAACAAGACTCACCTTGCAGGTTATGAAGTGAAAGAACTAGCATGTGTTTAGGGAGAGGGGAGGCTACCCCATACCAAGTCCTCTTTGAGGAACTATTTGGCTTTTTAAATCTTCACTTTGGGATTAAAAACACAAGGCACCCAAAAAGGGATCAGGCCACCCAATGATTCAACATGATATATATATATATATATATATATATTCATATAAAGATGTAGTCACCACCCCTTCGCAAGTATATGATACTAACCTATACAAATTGTGTATCAATTTTTACTTTGCCTTGCATTGCAAATGCTCAAAAAGAGCCTGCATATTTTACAATTGATTTCAAGAAAGATAGGGTTCTTTTTGAAAATTCTGCAAGCTAAGTATTCTTCAAGTGGTCACACTATCTCTAGGAGGTTTTCCCTAAGGAATGACCCTACGGTAGTTGCGACCTCATAAATGTAAAACAGAGATGAGCGGCCTGTCATACCAATCTAAAATCTTGAAATAGTCAATGCACAGATTCCATCTTGCAGAAGTTACACAAAAGAAAATTTCAGTTGGTCCACAATACTTGACATCACAATCAGCTAAGCTGAATTCAACTACTTTAAGTTGGCTGCATTAACCTCGCTCGGCCTTTCCATTCTCTACGGAAGCTCATGTTATGTTCAGTCACACGTCATCTATCTTTAGAGAAGGTCAAATATCAATTCATATCACTGTGATTATACTAATTTTTTGATTCCGGCACGGCCCAACCTTTCGTGCTTTGCCGAGCACGGCCCACTAATATTCGTGCTCATGCCGTGTTGTGCCCCACTAATTCAGCAAAACTTATGAATTTAGCAAATAAAGAACCTGAAGCCAAAAACTTGTGTGTAATATGAAGAGCCTGCTCAAACCGCTGAATTTGAATCCATTGTTCTGTAACAATGTCAGCCATCTGAAAGCAAAGAGAAAGAAGCCAATGGCAAAATAAACCCCACACTAACAACATCACACACTCATAGCCATAGACCAAAGATGGATTGAGTACATCAGTGCATGACCTTTTGAGCCTGAGAGGCAACCGTTTCGAGTCTATCCTCAGCATCTTGTGCTTTAGACTCTAAAACATGAAGATCGAAGTTGTACTTTCTTGATGCAGCCCACAGAAGCTGTTATTATTTGAAAGGATTTTAAATTTTAAAACGTTTTATTTTCTATTTTAATTTTTGGCTGTTTCTTTTATATATTATAGAGTTACAAATTGTTTAATTTTCAGTTTTTATTTTCTATTCATTGCCACCAACTTTTCTGGTTAAATGTGTCTGGTGGTTACGAGTTTTGGATGCCTATAAAAGGCCTCTCCTCCTTCACATTTCAATACACTACAATCAGATTTCTCTATTCTCATACTTTCATATATTCCATACTTTCTATATTATTTTTGGGCAACGGTTCTGTGGCTTGGAGTTTTCTATCCGACTGTGAACGTGCTCATAGCGGATCTTAAGCCTGTGTATTGGGGTCGTATCTTGGAGTCTTGTAGACCGTCATTACCTGCACGTAGGGAGGCTACAAAGGCTTTAGGACAGCGTCTTTGACGTGCTTTCACTATACCAGGCTTGCTTTCTTAATCTTGTCTTTTATTTATTTGTTTATTTGTCTCTTTATTTTACTTTACTGTTTAATCTTTATTTTATATATTATTTATATATACCAGTTTTGTATAGGAAAAAAAAGAAGAAACAAACCACACTTTTTAATAACAATCTAAAGCCTTTGTATGTTAAAATTTATTCTTACTGTATTTGTTGTTGCTATAAATCTCTCCAAATAGTAAATACTCTTTGTCTTCATTAGCTGCGTTTTCCTATTATTGCTTGTCTATAAGTTTTTCAAAACTACAGCTTTAAAGTCCAAAGTTAAGGTTTTTCATTTATAAAAATATATATAAAAATAAAATATAAAAAAAAATATAAAAAAATAAAAATAAAAAAGTTATTATTAAAAACCTTAAGTACCACTGTTGGAAAGTTTTAGTTACTCGTTTCAGTTTTGCTTGTGTTTTAATTGCTCACACATTTTGTTTACCAACTTCAAACAAATTTTAAAATCTTAAAAAAATTAGTTTTAAAAGTCAATTAAGTACATCAGATTCTGTAACCGTTAGATATTTTGTCATAAACTTGGCACGTTTGTTTCTTTAAGTTTGTCTACCAATTGTTTGATTATTATTCAATCTTAATTTCTATTACATTTAAATTTCAGATTTTATTGCTTCATTATTGTTCATTGGAATTGAGATGGATAGTGTAGAAACCAATAGTGTTAAACCAGGAAAATTTAATGGGACAAATTTTAAGAGGTGGCAAAGACAACTTAAATATTGGTTAACTGTTTTAGGGTTAGTTTCTGCTCTAGAAGATCAAACCACACCTGATAAAACTACTGAAACCACTTCTAAAACTAAGGAGAAGATGACAAAAGAAGAATTAGAATATCATTGTCATAATAGAATCCTTAGTGCTCTCTCTGATGATCTGTATGATGTTTATCAAGATACAAAAAATGCAAAAACTTTGTGGGATGAATTAGAAGCTGAATATGGGATAGAAGATGCGGGAATAGATCGTTTCACAATCTCAAACTTTAATAACTATTTGATGGTTGAGAATAAAACTGTAAGTGAACAAATTCATGAGTACCAAGATTTTTTAAGGAAAATAGAACTTAAGGGTACTAAGTTTAGTGAAGAGTTTAAAGTCTCTTGTCTCATAGATAAATTACCCCAAGTTGGTCAAACTTTGCAAAAACCCTTAGGCACAAACAAGGAGATTTAACCTTAACCCAAGTTTTAAACTCCCTTAGGATTGAAGAGAAACATAGATCAAGTAACAAGCCTAAGGAAGAAAAGACAAACGTGAACCTAGTGGAAAGTTCAAACAATAGGAATCGTTTCCAATCCAGAAGGAAATCTTTCAAGAGGACAAACAGAAATAGTCAACCCAACCATAATCAATTCAACCGAAACCAAAATCGACAGCACAATAGACCCCATAACAATTCCAATGGCAATAGGGATCAACCATGCTTCGTTTGTGGAAGAACAAATCATTGGGCCAAAGACTGTCATTACAAGAAGACCGAGCCCTACAAGCCCAAGCCTAAGTGGAACAAAGGACAAAGTGGTCCTAAAGCCCAAGTGAATGTGTTGGTGGATCAAGATGATCAAGATGAACCCAATCTAAGGTATAGTTTTAAGCCTTTAGTTAATATCGCATATTTAAGTAATAGTGATTGGTGGTTAGATTCTGGGGCAAACGTACATGTGTGTTTTGACAAACGATTTTTCAAAAATTACCAGAACTCAAGTGGAGGAAGTGTAACCCTAGGAAACGACACCGTCGCACAAGTACGTGGAATAGGAGAAGTGGAATTGAAGATGACATCTGGGAAGATTCTAACTCTCAAGGATGTGCGACATGTTCTTGAAGTGAGGAGAAACCTTATTAGTGGATCGTCCTTAGTAAAACAAGGATACAAAATTGTAATGGAGTCGAATAGGATTGTTATTACTAGAATGATGTCTTTATTGGAAAAGGATATGTTTGTGATGGATTATTCAAAATAAATGTAGTTTTTGAAGATAATAAAATTTCTCCTCAAGTTTTTAATGTTGAGTCTTGTAATGTATGGCATGGAAGGTTAGGACATGTAAGTTTGAGCAAAATCAAAACGTTAATGGATCTTGAGCTAATCCCTAAGTCTAACGTAGACCTTAAGCATAAATGTGAAGTGTGTGTTCAAGCCAAACAAACTAGGAATTCTTTCAAACCTGTAGAGAGAAACACCCAAATCTTAAAGCTCATACATAGTGATGTGTGTGATTCAAATAGGTCTCCTACTAGAGGTGGAAACAAATACTTTGTGACATTTATTGATGACTTCTCTAGGTATTGCCATATTTATCTTATTAAGACAAAAGATGAGGTGTTTAATAAACTCAAGATTTATAAAAGTGAGGTAGAAAACCAATTGGAGAAAAAGATTAAAAGACTTAGATCTGATAGAGGTGGAGAGTATACCTCAAATGAGCTTGGAGTGTTTTGTGAAGAACATGGAATTATACATGAAGTTACTCCACCATATTCACCCCAATCTAATGGAGTGGCTGAAAGGAAAATAGAACCCTGATGGATATGGTAAATTCTATGCTTCTTAGTAGTGGACTACCTGAGAATTTGTGGGGGGAAGCAATGTTAACTGCTTGTTTCATACTTAATAGGATAACTTTGAAGGATAATGAGAAAACTCCTTATGAGTTATGGAAAGGAAGATCACCTAATCTTAGAATCCTAAAAGTGTGGGGGTGTTTAGCTAAGGTACTCATACCCGATCCTAAGAGAAAGAAAATAGGTTCTAAGACTATAGACGCAGTTTTCCTCGGTTATGCGAAAAATAGTAGTGCCAATAGATTCCTGGTGATTAACTCTGAAGTAAAGGAGGTTGCAAACAACACAGTTATGGAAGCAAGAGATGCTACATTCTTTGAAGATATTTTCCCGTACAAGACAAGAATTTCTAAGGAAGTACAAATAAGAGAGAAGTCTTCTAGCTCAACTACGATCGAAAATTTAGAATCTCAAGAACTTAGAAGAAGCAAAAGAGCGAGAGTTGAGAAGAACTTTGGAGATGATTTTTATACCTTTCTAGTAGAAGGAGATCCCACAACTTATAAGGAAGCCATTATGTCTGTAGATGCACCATTCTGGAAAGAGGCTATAAATGATGAGTTTCAATCTATAATTCAAATAACACATGGATGTTAACAGATTTGCCTGCTGGAAATAAAGCGATAGGGTGCAAGTGGGTGTTTAGGAAAAAGTTGAAACCAGATGGAAGTATTGATAAGTACAAAGCGAGATTAGTAGCTAAGGGTTTTACACAAAAGAAAGGGATAGATTATTTTGATACTTACTCACCTGTTTCTAGGATTACCACCATAAGGACTTTGATAGCTTTAGCATCTGTGCATAATTTAGTGATTCATCAAATGGATGTGAAGACGGCATTTTTTAAATGGAGACTTAGATGAAGAGATCTATATGGAGCAACCAGAAGGATTCATAGTTAAGGGCCAAGAACACAAGGTGTGCAAGTTGGTTAAATCTTTATATGGCCTAAAGCAAGCTCCTAAGCAATGGCATGAGAAATTTGACAAGGTGATTCTAGATTATGATTTTAAGTTTAATGGTCATGATAAATGCGTTTACTATAAAGAGAATAATGGAGACCACGTAATCTTGTGCCTATATGTTGATGACATTTTGATCTTTGGGACGAATTTAGAGATTGTGAATGATGTGAAGTCATACTTATCTAGGAATTTTGACATGAAAGATATGGGAGAAGCACATGTAATCTTAGGAATGAAAATTGAGAAGACAACACAAGGAATCTCTCTAAGTCAATCTAGTACTATTGAGAAGATGTTGAAGAAGTTCAATTACTTTGAGTGTAAGCCCACACCAACACCTTATGATCCCAATGTACATTTAAAGAAAAATCAAGGTGAACCGTTTTCTCAGTTGAAGTACTCCCAGATGATAGGTTCTTTGTTGTATATTGCGAATAAGACTAGGCCAGACATTGCTTATGCTGTTGGAAGATTAAGTAGGTATACACATAACCCAAGCAAGGAACATTGGAATGCCTTAGAAAGAGTTTTCAAGTACTTAAGAGGAACAATAGATTATTCATTGTGCTATAAAGGATTTCCAAATGTAGTAGAGGGATATAGTGATGCAAATTGGATAACAGACAATGAAGAAGTGAAGTCTACTAGTGGTTACATTTTCTTATTGGGTGGAGCTACAATTTCATGGGGTTCGAAGAAGCAAACATTATTTCTAGAAGTACTATGGAGTCTGAACTCATAGCTTTAGATACTACTTGCACTGAGATTAAGAGTTTATTGATGGATATGCCTCTGGTGGAGAAACCATTGCCTGCTTTATCTATTCATTGTGACTGCAAGGCTACAATAGACTTGGTGAAACAATCTCATACAAATAGGAAAATGAACAGGCACATACATGTGAGATATAAATCTGTGAAGAGCTTATTAAGTAAGAACATTGTGTCTTTGGAGTATGTGAAGTCAGAGAACAACATTGCTGACCAATTGACTAAAGGTCTTTCTAGGAGCAGAGTCCTAGAAATGTCGAGGGGGATGGGTTTAAGCCCATAAGGGAGTCACCTAGGAGGTAACCCAACTTCTGTGATTGGCGATCCCATGAAGGGAGTTCAATGGGTAGAAACAATCCATACTGCGTGACTCATTGAGCACTGTTTATATCATGTGGAGGCATCCCAGAGATGTCCTCATGCTCATCCCTATGACATCAGTGCTATATAATGTGACGTTAGGAAGGGAGTTATCCCTGAATGAGTTTCGAGGCGGGCAATCTCCCGCAGGGTGCAGGTCACATGTACTCTTGGAGAACTCACCTAAGTGAGAGACGTCGTGAGGCCGCGACTGTGAGAATTGGGCTATTCTCTAGCAACTCTCATGAGAATCAAGATTAGCGCATGGCCATAAATAGCGCTACCCCGCTTCCAAGCCTCAACCAATACTATGTGTGGGATATGTTGAAGTTTGGTCAAAGGTGCCGAGTTCAATACTGTGTACACTCAGGTTCCTCAAATGGAAACTATCATCACTAAGTGAAGGTTCAAGCCCGGAAGGCACCTACACCTATTGCATAGTATTATGTTGCCCATATGTATATTTTCTTTATATTTTACTATTTTAAAATTTTAAAACCCTTTGTGGGGGATTGTTATTATTTGAAAGGATTTTAAATTTTAAAACGTTTTATTTTCTGTTTTAATTTTTGGCTGTTTCTTTTATATATTATAGGAGTTACAAATTGTTTAATTTTCAGTTTTTATTTTCTATTCATTGCCACCAACTTTTCTGGTTAAATGTGTCTGGTGGTTACGAGTTTTGGATGCCTATAAAAGGCCTCTCCTCCTTCACATTTCAATACACTACAATCAGATTTCTCTATTCTCATACTTTCATATATTCCATACTTTCTATATTATTTTTGGGCAACGGTTCTGTGGCTTGGAGTTTTCTATCCGACTGTGAACGTGCTCATAGCGGATCTTAAGCCTGTGTATTGGGGTCGTATCTTGGAGTCTTGTAGACCGTCATTACCTGCACGTAGGGAGGCTACAAAGGCTTTAGGACAGCGTCTTTGACGTGCTTTCACTATACCAGGCTTGCTTTCTTAATCTTGTCTTTTATTTATTTGTTTATTTGTCTCTTTATTTTACTTTACTGTTTAATCTTTATTTTATATATTATTATATATACCAGTTTTGTATAGGAAAAAAAAAGAAGAAAAAAACCACACTTTTAATAACAGAAGCCGTACCTAAAAAGCATTGCAAAGCCCATTTCTGCTACTTTTTCATTGAATTGAAAATTGCAAAAAATAAATTGAAAAAGATGTGAACCTCTTCTTCTAGAGCATTAAGCCTCTCATCAGTAGCCAATGAGTCTCTCTGTGACATACAAATGCAACCAAATATTATATACTTGCTTTCAATTTGGCATATACTTGAAAGCTGAAACGGGTAACAAACCTTAAGAGTGAACAAAACAGACTGCAAATGATGGATCTTCTGCAAATGATGTATCTGGGTTTAACAGAAGTATGGAACTCAAGGAATGTGAGATGTTGTGCAAGAAGAACTGCTCCTGCACAGCTTTTGCAAACTTGGATACCAGGGATGGAGGAAGTGGTGCCTGCTGTGGTTTAGTGAGCTGATTGATGTAAGAAATTTCACTGAAAATGGGCAAGATATTTATTTTAGAATGGCAGCATCAGAACTAGGTATGGAGTCATTTTTAATCTCAAAAGTCAGTGTGTTAATGCAAATTTTAAAGAAAACAAGAGAGAAAAAAAGAAACGTCATTGGATATGGAACAGTCAATTGGGAGTTATCCATCTCTTCATGATCATGTACAAAAAATAAAGTCAGAACATATCAAACCCAAAGGTTGTTACTCTATAATTTTGGATTTGGACACAATTATCAAACTCTACTGTCAAAATTCGTCTGTTAAGATCAATGGATGATAGACATTACAGAAGTTTTTTTTTCTTTCTGAATATCTAACTTCTCACTTTTTTTGCTTTCAAATATATTTCCTGCCTAGATCATGAAGACTATACAACAATCAGTGCTAAACCTGCTAAACCCAATTTCCGCCCCGGGGGGTTAGACCACTTGGGTTATATTTTATAGTCTCATTGAATCTGAAGAAAGTAAGAATCATAGTACGCAGTATTGTGTCATCTCCTGGGCTCCTCTTGGGTGTAGCTCTGTTTTTTCTAATGTAAGAAGCAGCACCAGATAGATGGTGAGTTGTTTTCTATTCTTCTACCCCTTCAGTTTCCAATAGGATATAGAGAGCAACTTGGTTATTTGAAAATTTAACTACAATGGCCTATTGCGATATAGATGGCATGATGTTAGAATTGAAAAAAAGTAAGAAATGTGTGTCAAATTATAGGATAGCACCTCCCAATTGGAGATTCTCTTATTGGTACTTCTCTTGGGCATTTGTCTATTAAAGTCAAATGGGGTTCATCTCTTCTACTCTCTTTTTTTTCCCCATTTGTCAACTCACTTAAGTATTAACTTGAGGGGAAAAAAAAACTGAGAGAGAAAAAGATAGGAAGAATTAAAACAAGTACACAATTCAGAAAATTGCAGCTTCCTTTGAGTTGATTTGGTATTTGATTCTGGAAGACTGACCAAGTGAGTGGATGACCACAAATGATTTAGATTTTTCTACTAGAGGAACGCTACTAATTGTCAATTGTTAGGCAAGACACCATCATTCTTGAACTAAATTTGAAGTAAGCCCACTTTGATTGAAGAGAATTTTCTCCATTTCACACTGGAGAGAGTGATGTTTTATTTGCATTCAATTACGCATCTAAATTTGGTATGACGTGCATCGATATTGTCGATAATGCATCAGTAACGTGATTACATTGATAATTGATATTGTGTGAAAAGGAATTCTACTCCAAGCTATAGTGAAAGGGGATCCCTTATGAGAAATTCATCCTATTTATCTGTCCTTGAAACTTTAGTAATTTGTCTCCCCACTATTCAACTTTAGCATTGAAAGCTTACTAATTGTCTTCCCAGCTACTCAACTTAACTATATACTGTATGGTTTCTACTTTATAATCAAGTATTGCCAATGCTGCTAATTGTGAAATCTTTTAAGGTGAGACAAAGCCTTACCAAATTAATACAATTATCTTCTAATCAGAGTCAGACTCTCCATATATAGTGCAGACTAAAAGAAACACACCCCTCACTGGTTCATCAGGTGTACTCAAGTTGAGAAGCCCTGGAATTCTTGTCCCTGTCGAGCATAAGAACACTACAGGTCTTCCAACACATCAAGTTCTGCAAAGAATCCAGTGGCACAGCTTTTGGATTCCGGAAATCTTGTTGTGATAGATGGCAATGGTCATAATGACTGTGATAATATTTTATGGCAGAGTTTTGATTACCCAGGTGATACATTAATAACAGGTATGAAGCTTGTTGGGAACAAAATCACATGTTTTAATTGGCATCTTACACCCTGGAAAAGCCCCCAGGATCCTTCTCAAGGACATTATGCATATCAACTTGGTCCTTATGGATATGATTCATTCCACCCACTCCCAAGTTCATTCACGTTTGTTTAAATTAACCCAAAGATTATTAAGCAAATCCTAAACTGAAACTTGAAGAAGTGTTGGCACTGAACAAAATCACATGATTTATACTGACCTTTCAACAAGACTGGGACTTGGTGGATTGGTCATATAGCTGTGTGAGAAAGAGCCAACTGAATTGCAGTGGAGACATCTTTAAGAAGTACTCTGGGGTGAAATTGCCAAGTACAGAACAATCCTGGTATAACACAAGTATGAACCTCAAGGAATGTGAGATGATGTGCATGAACAACTGCTCCTGCACCGCTTTTTCAAATTTGGATATCCAAAGAATGAAAAGCAGTCCAACCAAGAAGAACCATCAATGGATGAATATTGAATGCATAAAGATTTATCAAGTTTCAAGCAAGAAGAACCAAACCAATCAATCTTTTGCTTAACCAAACCAGAAATAAATAGTCAGAATTTGAGATTGGGGCCTAAAAACCGAACCTTGTTATTGGCAAGACCGTAGAAACTCCATGATAGGATAGCTTCATCATTTCCTTCCACTGAAGACAGACACCAAGTCAGCAAATGGAATTAGATGAATTAAGAGTCTAATGATCTCTTCTTCTATGGACCTGACTTGTGCTTGCTTCGGCTTCCCAATCTCAATCTCAAGCTCAAATTTGCAGCTAAACTTTTTCAATTTCGGGTTTCAGACTTTCAGTCAATCTCTGTTTTCGAAAAATCGGCCTAGGCGGGCGGCTAGGCGGCTAGGCGGAAGCTAGGCGGCTAGGCGGGCGCTAGGCGGCTGGGCGGGCCTCCTGGGCGGGTTGGGTCTTTTTTCGGGGCGAACAAGGAGGACGAAGCAGCCGAAACCGAAGAAAACAAATCGAAGCTCGAGTTGATAGAGAAGCGAAATGGCTTCTGCAAGCTCCGTCGTCTGCTAGTGCAAGCTTCGCGTTTTTCTCGAAAATATTTAAAGGGTATAGCCGTTCGGCTATACTCTTAAAATACGGCCATACTCTTAAAATATTCGAATATATTAATATTTAACGGGTATAGCCGAACGGCTATACTTTTAAATATCCAAATGTATTTAGAAAGCAAAGCCGTGCGGCTATATCTTTTAAATATACAAATTTGTCATATCATTTTTGGGCACCAACTTCACAATTGACAATGCCTCACGCCCATGAACAGAGCCTTTGGACAAATCTAAACCATAAAAATTCTTGCAATGTGTTTGTATAATTGCAAGTATTTTCGCCAAATTTAAGCATGAACCCAATGATAACACCTCCAAATTTTTCCACTTGCCAATCAGCTCTGGGTTCGTGTGTTTGCTGTCCAATAAATTTACTGGTAAACTCGAAGTCACAAGGCCAGAACACCTGCACACATTCCACCAATCGATGTCATTTTGGCCCTGCAGATTTTTGTGTGGGGTGCTGCTGGGTGGGAAAAACAGAGAAGCAAATTGTTGCAGATTCCAAATGGGAAGGAGTTGAGATCATTGTCAGATACTTACATCCAAATTCACCAGAATGAGCTGCACCTCCTTGCCATAAACAAGACTCACCTTGCAGTGTATGAAGTGAAAGAACTAGCATGTGTTTAGGGAGAGGGGAGGCTACCCCATACCAAGGCCTCTTTGAGGAACTATTTGGCTTTTTAACTCTTCACTTTGGGATTAAAAACACAAGGCACCCAAAAAGGGATCAGGCCACCCAATGATTCACCATGATATATATATATATATTCATATAAAGATGTAGTCACCACCCCTTCGCAAGTATATGATACTAACCTATGCAAATTGTGTATCAATTTTTACTTTGCCTTGCATTGCAAATGCTCAAAAAGAGCCTGCATATTTTACAATTGATTTCAAGAAAGATAAGGTTCTTTTTGAAAATTCTGCAAGCTAAGTATTCTTCAAGTGGTCACACTATCTCTAGGAGGTTTTCCTTAAGGAATGACCTTCCAGTAGTTGCGACATCATAAATGTAAAACAGAGACGAGAGGCCTGCCACCTTTTTGGCTTTGACCTGCAATCATCTCCTGATTCACTTTTATATGTGTTGTTGCATAAGGAACCTGTGTTGTGTCAAACTTTTCAAATGGGCACTCTACCATCCTCGCCAAAACAAAACTGAGCATGGCACATCATTGTGCTGTGGTGTTTTTGTAAGCCCTGCAAATTCTCCTTCGCATAGAGAAAAGGGGGTAAAAAGAAAAAAAAAAAAAAAAAAAAAAAAAAAAAAAAAAAAAAAAAAAAAAAAAAAAAAAAAAAAAAAAAAAAAAAAAAAAAAAAAAAAAAAAAAAATTTTTTTTTTTTTTTGGGGGGGGGAAAAAAAAAAAAAAAAAAAAAAAAAAAAAACCAAAAAAAAAAAAAAAAAAACAAATAAAAAAATTTTTTTTTTAAATTTTAACCTTAAAAAAAAAAATTTAAAAAAAAAAAAAAAAAAAAAAAAAAAAAAAAAAAAAAAAAAAAAAAAAAAAAAAAAAAAAAAAAAAAAAAAAAAAAAAAAAAAAAAAAAAAAAAAAAAAAAAAAAAAAAAAAAAAAAAAAAAAAAAAAAAAAAAAAAAAAAAAAAAAGATAAAAGATCAAGAGTCCTGAAAATTCCAAGAAACGGATCTCCTTGTAGAAAGGTGCTACTGCTGAAGCTGCAAAATGCAAACATCATGTGATTAACTTGCATATCAGATGTAAATATAAAATAATTTGGCATGCAAAGCAAGGCAAAAAGTAAATTAAATCAGCAAAAGACAAGGGGCTCTTTACAGATCAGGTCAGTATTAAAATTCCATTACTGATTTCGGTTCATCATCATATCACATTAATCCCCCCAGTTTTAACTCAAAGTTTATCCAAAAGGATCCCAAATTCTGCTTCAAATATTTGTTTTGTAGACAAGTTCATATAATTCCAAACGTATATACTTGTATAAAATACCTATGTCATTTGAATATGAACTGCATGCCATACGACTAATTGCATTGAAAAGCCAATCTAAGGATTTAGCAGAAATAACCAGATTCAAAATTAAATCTTGCTAAACCTCAAATACTATTTCTTTGGTCTATAGGGGATTAACTTCTCGTAACCGGCATTAGTAAAGCAGGGCAATTTCTACTCTTATCAAACTCATGAGATCAGAAGTCACATAAACTGACTACCAACACCTCAACTACAGAGGGTCCTATTTTCAATTAAGAAAAACCTATATTGCCAGAAGACAAAATTATGAATAAAGATGCTTAATATTTTATTAACACAGCAAAGAATCATAATTTCTTATAAACTCTAACTCTGAGCCTGCATTCTATACGAATAACTAACACTGCCAAAACCATAAGAAACAAACAACATAATGCATTAAGTCACCAAACATACATGCCATCTAAAAAACAGGAGGAGAAAAAAAAAAAAGTAAATCTTGCTGCTTGTAACTTAGATTTCTCCTCTCTTTCCTTTCAAAATTGAAACCGAAGCGATAATTGGTCATTTGATTCTGATGATATTGATTGAATGCCATTAACTCAAATGGTTCACCCTAATTTATGGAAACCAAGGAGTGGCTCCGAGCTGATGAACAATGACCTTCCCAGCACCAACCCTGAAGAAGAGGCTATGTCGTACTTTGATTTGTCCAAGAATGATTCATATCTCATATCACCAACAGGAGGGATGATCTCCATTTCTGAGTATTTGCAGAGATGCCAGACCCGCCAGGAAAAAAGAAATCTGAAAAAAAAAAACGCCATTCAAGTTTTGGAAAAATGGGCGGGCTAGGCGGGTTCTTTTTTTAATTTTATTTTAATAGACAGTATAGCCGCTCGGCTATACGCCTTTAAGGAAAAAAAAATTCCCTGATTTTTCTTTATCGGTTAGAGTAGTTTAGAGCATTATCCATTACTATTAGGCCATTACCCAAGTCTCTATTATCCCCTTTTGATTTTTTACTTATTACTCATGTAAATAATTTAGCATTTTTCCATTTAATACTTGTATTATACAAGTAAGTACGTATTTTTCAATAATACTTTCGTTTTTCCGTACACTCTTAAAGACTCGGTAAAATACATATTTTTTTAAAAAAGCAAACATACAATACACATATATATATATATTATTCATGTTTAATACACGTGTTTTTTTACAAAATTTTCAATAATACACAAAAATGTGAGAGGCAAAGATTATTTCTTGTTGTAACAAAAATGCAGGATGGTGAACTTTCGAAATCTCTTTGCCAACCAGAACAACAATTTCAAACAAAGATGTATGAGTATAGTAGTAAGAGGTGGTAGTATTCTTTATTTATTTATTAATAAATAGAACAAGAGATTAGGCAAGATTAGCTCTTCAGTATCGGTCATTGAATGCACAAACATCCACAACCCTTAAAGAAGATACCAAGGCATTCTGGGGACCCCCCGCCCATCCCCTTGATCATAATTTTATTAATATAAAAGAAACATATAAAGAAAAAAAGAACAGCAGGGGGCCAAATTGCAGAAAAGAAAGACAGTGACATAAAGTCGCATCAACATGCGGACCCAAGAAGCCAAAACTCTGAAAGAGTAAACAAAAAAAGACTAGGTAAGACGGTAATTGGGCATGCCCAGCTAGTCCCAATGACGAAGATAAAATAAATGAAGGTGCAGTGTCCTACCATGTGAAACCAGAGCCCTGAACACCGTGATTTGCCAAAGCGTCAACTCTATGATTACCCTCACGAAATATATGAGAAATCTTAAACTTAAACTCCAATTCCTTGACTTTTCCCACTAATGCCTTCTGCAACTTAAACTCCAATTCCTTGACTTTCCCATAATCGAAAATATCATTTTGATATTCCGCTCGAAGCTCAAGCCTTAACTCATCAATGCACAACTGCGAATTTTTCCACTCTCGTCGCTTCCAATCCAGCAAACCTCTCCTAACCCAAGTTAATTTCTGCATGACATCTGATGGTTACCCAGACTGCACCCTCGCCTTACCCAACGCTCAAACACCACTGCCCTACAACCCTCATGCCTCCCCCATCGCGGATCATATGCAAAATGCCCTTTCTTCCTCCTCTTGGTCTCATGTGTATCGAGACAAAACATAACATGATAAGACCCTTCAACCACCCAATGGAAATTTTTTGCGGTGGGCTAAAATCGTAGCCAATTATCATCGGCAAACCCCCTGTCCAGCCGTTCTTGTATTCCTTCCTCTTGTCGTCTATTACGCCAAGTAAATGGATATCCAACAAAACCTAAATCAGACAAATCCGTCACAAATGACCGGAAATCCAACATACTCCTTTCAGACCGAGAGTTTCCTCCTTGCTTCTCGGCTCTATCTAAAAAATCATTAAAATCCTCCATTACCATAACAGCCTCCTGACATGTAAGAATTCGAGTTCGTAAAGCCTGCCATTGGTTCCTCCTGATTGGGTCATCTGTACTAGCATATACACCAAAAAATCTCCAAACACACCCCTTCTCAACATCCTTAATCCCAACCTCAATAAAAAAAATAATAATAAATCTGCATATTTAACAAGAGACACATGTTGAACTTCCTTCCAAAAAACACATAGACCCCCACTTAAGCCATGTACCTCCATCGCATGCATAAATGGCATTCCCAGTACCTTCTTTAGAAAAACATAGCGACTACTCCTAGTTTTAGTTTCTAGCAGCATCACCATGTCGGGAGTGTGGAGCTTTACTTTCTCCATAAGGCTAGAAACTGTCAGATTACCCCCAATACCCTGACAATTCTATATGAGGATCCTCATAACTCGCCCAGACCGGTCTGCGTAGGTTATGCCTCCTTGCAGCAGATCAACTGTTAACATTTGATGTCTTCGAGCCTTCTTTCCCCCTCCCCCATATGTCAGAGAACACAGCTCAAGAGTTGGCGGGATTCTCTCCTCTCCCGGACAACCATCATTGTCTTCACCACCTCTGTTCGTCTTTCTGTACTCGTGACGTTGCATCGTCCCCTCAATTATCAGCCCAAGATTAAAAGAGTCCGAGCTTTGAGTTAACAGACCCAAACCAATTCTCAACCCCTGCCCCTGTGCAGACAAACCATCATCCTATGGTACTTTTTTCGAACTGAGTAACACCAAAATTTAAGTCAATCAGGTTCCCATCCTCCTCAGATACCCGTACCCTGTCTGAGGGATCCCCACCCTCCTCCTCTTGCATATACTGATTTGTAGAAGAATCCCCCTGTGTAGGCCCCGCATTCCTTCCATGTGGCCCTAACAGACCTACTTCCCAGGCTTCTTCTCGTATACGTCGTTCACGCTCTTGTTCTTCTCGTCAGAGACGTATGCTCTCCGTTAAAGAATGCGAATGAGAAGCCTATTTGTTAGGGAAGGTAGCAGTGTCTTCCATCTCCACCCTCTAGACATATATGCACCACCCACATCCCGCCAGCACCCTACCTGTTGCAGATGTCGAGGCTCTCCCAAGCGACTAGAGCGCTCATGACGCCATCTACCCCCTGAGGTTGTACTATTATTCCCCTGTGAAACATTACGTTCCCCAAAGCGTAATCGCCAGCCACTCAAATCCTCCACCGCCTCAAGCCCGGAAAAATTGTGCAAAACCTCCACCTTGCTCTCTGTGAGGTCTTGATCAGCCTCTAATTTTTCAATATAGATACGGCTTGGATGTCCCAAATGCCCACAGACAAAACAATACTCTGGTAGAAATTCATACTGAAAATTAACCCACTTAGCTCCATCATCAGGAAATTGGACAAAAGCACCTCGTATCAAAGGTTGATCCACGTCTAATTGAGTACGAACTTGTAAGAAGCGTCCCATACATTCCACACCATCAGCCTGATCAACCTCCAAAACCTTCCCTACAAGAGATCAAATTTTTTGTGCCACCATTGTAGTCATATTAAAAGGAAGGATGCCATGCAATTGGATCCAATATGTACTGTGATGGAATTCCACCTCTCTGGTATCAAGTCCTGCACGCGCATCAACCAAAACCACCAAACTATCACGAAAATTCCAAGGTTCCATATCCGGTAACTTATCCTTCTTATTGCAAAACCTCACCAAGAAAGGGCGATTCCCTATCTCCTTAATAGATACATCGTCTAGTCCTTTCCATAACCTTGAAAATATGCCAATGAAACCATCCCGGTTTACAGCTTTGATAGTAAGAACCACAGCCACCAAAGTCAACTGTGAACCCTTCCACAAGTCCCCACATTCCTCTTCCTCAATTTGGATTCCCTTTCCTTCTCAGAGAGACAAAGATTCATCCCGAAGCGGTTTTCCAGTTCCTCCATCGAGCTTGCTTTGTCGAGATCTTGTGACCCACGCAAACCGTACGTTAAACGAAGGTGTAGACGCTGCAAACCTTAGCCGTCACTCAGGATAGAAAAACCCTAACCTTTCTCTCCTTGTGAGAGACTTTTTTACTAAAAGTTTTCATTGCCTTTTTCACTCATCAATTTGACATCAAAAGACATGGAATGCATTCCAGGTACCAAAACTCAGTATTTGGGACCACCTTTAATTACTTTAATGACTTTAATTAGTAGTTATGTATTTTAATTCTTAATTACCTAATGAATACTTAGTATTTAAATATTTTATCAAAGAAAAATTTTAAAAAAAATTAATTACTATTTATGAAGTAATATAATTTGTGAAGTTGATTAAAATATTTAATACTAATTATTCACTAAAGAAATAATAATTAAAACATGATTACTAATGAAAGTAATTAAATAAGGCTAAGATATGACTTAATTAATAAAAATAAAGTTTTTATATAAAAAATTCTATTGACCTAAATATACTAAGTTCATATTTATTTTTAAAAGAAATGTAAGGATTGTAATTGTTGCTTTGTTTGGCTCTTCTCTTTTTTGGAACAAAACCATTGTAATCTCCTTAGATATTTGAGATAGTCTCTAGGTTAGATTAAAGTGGTTGCTGATTTCCAAAGATCTCTTTGGTGAAGAACAGGTAAGAACCTTGTGCATACATTCATATGGATTGATACAACTTTAAAATCATTTTATGTTTTCATTTTGTATCAATCCTCTCTATATCTGTTTTAATCCGTCCATACAGAAATCAATTAATAGTTTATTGCAAATATCTTTCCTGCACTTGATTTCTGAAAAAGATAAAATAGGATTATCCTCTGCCTCTTGCACTCTTATCAAGTCAATCCTTTTTGAAACCAAGTTCCTGACTGAATCTGTTTATTATATTGATCTCCACTGTCTTAAAACAGTGGTTCAGTTCTCTGCAGAAAGGCAACTGAGTTTTATGAAGAGGAAGAAATATTAAGCATTTGGCATCACGTTTTAAACTCAGCCTTTACTATGCTTCCATGTTTATGTTTTTGAAAGATCATCATATCAGTTTTTAAACATTCAAAAACTTACTTCAGTCATCTTGAAGTCTTGAGAGTTATGAGTATGATTGCATACACATAAAACTTACTCCAAGTTTATTCTCACTTTGATTAAATGACTGCTTTGGTTTCATTATTGTATTTATGATTAAAACCTTGTTTCAAAGTTCAAAGATCTTTTGGTTTTAATTCATAACTGTACACGGTTTCTTTTATCTAGTTCAATCATTTGTATGATTGAGATAGATGAATTTTATGAAACCACAACTGATGAGAGTCTCAAATTACATCTTTTTACTATTATTTTGGAGACTTTATGATATAATTTTGGCTTAATGAATATAATTTCACTTGTTGTTACATTTTATTCTCACCAACTGGATTTATGAATTTTCTATATTAATTTGGTGAACTTATTAGGTGAATTTATCTTCTGTAAGAAGTTGGAAAGCCAAAAAATGAAGACATACATTTGTCCAAGTTCAAGCTAGGTGTGAAAAGAATTGTTGGCAGATTTAATTGAAGATTGATTGTGGGATTATTGTGATTATAAAGAGAAGTAAAGAGGGAGAAGAGAAGACAAAACCGTTGAAGCTAAAGAGCCTATTTCATGTCATTCATAGCCATTTAACGCCCACTTACCTCACCGTTATTTCTTTTCCACTAACTCTTCACCATCAACACATGTTTAATCCAATTAATCCCTCAATTAAACCCTTCATCACCCACCATGAATGTATTAACTTCCCACTCACCTCATTGACTACTATAAATCACCCATCAACTTATTTGGCAAGGGCACCCCTACGACAGATTTCTTTATCCATTTAGTTTATGTTTTCCTTTGTAATGAGTTGCTAGAACTCTAGCTAAGGCTAAAGGGAATGTTCTTTGAGTAAATTTGTGAATTGTTCTTTAATCCAATATACGGTATGAATTGCTAAATTCTTTTATTTTTGGTTGTTCAATATTTTCATATCCTTTTATTTTGATTGATGTTAAGTGCTATTATCTTTTCATGAGTTCAATTATATTTTTCTCATTGTTAAGAACTGACTTGGCATGCTTTTAAATTAAAAGAGTAGATATTAAGCAACTCCATTTTCTGAACAATCATTAATAAAAGATTACATTGAAAAATTAAATTGGTTTTAATTTCTTTATCTTCCGGTTAAAGTTTCTCAATGATGATTTTAATCGAGTTATAATTTGGATTAAAGAGCATGAAACATATTTTGTTTAAAGAATTGAACCTTGATGCCTTAGCATTTCCATTATTGATATTTCATTTTTAAACTCAATTTTCCACAACAATCAAATCAAATTACTTTTCCATTTTGCTTGTCACTTTTATTGTGGTACGTTTAATTATTTCTTTGTGTGCAGATATTTGCCTACCTGCCTTTTGAGGATACGATACTTGGACTTCCAAGATTATTACTACGTGTGACTACTTGCACTTGGGTAGACTAGAGCTTCTGATAAGAAAATGGGTAAGTCCTACACAGGTTGTTCCTAAAAAATCAGGAGTCACAGTAGTTGAAAATGATAATGGAGAAATGGTACCAACTAGGGTCACTACTGGATGGAGAATGTGTATTGATTATCGTAAACTGAAATCAGTCACAAGAAATTATCATTTTCCTTTACCATTTCTTGACCAAATTCTGGAAAGAGTTGCAGGGCATATGTATTATTGTTTTTTAGATGGTTATTCAGGATATTATCAAATTGAGATTTCATTAGAAGATCAAGAAAAAACAACTTTTACTTGCCCATTTGGAACTTTCGCTTTTAGAAAAATGCCTTTCGGTCTTTGCAATGCACCAGCTATATTCCAACATTGCATGATAAGCATATTTAGTGACATGGTAGAAAAATATTTAGAAGTTTTCATGGATGATATTACTGTGTTTGGTGATTCATTTTCTAATTGTTTATCTAACTTGGAGAATGTTCTTATCAGGTGTAAAGAGAAAAATTTGGTGCTTAACAGGGAGAAATGCCAATTCATGGTCACATTTGGCATAGTACTTGGACACATTGTTTCTCACAAAGGAATTGAAGTAGATAAGTCAAAAATTGATTTAATTGCTAATCTGCCTATTCCTAAAACTGTTAAAGATATTAGATCTTTTTTAGGACATGCAAGTTTCTACCGGAGATTCATACAAAATTTTAGTGCAATTGCAAGGCCATTGAATAATCTCTTGGAGAAAGATGCTAAATTTGATTGGAATTGTGCATATCAAGAAGCATTTGAGAAATTGATTAAAATGCTAACATCAACTCCTGTAATGCAGCCCCGAGATTGGTCCATGCCATTTGAAATAATGTGTGATGCTAGTGATGGTGCTATTGGTGCATATCATATATTTTGGGCTCACAAATTGTTGTTTTTACAGATCATTCGGCCTTGAAGTATTTATTGACAAAGAAGGAAGCTAAATCACGATTGATTAGATGGATTTTGCTTCTCCAAGAATTTGATCTTACAATCAAGGACAAGAAAAGAGTGGAAAATGTTGTTGCAGACCATCTTTCTAGGATATCTTTTGAGGAGCCTTCTGAATATTTGCCTATAAAAGATTCATTTCCTGATGAACAATTGTTTGGTGTTTCTACATTACCATGGTTTGCTAACATTGTGAATTTTCTTGCTACAGGTCTTATCCCACCTCATTGGACCTCACAAGAGAAAAGAAATTTATGGTTGAGGTGAGAAAATTCTTTTGGAATGATCCGTATCTCTTCAAATATTGTCCCGACAAGGTAATCCGTAGATGTGTTCCTGATGATGAAATATTTAGTGTCATATCTTTTTGTCATATGAGGCTTGTAGAGGTCACTTTTCTTCCAAAAAGACTTCGGCCAAAATTCTTCAATGTGGTTTTTATTGGCCTAGACTTTTCAAAGATGTGGATGAATTTTGCAAGACTTGTCCAAGTTGTCAAAAGTTGGGAAAAATTACTCGACGTAATATGATGCCTCTTAACCCAATTTTAATTATTGAAATTTTTGACTGTTGGGGCATTGATTTTATGAGTCCTTTTCCTCCATCTTTTGGTTACTTATATATCCTTGTTGCTGTAGATTATGTTTCAAAATGGATTGAGGCCATTCCATGTCGGAAGAATGATCATAAAACTATTTTGAAATTTTTGAAAGAAAATGTATTGTCCAGGTTTGGTACTCCTAGAGCGATCATCAGTGATGGAGGATCACATTTTGCAACCGACCATTTGAAGCTTTGATGAAAAAATATGGGATAACCCATAAGATTTCCACTCCATACCATCCACAGACAAATGGCCAAGCAGAACTTGCAAACAAGGAAATTAAGCAAATTTTGGAAAAGACGGTGAATCCAACCTGGAAGGATTGGTCATTGAGACTAACTGATGCCTTCTGGGCATATGGTACTGCATACAAATCACCTCTTGGTATGTCTCCATATAGACTTGTTTATGGTAAACCTTGTCATTTACCTGTTGAATTGGAACATAAAGCATATTGGGCTATCAAATTGTTTAACTTTAGTCTTGGAGATGCAGGTACCTTGAGAAAACTCCAATTGAATGAACTTGAGGAAGTCAGGAATAATGCATATGAGAACTCACGAATTTACAAAGAACGTACTAAAGTTTTTCATGATAAAAATATTTTGAGGAAAAATTTTGAGCCTTCTCAACTTGTTCTTTTGTATAATTCTAGACTTCATTTGTTTCTTGGAAAATTAAGAACTAAATGGACAGGGCCTTTCATTGTTAAAAAAGTTTTCCCATATGGGACTGTTGAAGTTGAGGATCCCAAGAATGGAAATATTTTTAAGGTTAATGGCCAACGACTTAAACCTTACTTGGGGAGATGTGTTCCAGAAGATGAGACAGTTTCTTTGAACGAACCTGTTTACCAGGATTGATTGGACTTCCCTTAGTCCATCTGTTGTATTAATTAGTTTAGAATTTTTTCACTTTGTTGAAAAAAAAAAAAAAAAAAAAAAAAAAAAAAAAAAAAATCATTTTTTTGTTTGTTTTGTTTTTACACTAACACGTTGCAGGCTTTCACTTTGGGTGTCAATTCTCAGGTAACGCTACCCTCTTCTTTTTTATGCTTATATGTTTAAACATTGAGGACAATGTCAATCTTTGGTTGGGGGTGGAGAAGATGTGTTTATTGTATTATTTTCTTGTTGCAACATGTTAGTTTTCCTTTCATTTTTGTTTTTGTTTTTGTTTTTGGTTTGGTTTTGTTTTTGTATTTTGTTTTGTTTATTTTGTTATTTTGTTTATTTTCGTCATTTATTTAAATTGTAAAAAAGATTAAAAAAAACTGAAAAGTGTGAAGAAAAAAAATTGTTTATGAGGTTAGTGCACTGTGTTGTTTGTTTTTCACAGTCTGTCTGTGACAAGATTACATTGCACTTAGATTTATTTGATATTCATGAATGATTTTAAGATTGAGAACATATGAATTATATGATAATTATCCCCCTTCTGTGTCTTTTTCATTTATTTCTAGTTAGTGGATGATTCATGAGTTATACTTTGACAATTTACACAAGCACACTAACACCTTTTGTGGGGTATAAAGTTAAAAACCAATTGTGCTTAATCTTTTGTCTTTGGTAAACTTGGACGACCTTGCTTTTGACTCATCTTGGTTTAAAATAAAAAAAAAAAGAAGTTCATGAAATAATAGTGTTCTACTCAAGCTTCTACTTAGTAACCGGGCCTCTTGCCTAATCAGCAGTGAGTGTTTGCGTCAAACGGTGAAGTTCTGGGTGTGAATAATTTTGTGTGGCTAGTTTAGTTTCGTAGCCTTTTTAACTTGAGTTAGTAAGCTCTTAGGGGTGTCTCTACACCTAGTGCCTTAAAGCCTTTTTGGTTTGAGAGTCGCTAGCCTAACACTCGCTATATGGGTTAATTAGAAAGCTTAATGGAGCTAAGCATTGCACAGCCCACATAAAGAAAAAAAAAGTATATTAAAAATAAAAAACCTTGGTTTGTTTCTTGCAAGGGAGTTCGACAAAACTCTTGAGATCAAAAGGGTGGTGTGATTGGAATTTAGCTAATGCCACTCAATTGTGTTGGTTCACTTTACACCAAAGGAAACATGTGAAAAGTTTACTGGCTAATTATAAATGATTTGGACTTCGAGGTGGGATTAACTTGAAATGTTAAATAAGTGTTCTCTCTTTTAATGTTGTTCATGAATTGAAAATTTGGACTTTGTGCTTTGTCCTTTTTGTTGGTGACAAATATTGAAATTATTTTTCAAATTTTATTTTATTTCATGTTTCTGAATAATTGTGCTAGCCTCATACTTGATGTTTGTGGGTATCATCCCTGGAAACCCTCACGAGACTACAACTCGTCCTTTAGGGGTAACCTAAGGGTTTAAAGGCTTGTTGCATACGCTAAATGCAATCGTATCCCGCGAAAGTGGTTTAGCTGTTTTATTTGTTGTTTTTTCTTTTTTGTTGTTGTCATTTTTACTTAAATTTGAGTTTCTTTTAGTCGCTTGAATAGCTAGGGACTAGCAATAAGCTGGTTGGGGGTTGTGATGAGAGTCTCAAATTACATCTTTTTACTATTATTTTGGAGACTTTATGATATAATTTTGGCTTAATGAATATAATTTCACTTGTTGTTACATTTTATTCTCACCAATTGGATTTATGAATTTTCTAATATTAAATTTTGGTGAATTTATCTTCTGTAAGAAGTTGGAAAGCCAAAAGATGAAGACATACATTTGTCCAAGTTCAAGCTAGGTGTGAAGAGAATTGTTGGAGGATTTAATTGAAGAATTGATTGTGGGATTATTGTGATTATAAAGAGAAGTAAAGAGGGAGAAGAGAAGACAAAACCGTTGAAGCTAAAGAGCCTATTTCATGTCATTCATAGCCATTTAACGCCCACTTACCTCACCGTTATTTCTTTTCCACTAACTCTTCACCATCAACACATGTTTAATCCAATTAATCCCTCAATTAAACCCTTCATCACCCACCATGAATGTATTAACTTCCCACTCACCTCATTGACTACTATAAATCACCCATCAACTTATTTGGCAAGGGCACCCCTACGACAGATTTCTTTATCCATTTAGTTTATGTTTTCCTTTGTGATGAGTTGCTAGAACTCTAGCTAAGGCTAAAGGGAATGTTCTTTGAGTAAATTTGTGAATTGTTCTTTAATCCAATATACGGTATGAATTGCTAAATTCCTTTATTTTTGGTTGTTCAATATTTTCATATCCTTTTATTTTGATTGATGTTAAGTGCTATTATCTTTTCATGAGTTCAATTATATTTTTCTCATTGTTAAGAACTGACTTGGCATGCTTTTAAATTAAAAGAGTAGATATTAAGCAACTCCATTTTCTGAACAATCATTAATAAAAGATTACATTGAAAAATTAAATTGGTTTTAATTTCTTTATCTTCCGGTTAAAGTTTCTCAATGATGATTTTAATCGAGTTATAATTTGGATTAAAGAGCATGAAACATATTTTGTTTAAAGAATTGAACCTTGATGCCTTAGCATTTCCATTATTGATATTTCATTTTTAAACTCAATTTTCCACAACAATCAAATCAAATTACTTTTCCATTTTGCTTGTCACTTTTATTGTGGTACGTTTAATTATTTCTTTGTGTACGTATATTTGCCTACTTGCTCCTTGAGGATACGATACTTGGACTTCCAAGATTATTACCACGTGTGACTACTTGCACTTGGGGTAGAGAAAAAAAAAAAAAAAAAAAAAAAAAAAAAAAAAAAAAAAAAAAAAAAAAAAAAAAAAAAAAAAAAAAAAAAAAAAAAAAAAAAAAAAAAAAAAAAAAAAAAAAAAAAAAAAAAAAAAAAAAAAAAAAAAAAAAAAAAAAAAAAAAAAAAAAAAAAAAAAAAAAAAAAAAAAAAAAAAAAAAAAAAAAAAAAAAAAAAAAAAAAAAAAAAAAAAAAAAAAAAAAAAAAAAAAAAAAAAAAAAAAAAAAAAAAAAAAAAAAAAAAAAAAAAAAAAAAAAAAAAAAAAAAAAAAAAAAAAAAAAAAAAAAAAAAAAAAAAAAAAAAAAAAAAAAAAAAAAAAAAAAAAAAAAAAAAAAAAAAAAAAAAAAAAAAAAAAAAAAAAAAAAAAAAAAGTATTTTACTTCAATCCATATCAATAAGCCACTCCTTGAAACATCATTGTGTGATGAAAAGTGCTAATTGGGTTTATACGATAAATAGTGAAAACTAAGAAAAGAGTGTAATGTTCTAAGCAATTGGGAACCGTCCATAGTAAGTACACTTGCGAAACCTTTATTTTATTTTTTTGATCAAACACACACCAACCTTGGCTATACCTTTTTCCCAAATTGCAAAGCCGCTTTTGCTTCTCTTATATGAGAAATACAGTCCTTTATAGCCAACATTATAGCCCTTACCCCTCAGCCTTATAAGCACGCTTTAGCTAGCTGTTTGTACCAATCCCACATCGGCTTGACCAAAGAAGCATGGAAGCGAATGGACCTATAAGAAGGGAAACAAGACACGAGATGAAGCATACCTTTCTCGGCCTTTTGGCTAAGATCAAGTGTAGTATCTGTTCTTATCAGTTTAATATCTGATACGTGGGCCAATGGCTCACATGATATTAAATTAATTTCTTTAGGAGGAGGGTCCGCCATAATAGCTTGCTATTGGGACTCTCGAGTGTCGCCCAAGCGTTGCAGTATTGCATGGGCCTGGCGCACTCCACCAAATCTAGTTTAAATGTGTACATTTATATTATTTTATTTTGGTGTTTAAGGGAGGGGAAGCTACCCCATTCTAATTAATGACATAATAAAGCATTTTCGAGGACTTATAGAGAGAGTCTCAAGTCTTTTTTGGGTTTTTACAGATTAAAGAAGAGACCGATTCTTATGAGCTCAACCAACTCTTGATGATGTCTATTTGTATTATTTGTAACCTGAAAAAAATTCTGAAAAAGAAATAAACTGTCTATTTGTATTATTTGTAATTTGAAGAACATTATGAAAAAAAAAACTGTCTCGAAGATAACAAATCACAAATTGTATTTCTATATTTATAACACTACATGTACTTGAACAATGCCACAAACCTTATTGAGTAAGATTGTTCTTCTAAATTTGCAGACCAAGCCTTCAAACTGTATGGCTCTGGGTCAGTATGTGAACCCAAATTTTTTTTTAATGGCTGAAAAGTCATTTTATAAAGCAATTAGAAGTATCGGTTTAAATTCTTTTGTTACAATAAAATAGAAGCGAACTCTTTACTTATCATAATTCTAATTAATTTTTTGATTCGTCCTCCTCACTTGAATTCATGTTAATGGCTTGAGGATTAAATTTGTGAATTTGAAAGTTAAGTGTTTCTCTAGATTAATTAAGCTTGTCAAATCGCATGCGTCTTTGGCACTTTTTTCAGCATTTTTTAGCCAATGATTATGTCTAGCCTAAAGTACCACATCGGAAATGCACAAGAAGTCGGAAATGCACAAGAAGTTGAGAGCGAGACTAATGTATTAAAAAGGAATGAGAGGCACTGCAAAACATACTTACCTGGACGGGGTTTATGAGCGATCAAGAAGGCTCATGGCCTAGGTTGGTGACCTCCATTGCACTTAGGAGGGGTGCCGACCTATGGTCTCCTCAACGTAGGAGAGCCAACGTCATAATTTATTGTAGTGGGGGCCTGCGTTCGCGCGGCCCCTGCCTTAATTCAATATCAACTTTATGCAACTAGCTAGCAAATAGGCTCATTCCTCGTCTTTTTCAAGTTGATTTTACCTTTTTGTCTGGTATAATTGTTTAATATATCCAGTTGTGACATGCAAAAATAATTATTAATTTGTCCCTTCAATTCTGCAGTGACATGCAAAAATAATGTTTAGTAAAATTCAACTGGACC